TATATTGTATTGCCTTAGACTGTGTATAAATTAAACAAACTGTATCCTCGTCCACGCTTTCGAACTTTAAAGTAGTAAATTGGGACGTGCTTATAGTGATTGAGTGCTGATCCTGTTCAAGTTTGCGTGTAGACGGATATAGTATACGGTCTGCTAGAGAATGGGGCGTAGATTTGACGCACGTCGGATATCTGAATGGTGATTGTATGGAGGTTGTTCAAAATTTAGTTAATAATATAAGCATAAATAATTTGGTATCAATTGTGAGAGGTGAGTCTCAAAGGCCAGTGGTGTATGTATGTCCACGCTTGGTATTGTACAAAAGAGTAAAGAGTCAGACCCAAAAGGATCTAATATGGAGTGAACCACCATGTCGAGGCCATGCAATACAGGCGTCAAACAAGACATGCAACGCAAGGGAGGCAGGCCAGAAGAACCACGCTTCCAGAGCAAAATAGATAAGAACAACCAAAACGCCCGCAATGCTTCCGTTCTAATCCAGAACACCAGATGCCGTAGAAATATACAAGTCGAAAAGCGCAACAAGGTAAGGCCGCCTGGCAACAAAAGGCGCCAAACGCAACAAGGTCGTGTTTTCAAATCGGATCCGAATTGAGCATTTACTCGTCAGCGGGCATTCTCATGTAGGCATCAATAGCCGCACTGAACGCCGCAAAACCAGCGCAACCAAAGGCAGCAGCCTGGGGACCGGCCTTTGCGCCGAGAATACCACCAGTAACACAGCCAGCGGCAACGCTGTTCGTAAGATCGTTCTTTGCGCGGAGGCCTTCGATACAACACTCAGTTCCGGAGTAGAGCGCACCGACAATGCCGAAGTTCTTAGCAGAGGACCAGGAGCGGGCTCCCATGTCCTTGAAACCGCGACGGACTTGTTCGCGCCAGGGGAGGTCGGCGATGGCGCGGCCCTGGGGTGTGAAGGTCGAGTCGTAGGACATCTAGAGTGGGAAAAAGTTAGATATGAACTTTAGAGTCAATTATTCAATGGACAACTTACACTGGCCATGAAGAGACCGAAAGCACCACCAAGACCGAAACCCATGGTACCCGAGATGACTGTCTTGATAGGACAAGACTCCATACCACGTTGCATCTATAGTGAGTTTGGTTAGAAATGGATAAAAAGCACATCATAATCGAGAACGAACCATTTTAACCATAGCCTGTTCTTGTTCATTCATTCCCTGGGTATCCTGGTTACCTCCCAGGGTGGCCATCGGCATCGCGGCGGTGCCTGTGGTGAGTGGAAAGGCCATGTTGAAAGTTGACGCGGGTAAGGTTTGAATTGAATATGGTCGTAGATCGTACTCGCTGGATCGAATCCAAGCTGGCCTGAATGATCAATCCACTGGACCTCGGCGAGAAAATTAATCGCGTAAGCAAGTAAAATAATAGAGAACGCGGAGATCTTGCGGAGGCGAGTAACTGAACCGCAAATTTATTTTACGGGGGACTAGGAAAGCCTCAAGCGCAGTTCTGCACGTGATATTCCGGCTCCGCAAAATCATCGTGCCGTTATCGGTACAAGCTGTATGATGCATATTGAGCCTAAGAAGAGCTCTTGTTTACATGGAATTCATGGGAATTATTTATAGAGAAACCTTGGAAACTCGTTTGTATTCATAAAGCCGAGAACAAAAAAAAGGTAGCATTCATCGTGATCAAATCAACTGGTATTTCAAAGTCTTCAAAGCAAATCGAAGCCAGATAGTTCAAAGGCAAAGAAAGGAAAAAAATTGTATCGACAAGAGAAGAAGCAACGCTCTCGTATGGTATAATTGGAAAGTCGTAGCCCTACGTAATTCCGTAGATAGGGCCGAAGAAGAGGTAGCAAGTATATACATGAAAGGAAAGAAAGAACCCTACTAGTCCTTCTTGCTGTCCTTCCGACTGAGCGAAGGAGAGGCAGTTCGCTCTGGAGAAGGTGACAGCGAGCGCTCCCATTCTGCCATCAGATTGGATGCAGTCCGTTGAAGCTTCGAGGGGGCCAGCTTGGTAATTGCAGGCCAGGGAATGCTTTCGGAGACTCCAGAATCAAGTGTAGAGGAAGCCGGGTTTAAATCGCCAAAGCTAGGAGCGTGGTCAGCGCATGACGAGGTTGTCATAGATGAAATCAGAAAAGGTCGAACGGTACCTAGCGCTGGTGCGAGGGCTGCTACCCTGTGTGATGGGTGATTGATCACGTTTCGATGCAACTGTTGATCGGCTCGACGAGGGCGTGTGCGTTTTCTGCGCGGATAGGGGCGTGTCCCAGCTATCCCAGTTATCGAGATCTTCATCCTGCGCGTCGATTGAGTTACTGGAGAGGTGGTCGCGCTGTTCGGCCGCGTTCGCCTCGTTTCGGTTGGCGGCTTTGTTGTCGGAGGGGGTGCGCGGGGCGTTCGGAGACTTCTGAGCGGGTGTATCAATGCCGAATTCGTTCCAGAAAGACGTGGAAATTTCCGCCGGCTTGGTGTCTTTACCAGTTTTTGTCTCGGCCGCTGGCCCCCTTCCCCGCGAAGACGATGACGACGATGATCGTGATAGCTTGCCGTCCGCTAGCAACCGTTCTCGACTCCGAGATCCCGCCAATGAATCCCGTTTGCGACCATTTGGTGGTGCCAATGAGTTGGGTGAGTTTCGTGTTTGTGTGCCATTGATTCCTTCCTCGCCCACGGTAGCTTGTCGGATATCTTCCAAAAATGTCCACAGACCCTCGCGGAGATCGGATGCCATTTGCTTGCCTGTCCGCACCAAGGCCTCCCGCGAGGGGGGAGGAAGAGTCTTATGCCACTGTGCGAGTAGATGTTCTGGTACCTGGCTCTCATCTAGTTGTGCACTCATCATAGCTGCATTATTGCGGTCGACCGATGGTAATGTCGCAGACCGCGGAGTGCGACCCACACGTTCTTGTGAGGGACCCGAGTCTCCACGGGACGAAATGCTGGGGCCTGAGACTGGCGACAAAAGAGATAAAGTCCGTGTATGTGCGCCGTGAAACACTCGCCGACCATTAGTCCCAATCTTGGTTCCTGGTACGGCAGCCGCACGCACGCTAGCCCGTCGGTCTAGATCTCGGCTCATCCGTTCCTGTGATACCGTGGAGCTCGTGACTGAGCTCATGCTCTGTTCCCGGGCGTGTGAACTCGGAGCCTCGGATGTGGCGAAATCGGGCGATCGGAGGGGGATCAGTGGCTCTGCGTGGTTGATCTCCGCCCGCTTCCTGGACTTTTCAGATAGTGCCCATTGTTTTTTAATTGTCACCAGGTCTGCTTCGGCCCGCGTGAGCTCCTCGCGAAGTTCCATGACCTTCCGTTCCTGCGAGGCGATGGCCCGCAGGAAATCATAGCCATCATCCGGGACATCAAATGCCATAGGTGTTCCCGGAGGCTGAGCGGGGGGGGGACGAGTGGCGGACTGTGTAACTGGTGTTATGGAGCCGGGGGAGGTGACGTTGGAATCGGATATTTCAGGTTCGTTCAGGTTGATGGGGAAGTTCAAGGTGAGGCGTTTGGCATGACGGGCCGTACGAGGTAGTGAACCTTTCTGAGCGAGAGATGATGAACGTGAGAGAGAAGAGAACTGCTCGGAAGCAGAGTCCGGCACAGTTGAAATCTGGTCCGGAAATGGACCATAGACCAGGCTCTCCGCTCCCGGAAGACTCTCCATTGTGGACCAGCCAGTAGGAGAGATCAAAATATTTCAAAAAGTCATAAGAGAAACAAACAAAATTAGCAAAATGTAACACAGGAGAGTTGAGAAGGGGAAAAATAATAGCTGGGGGTCTCCTGAGTCCAGCCCACAGCGGGTCCCCACAGTCCACGGGCTGTGTTTCAGGGGGAATTAATTAGCCTACAGGTCTTGGCGAGGTAAACTATACTTTGTACTTTCAATTGGTATGTAATTCGAATGGTTGAACAGCTTAACTGCCAAAAAAAAAATATCCACTAGTCCAAGGCCGAATGCCCATACTTCATCAGCCCGAGGTTTTGCTATGTTCAGATTAGCCTACAGAGCCCGGATATATAACCTTCAAGCCTGTGCTTTTGTCTCGTGCTTTATAAATGAGCCTAAACGAAGAAGGGAATAATGGAAAGAACGACCTTCTAAGGTGCAATTGAGAAGATGTAAAACCGGCAAGAGCAAAGGACCGTCCATTTTGAGAAGGTGCCTGGGAGGTATATAAAAGGGCTTCTCCCACCTTTCCTCTTCTTCTTCTCTTCTTCTCTTCTTCCTCTCCTCAGCCCTCGACCTCCATCTCTCCGTAGCCCTGAGATCGTGCAGAGGGTGCCTTACCTACAACTGGGATATCAAATTGTCGAGGTCCCATTACAGGGTCTGCGCCCACATCAAATTGGGAGTTCTTGTGGAAAGTATTGAATAAAGTCATTGGCTGAGCCTTGTGGGTTCAATAGCCATTTGACAGATCCCACGGAATACATGGGTTGGTCACTACTGTGACATCCTCTTTATCTAGATGTATGTAGTTATCACCTTCTCGAAGTATATATGCCATTTCTATTTGTATTTCTATACTAAGAAAGGGAGTACCTAAAGAGTTAAGGCCCGAGAAGCTAAGGGTAAGGAGTATATAGTATATTAGTTTAACATTGTGAACTATGTAGGCTTAATACTACATCTTATCTGATCTTTTTACTACGATTTTATGGCTTCTTTCTGAAAAAGGAATAAAACTAGTTTATCGTATAGAATTACTATAGAGTATACATATGGTAAGTTAATAGAATTTTGACTAGAGACTTTATTTACTCCGCTAGAAAGTGACTAAATTACTGGCAATTTAACCGTACACGGGTGTGTTTAAGCTTATTTTTAGTTGCACTCTTATTTCTCTTGTGGAGGCCGAAAAAAAAGTCAAGTCTTCCAAGGTTCTGATGAAGTGTTAAAAAGAAACCAGAGATATAAATAGACCTCGGGAATATGCAGGGACCCGTCCGTCATTCAACCGCACCGTAGAGCGCGCATTCGCCAACCGCGTCGTCATGAACTGGAAAGGTGTTCTGCGTATTTGCTCTAATGCCGGAGTTACTCACAGGGGAATTTACCCCCAATTTCCCATTTCCGCGTGCCGCCTAACCTCCCCCTTTGATCGAAAATCAGCCTGGTCGCTTCGATATTCATCACAATGGACGTCCAACCCGAGAGTCTTCCCAGTCTTCGACCTTGGGTTATTAGATTCATCACTCAAAATCGAAGAAGAGCTTGCGATGGGACATGAGCCCAACGAGGCATACACATATCCCGCCGAGGAGGAAGAAATCCTGAACGACAGGTATCAAGTTCTACACAAGATCGGCTATGGACCCACGGCAACTGTCTGGTATGCCTTCGATATAATGTGAGTATCTCATTCAAGTGGGAGCGGCACTACTCTAACAGTCAACAACAGGGAGCCCAGAATGGTTGTTTTGAAGATCTATGTGGTGGACCATATGCTCAAGACTTATGGGTGGGTCCACCCACCAAAACCATACGAGCAAAGCGAGTGCCCTCTTCACGAAGTTAGCGATCGTTTCCCTATCAAGGGTCCTCGGGGCCCTCATATTTGTGTTGTTCACGAGGGACCACCGATAGACCCAGATCAGATGCACCTAGGGGAAAAGATGGACCTCGAGTCGATAAGGTCTACAATGAAACAAATGCTGGTCATGATGGATTTCCTACACACCGATTGTTATCTGACTGCCCGTATCGTCACCCGGCATCTTTTTTTGAAGGATAAATGACTGATTATAGAGCAGGAATAAAGCCAAACGAAGTATTTAACTTTACTTCCACCAACAGACGACATACTGGACCCAGCAATCACGAGCTCATCACCCCAATGATACTCCCAGGGGATGGCGTTCCCCTCCATCTGGACTTCCCAGACAATGACATGCCCGGTATCATCGAAAAACACTGCAGGCCTCCTGAACAGGTCCTGAAATCGAAATGTGATCACAGGGCAGATATCTGGGCTATTGCTTTTGCTGTGGGTACTGTTCTATTGAGGCAAAGGAAAAAAGCTTACATAGTCTATCTAGGCATGGGATTACACCAGTTCCCAAGGACTCATTGACGGACGAAACTCAGACGGAGCCTTTGATGACCGGGTCCACATCGCAGAGCTGGTTTCTCTACTTGGGCCTCCTCCGCCAGAGTTCAGCGAGAAGATGCGACTAGGCTCCATGTTCTGGGACAGAGAAGGGAATTGGACGGGCCAAGCTTCCATACCAGACCGAAGCTTGGAGAGCCTGGCAGCTGACAACGTTGACGGCGAGGATGTTGAAGGCTTCGTGGGGTGGATGCGCAAAGCGCTACAATGGGATCCTGAAGATCGGCCAACGGCCCTGGGGCTCTTGCGTCATGAATGGATGGCCCGGAAGATGAAAATTGTGGAGGGAGAGGGTGTAGATGAATCTGAGGACAGCACCCAAGTCTAGTCTTTCCATCTTGCCACATGCAGCCTGTATAAGTATATGTACATAGCATAGAAGCTCCACTCAGTCAAACCCCGCTCAACCAGAGGCCTGCTGGACTATACCCACGAATAAAATGACCTTTGCGGTGTAAAGCCCGGGAAGCAAAGAGCTATACATTTGTATTCAAAATGTTCTCTCCACTTTTTTAGCACCCACTCTCTGTCGTAACTGCATACAGGGGAAAGTAAACCAGTCAAAGAGAGCTCGTTCTCATGAGGCTCTGATATCCTTCCCTCTTCTTCATCCAAGATGCGTTTGAACATTTCAAGATGTTTGAGATAACGGGGTGTTACCTCGGGAGGCTTTTCATCCACAAAATCCCAATCTTCATTAATCGACCGATCGAAAAGAAGCCACCAAGGTGCTGATGCGAATAGCTGGGCTGGACCTCCATAAACCCATTCTAGTTCCACCATTCCAACAATTGTGAGATCGTCTTGACTCTTAACAATCACATTTGCTGGGCTGAAGTCGTCGCAAATAAGTTTGGATGGGCCTTGATCATAGTCTGGATTCACCATCTCGGGTATCATGGATTCCAGAATCTTTAGCGAGGCGAAATTCGACCCCCATTTTGCTGGACAACGACCGAGTTAGGCTGATCTCGAAGCTGTTGCTGGTCTTGGCGGATGGTATAATGTAAATACTTGCTAGTCATCGAGAAACCCTGGGTTCGGTCGCCTAAGTTCATTGAATTAGTAGGAGTGTATAGCCTGGATTCCTTTCCAAGAAAGAGATCTTTAAGACAAACACCCTGAACAAATTCCATCAATATAAACGGGCCAAGCCCAAGCGGATTGGTCTTAGCAAGACCCCAAGCATAGATTTTTGGAACTGGTACAGTGGTCTTCTTTCGGATCAACTCGATAGCTTCCACCTCCATCACCACTTTCTCGTCGGCAAAAGCAGAAGAAACACTGCTGATACGAGGCAAACGGAGCAAATATGCTGTTTCACCATTGATGAACAATTTTTGGCAGAGGTTATAGGAGCCATTCATAGATCCACTATCGAGTTGGCAAGATACTTGCCCGGGAAGCAAGGTTGTAACCCAGGCACAGAGTGTCCCATCTGCCCGGGCCTCATTGATTTTGCGAATCCATATCTCCTCTTCGACATGATCAAAGATATCCAGGCATTTGTCATATTCTATAATAAGGAGATATTAAATGAGCACAATGGAGTATGAAAGGCTGAGATTCAAAACAAAGGTAAAATGTGAAGACAAAAAGGGATGCCTTCAATTCGTAAGTGTACGTGATTACAGCACAGACAGCCCAAAATATGCATGGACTACGCTATTATCTCAGTTTATCCTTGGCCTTTTTCAAAAGCCATGAATGAGGTGATGCGTTGTATGGTGACTCCCAGAAAGGTAGGTAGCTATTGGTGATAACAGAGCATACATATTACAATCTAAGACTGGGAACTGCATGGCCTGTAGTAAATCCCTGAGCACCAGACCACGGTGACGCGGAACATTTGTGAGACTCTTATCCCCGTATACTTCCATGCCCTTACATCTTTTGACAAAAATTACAGACCCTCCGTTAGGAAGGTCCGTCACCCAAACGGAGGGAATTACCCAAATGTCAGTGTACCTTTTACTAGTCAGACCATATAAAAGGTACATGTGTAGATGCGTATTTTTCTCAACAATATTATACTGTGGGACAAACAAGATCATGTCACCATGTGAGATATCAACATAGTGCTCAGCAATACAACATATACACCATCAGATTTCAGGGCAAGATGGCCCTTTCCGTTTAGTCTGAGCAGAGTGCCCAGGTGGACCCCTTGAGTGTTACATAAGCAGATCTTGAAATCCTAAAGGTCAGCTGTCTACCTAAATGGGGCCGTCCACATATCAACAGCCAATCAGCTATCTGATTCACCTGTTTCCACCAGCATCATTGGTCTAGTGGTAGAATTCGTCGTTGCCATCGACGAGGCCCGTGTTCGATTCACGGATGATGCACATCTTTTTATATTTTTTATATTCAATGCTTGTATCCCACTCAACGACGCATCATCACACGGGATGAAATAATACATGCATGGTGGCCAAGTGACGCCAAAGGCAGGTTGGACTCACATTTGGAGAGGGCGCTATGGTAGATGAAGGTGAGTCGTGACACTGACATCGACGGGCAGGTTCTAGAATGGAAAATTCAATTCCATTCATAATATCAGTACTGCATTTCCAGCCTTTCAAGAGAGTCCCACAACCTCATAGTTCCAGTTGCAAGTAGCATTAAGACTCTGCGCCAAAACACTCTTTGTTCCAGTCGCCGACGCAGCAACGTTATTGGAGTCATCAACAACCTGAATCATCTGCCCACTACCAACAGCAAGTCCCAAAACACTATTATAATTCAACCCCTTTTGACCAACAAAACTACCAATCAACTTGCTGTTACTATAAACCTTGATGGTATACCCAGTAGAAGGCAAGATAATAGCAAAGTTCACCGCATCACGAGCCGATTGGTAGTTAGCAATCGAAGAAGAGCAGCTGGCAGTAGTCAGAAGAGGACGGTACCAAAATGCACCAACAGGTCTAGTGCCCGGCGGAATAATCTGAGAGATACTCGTCGCGCCAGCCTTGTATGCTTTGATAAACGGCGTAATGACCTGCAGCCAACCCTTGTGGTCATATCCGTTGGCATAGTCTCCGATGTTGCTGCCTGCGATTTGATCCTGCCAGAAGTTGCCGACATAGTGACTTTCGCCGGCGTCATTCCAGGTGATTATCTCCAAGAAGTCGGGTTGGAGTTGTAGAGCTTGGGCCATGCGCTGGGGCAGATTGACCTCGCCAACGCGGTACCAGTTCTGGCCGCTGCCCATGTACTTGAATTGTAATGGCGATATTGCTATTTTCAATATTATCAGCAGTTTGGTACTCGCGATAGTTATCTTCGAATTACTCACGCATCATGTAGAGCTTTCTAGCCGCACGGGCCTGCTGCAAAGCAGCCGAATCAACCAGACTGCTGACATTGGCGGGAGTGTTACCAGGAGCTGGCCATGCAGACTCCCAGCTGAAGACACCGTTGAGAATAGGATAGGAGTTGAAAACGCTTTTGGGATAGCCGGAGAAGTCATCAAAGTCGGGAACAAAGAATGGCTTGATCCCATAAATCGAGTACATAGGCTGAATAAACCCGGAATCCCATTGCGCGTTGGAGATCGTGCCACCAGTGAATGTGCTAACGAACGCTTGACTGTTGACCTTGTAGTATGTGCTCTGGATTGCATATGGCGCCAAGAAAGCTGCGAGCTTTGTGACATCTAAGCCCCAGCTCATATCAAATGAGATGAATAACTTGAAGTTGGTTCCTGCTGCAGCCGCAAGAGATAGTTTAAAGCATTGATATTCCAGGTATCTGATGGGCTGATTGTATGAGTGTTCAGGGCAAAGCCGTCGAATCCTGCGTTCATCGCATCTCTTACATCGATGACGGCTTCTGCTGAGGTCATGGATCCGACCTAATTGCCATCAGTATCTGTTAAATCCACGGACTTTGAGATTTGAAGCTCACCATGTAGTGCGCAAATACGGCCTTTGTGTTACTTGACTGTGTCGCAATGGTTGTGGTAGTCTTATTCTTAGTCTTAGTCGTGGTCGTGGTGGTAGTAGGACCTACGACTTCTGTTAATAATTGAAGTTTAAATCTTGAGCGTTGAGATAGTACCTTTGATTGTAGAAGCTCTGTTTGACAATAATTCTTTCATTTCGCTGTTCGTCCACTTCATGATATTTTTTGAAATTTGATAATGCAAAACCCATCATTGCAGCCGATTGGGATTTCAAAGCAATGGTTTTGGCATACAAATTAATCTAAAGAGATGCCAGGGCAAGAAAACTACCATTTCCTGGATAGTGCACTTGACAAGCTGACCTTCTCACGATATGCCCTAGTCATTGCTTACTAAATGAAGGCAGTCACGGGGACTACGCTATGACCTCTTTCGGCTGATCCTTTGGCTGTATAGGGCCAATATGGAGGACCTCCACCGAAAAAAAGAAACATTTATAACGGTGATTTGACTACAAAATTTGCTATACGAGATTTGTTGAAATTCTCGCGAGAAATACACAAACTTTTCTCGCTGAAATTCTCAAATTATTTCGTGGCTGAACTAAGTCTTCGCCCAGACCCTTTGAACTCTTGATACTTACAACCCCTTCATGATTCGCCAATGGGCATCCTCGAATCAGTTGTGCGCCACCTCCAGGTTTCACCCGGTCTGCTGAACAGAAGCCCCCAGTTGCTGAGTCGTACCGAGAATCACAGCGAGAGCTTCGGTTGAAAGGCGTTTAACTATATTTCCCCAGAAAACCCGAAAGTTAAAAATGCCAAAGTTCAATCATGTGCCGACCAAGCCCTTATTCCACGAGTGTAACTAATGTCAGATGGTGTAGGGCAAAAACTGATATAAACGAGATGACCTTCTCTTCTTCCTTTTAGAGACATCATCTCAGATCCCAAGTCTACCTCGTCCTGCTCATCTTGGTAGCCAAGTCTATCCATCGCCATGGATTCAATGGCGACTACTCATGTCGAGCACAAGCTCGCAGTGCCAACCCAGTCTCTAGGGGAGAACACCATCGGAATCGACGACGATGCTCTCCTGCGTATGTCCGAGCAAATCCCAGATTTTGCCAACGTCGTCGAAAAGGCTCATCGCGCATCCAACTTTGAGCACAATCTGACGAACCGCGATGCCTTCAAGATCTTCCCCAAGGCCATCGGATTTTCGCTCATCCTTTCCCTGGCTATCATCATGGAGGGATACGACACCTCCCTCCTGGGCTCGTTTTACGCCTATCCGACCTTCCGTGAAAAATTCGGAGTTCAAACCGAAGAGAACGGCTACCAAGTTACCTCGAATTGGCAAACTGGTCTACAGAATGGAACCAACGTTGGCCAAATTCTCGGTCTGATCTTTGCTGGTCTCATTGCCGACCGCTTCGGCTACAAGAAGACCATGCTGGGCGCGTTGGTTGCCCTGGTTTGCTTTATCTTTCTCATGTTCTTCGCCCAAAACATCATCATGTTGCTCGTTGCTGAAGTCCTCTGTGGTATCCCATGGGGAGCCTTCCAAACTTTGACAACTACCTACGCGGCCGAGGTTAGTCCTATCGTCCTTCGACCATACCTGACTACCTACGTCAACCTCTGCTGGGTCACCGGGCAGTTCATCTCTGCCGGGATTCTGCGCGGACTGTTGGGACGTACTGATCAATGGGGCTGGCGCATTCCATATGCAATCCAATGGGTGTGGCCCGTTCCCATTATCATTGGTGTTCTCTTAGCACCCGAGTCTCCTTGGTGGCTCGTCCGAAATGAAAGAATCGAAGACGCAAAGCGATCTCTCAATCGCCTGTCTAGGCCTGGTATTTCAGAATATGATGCCGAAGATGCGGTTGCATTGATGATCCTCACAAATGCCAACGAAAAGCTCTCCCGGGAGGGTATTTCATATTGGGACTGTTTCAAGGGCGTCGACCTCCGCCGCACAGAGATCGTCTGCTGCGTCTGGATGTGTCAAGTCTTCTGCGGTATCTGGTATGGCGGCAACATTGTCTACTTCCTGCAACAAATCAACTTCAGCAACGAGCAGGCCTTCAACTTTGGACTCGGATTGAACGCCGTCGGCTGGTGTGGCACTGTCGTCTCGTGGTTTGTCATGCAACGAATTGGTCGCCGTACCTTGTTCGTCACCGGTCTTGGTATCCTATTCTGTATCCTGATGTTGGTTGGATTCCTCGGCATCCCGGGCGGCACGAATGCAGGAATCAGCTACGCCACGGCTGCCCTCTTGATGGTTTTCGTCTTCACTTATGATCTGACCGTTGGGCCTGTTACCTACTGCCTCATTTCTGAGATTCCGTCTACTCGTCTTCGAATTAAGAGTACCGTTCTTGCTCGTGACTGCTACAATGTCGCCAGCATTGTTGCCAACTTCTTGAATCCGCCCATTCTCAACCCCCTGGCTTGGAACCTGAAGGGTAAGGGTGGATTTATCTGGGCTCCTCTTTGTCTCATTTGCTTTGTCTGGTCTTTCTTCCGTCTCCCTGAGCCCAAGGGACGGACTCCGGCTGAACTGGACATTTTGTTCGAGAAGAAGGTTTCTGCTCGGAAGTTCACTAAGTTCGAGGTTACGCCGTTCCGGTCGGCTAACTTTGAGACTGTCGATGCGAATGTTTTGTCTGAGAAGTACTAAGTACTAGAATGGGGGTGACTGCTGAAATTTGGGACTTGATGGATTATACTGAGCCATCATTTGAGTCGGTTCACATTAGGATGAGAACAGGTTCGTTAAGAGATTGAAATTGAAGTCTTTAAAGTGCTCATTCTTGTTTTGTGTGGGATTGATCTTAAGAGTCATAGTAAACTTTGCGCATAGCAGGAGGGCAGAAAGTGGCAAAGAAGTGTTGAAAACAAGAAGCCAGACAACCTTGGGTTGGTGTGATAGATTACTAATCTTTTCTACAGTACACTGATAGATAATACATTCTTTGACGCTAAGCAAGGATTTCCTCCAGCTCCTCCTCTTGAGGAAATTCTAACATCAATGGCATATCACCCATAGAGGGTACTTGCCTCAACCGCTGATGTAGCTGAGACAGTCTTTCCGACTTTGACCCTCCAACCTTTGAAAGAAGCTGTTCGATGGCAATAACAGCATCTAGTGGACTGAAATGAGATGTCTTGTAAGTAAGAAGAGTTGGCATACAAAGTACCAAGTCCAAAATGGGATTTGCAATTTGAAGTAGCTTGATCTCCTATAAAGGCTGCAATGAGTGGTGATTCTGCTCTTGTTCGGAGGGAGTTGCTCACCATTCCATATCCATGGCTGCGAACTGACTCAATTGATACGTGGGAGATGGATGCCAAATAGTCTCTAGCAATCAAAAGTGGGTAGTCAAATGACAAGGGCTCAATTGAGGTCGCTGACGAAAGCATAAAATGTGAGGCACAATATTGCCAGAGTAGAGAGCGGATCCATGCAGAAGTAGTCAGGATATCCACATATTGAATTTCGAATTTCAATTCTAGTCCAGGTTGTTGGACCTCAATGAGATGTTGAATTTCTGATATTGCGTTCTTGGAGTACGTCTCCGGGGCTTCAATATCTTTGCTGTTGAATGAAGGGAGTGCTAGAGGGCGCTGAATATGATGGAATAACTGGACGAGCGTGCAAAAGCCAGCATATAGATCGCCCTTGGGACTGTTATGCTCAACTTCGGGAAGATTGGGCGTCCTATAGAGGATGATTGGAAGGTCGTGCTGGATGCAGAAGGTTCTTAACAAGATCAATTAGAATCGCTGTATATACCAAAACATTCGTACTAACCTCTCGGTGATGAAAAGTACCCAGTAGCATCGGAGTTCCAATTGCCATTTTGATTGTGTCGTATCAGACGGTACATGACGACACAGGTGCATTAGGTCTGCATATGTGATGGCTTCACGAAGGGAAATGGTAGCTGGTGTGACCTGGTCTTGATTGGAATAGTACATGTGAAGGAAGATTGATGTCACAAGAGCTTGCAGTGATGGTTGGTTGTAGCTGTGCTCCAATCGAATCCGTAAGCATTCCTTCGCAAATTCGTGGGCTGTCACAGTAAGACCATCGGGGCATGGGTCTTGTGTAAGCCAGAGTCGGGTTTGTGCTAACGTTGCGGCACACAAGGCAGCTGCTAGTGCGTGTGTACTGGTGTCAATCTCTTTGTCGCCACTTAACTGAAATTTGAGATCTTCTGCATCGACGATTGGCCATATATAATATAGGTGGGTTTGGAAGATATCAAGGACGGTGCAGTAGTTCGTGATAGAAATGTGAGAATCCGGGGAGCAGAGTGTAGGGCGTTGGAGTGTTGCCATCTTGACAGACCGAGGGACTCGCTGGATTTCTTCGATCTTGCGATTTGTGGCCGATCTTGGACCTTTTGGACCAGGCCTCTTGCGAACCCTCACATAAGTGCATTTTTGACTTCTGGTGAGGCAGACTAAGCATGGTTGACATCGATCGCATTTCACCCGACGGACAAAACAGCTATCACAAGGACTGTCCATATCTCAGACTATTCTCCGATGTCAGGAAATGCAGCGAGAATTTAAACGACCTCGTTTAATCTCCCCCGCGTGTGGATGCTCTTGGCGTCGACACGGGATGAGCGCCTCTAAAGGCTTAGTGCGAAAGAAAGAAGAAATAGGCGACAGGGTAACATGGGGATGCGCCACTAGATTTGTGGCTTATATCTCGAATGTACCGAATGTCTCAGCGAGAAATGCGGCGAAACTATGGAAGTGACACGATGAGACAAATATTGGGACCTTAAATGAGAAACAATATGCTCTCTCCATTCTTTCTCTCTTTCTTTCCTAATTATGCATCGATACTCATTCCCCCATGAGCCCGTCGCTCACCCCGAAGCGATCGTCGGCGGTACTGGGAAATATCGATTTACAGTGCTGGCCGATGGTCTGCTACGCTACGAATGGGCTGAAGATCATCAGTTCGAGGACCGGGCATCAGTGTTGGCAATCAACCGACGCTTGCCAACTCCTCAGTTTCGAGTGAAAGACGATAAAGATTCTCTTCAGATCATCACTTCTCGATTCCACCTCACCTATAACAAAGGGACCTTCTCTGCAAGTGGTCTGAGTGCCTCTGTCAAAGGTCACTTTGGGCCTCATTCCAGCGTCTGGCGATATGGAGTCCCAACATCGAATCTTGGTGGCACAGCTCGCACGCTGGACGAGATTGATGGGCGCACAGCGCTTGAGAACGGTGTCATATCCAGACAAGGCTTTGCAACTTTAGATGACTCCAAATCCATGCTCTTTGATGACAACCAATGGGTGACTATACGGCGACCAGGCAGCAGGGTGGATGGATACCTCTTCGCCTACGGGCATGATTATCAACAAGCAATTCAGGCATTCTATCGTCTTTCCGGACCTCAACCTCTTCTCCCTCGCTGGGCACTGGGAAACTGGTGGAGTCGATATCATGCATACACATCAGAGGAATATCTTGAACTGATGGTCAAGTTCGAGGATAACAAAATCCCACTTTCTGTTGCAGTCCTGGACATGGACTGGCATATTGTCGATGACCCTCGAGTCAAAGAAGCCGGAGTGACGGGCTGGACTGGGTACACATGGAACAAAGAACTCTTCCCCGATCCAAAAGCCTTCATGGCATCCCTGTCTGAGAAAGGTCTACGCGTTGCATTGAATGATCATCCTGCAGATGGAGTTCAAAGCTATGAAGAGCCTTACGAAGAGATGGCGCTCGCGCTGAATCACGACACATCGATGCGAGATCCTATTCCATTTGACATCACCAATAAAGCCTTTGTTGATGCGTTTTTTGATGTCTTGCATCGGAAGTTTGAGAAAGAAGGCCTTGACCTGTGGTGGGTGGATTGGCAACAAGGAACACACTCTCGCATCCCAGGCATTGACCCTCTTTGGGTCTTGAATCACTACCACTTCCTGGACAGTGCACTTGACAACAAGCGGCCGCTGACCTTCTCACGATATGCCGGACCCGGTAGCCATCGCTTACCCGTTGGATTCAGTGGAGACACTTACATGACATGGGATTCTCTGAAATTCCAGCCCGAGTTCACGGCCACTGCCTCAAACATCGGCTATGGCTGGTGGAGTCATGATATCGGTGGCCACTTTCACGGCGAAAGAAGCGAGGAAATGCTTATTCGCTGGGTCCAACTTGGCACCTTCTCGCCCATCTTGCGACTGCATTCATCCAACAATATGTTCAGCGTCAAGGAACCGTGGAACATTTCAGAACCATATCAATATGTGATGACACGGTATCTCAACATTCGCCATCGACTAGTCCCATATCTGTACACGATGAACGCCCGCGCGGCTATTAAGGGCATCCCTCTAGTCCGGCCCATGTATTGGGCCTACCCCGAGATTGAAGAAGCCTACACCGTTCCCAATCAGTACATGTTCGGCTCCGAGCTCATCATTGCTCCTGTCACTGCTCCCGTTGACGCAAGTTCTCGGAGATCGGAAGTTATCGCCTGGCTTCCTCCTAGTCGATATGTGGACCTATCCACTGGCATAGTGTATGATGGAAACCGCCGCCTTCGACTTTATCGTTCCATCAACAAGTATCCAATCTTCGCACGGGAAGGCGCCATCATCCCAACAGACGGATCCCTGGTGCTTCAAAATGGCTGTGAGAACCCTCCTGTGATTGAGCTCATGGTAGTGGTTGGTGCCGACGGTCAATTCGAGCTCCTAGAAGATGACGGAAAAGGTCAATCAGTGGACCAAGTCCAGTTCCGCCGCACTCCAATCTCCTTCCATCAAGACAGCGGCAAGTTGGTCATCGGCCCCACAATTGGTTGTAGTGATCAAAAATCCCATACACGCCAGTGGAATGTGCTACTTGTCGGATACAAGGGACATGGACAAGTACAGGTATCCATCAGTATGGGCCGTGGCACTGGAGTCAAAACAGTTCAAGTTGAGGGAGACAATATGATAAACAAACGTGGTCTTGTTCTCCAGTTGGGATCATTTCCCAGTCATGCAGAGATCACTGTTCAACTAGAGAGGGATCCTGCACTTGATGTGCAAGAGCCCGTAACTCAAATCATCAAGTTCTTACGCGAGGCCCAGATGAACATGGATTGGAAGGATATTATCAAAACCATTGTTGACAGCCGCAAGTCCAAGCTGATGCAGATAAGCGAGTTGCATGCTCTTCCCATTCCTTGTCATTTGTTGAATCCTATCTATGAGATACTGTTGGCGGACAATCGTTCTTGTGGCCGGGAAAGCTAGGAAATGGACATGATAGAGATTATGAAATGAATTTTGAAACTTTGATACCTTTCCAAGGCCGGAATTAACGAAGTTGTAGTAGCCCGGGGTGTGGACGGGCCCTCAGAGGCCGGCTTTATCGTGGGGCTCTGGAGGATGTGAACGGACTGTCTCTGTGTCCGGCGGCGGCATAGTTTCCTGGGAGAGGGTTGGATTCCCGACTTTTCTGTGGAGATATGGTGTTATTAGATATGAATTCGGGGAGCCCGGTACAGATTGCAGTGTTGGATAAGTTGACACCGGGCAAGTCTGTCGAATCTACAGAAGAAGCTAGTGAGGAAATGAGGATAAATGGGAAATACCAAGAAATACGATAACCAAAAATCAAGACATTTATCACATTTCAGACATAGTATGTTCTAGTACTCGTAGAAGATACCTAAAGAAAATCACACAAAAGACCAAGGGCCAATAGACAAAGATAGAAGCACAGGCAGCATTCTATCAGGAGAAAAGAGAGTACAGAAGAAAGGGCAAAAAGATTACACCAGATCATTAGAAACTCCGGGACCAGTCCCACCAGAGTAAGGGACAGTAAGCAGAACGAACGGACACCAAGGATGCAGCCAATGGCAAAGAGTTGTACAAGATTCAGAACGCCAAATTGGGTCTATACAGCGAATGGAAGAAAGAGTAGCAGGGTGTGTTGGGGTTGATGTCGATGTCGAGAGGGGGAAGGTAGTTGAGGGCGAGACTAAGCGCCGCCCCAGCGGTTGCGGAGACCCTCTGACCATCGCTGGTAGAGGACATCTGAGAGTTGTTTGGTGTGTTCCATAGCGGATGAAGCCTGAGCGGGGACGGATGGGGGTGACTGGGGTTGGGGTTCGGGGACGTATGATTGGCGACGACGGTGGCTCTTGAGATGTGGGTTATTCTGGGCCAGCACTAGGCGTGGCCGCGAGGGGGAATCGGGCTGTGTGGGGGGGAGAAGAGTAGAGAGGCGAGAATCTGCTTGGAGCTTCTCGTTCATGATTCTGACGATATGGTAGAGGCCCTCTGGGTCGACCATTTCCAGGTCACTCCAGGCCTCGGCAAGTCTTGAAATTGCCTCGCGTTTATCACCATCTCCTGTTGTTGATAGGACTTCCTGGCAGGAAAGTCCTACTGCCTTGCTGTATGCACGTCGTCCAATCTGAGCCTCCTTGCTTGAAGAGTCGATGGGGACTGTCTTCGGGCTTTGGTTTTCATCAAATCCCTGCTTTGCTGGGTTCAGATCGGTGGGGACCTTGTCCGACACCCGGCGGAACTGTCTGACTGTAGACGGGCTGTTACCGTAACTCAAATCCAGACCAAGGGGTTGTTTGATCCCACTTGAGCGACGCTTGGTGTTAGCGCGTTTCACAGACGGGGATCGGTCGGCGGGAATTCGCTCGGTAGGAGCCCGGCGGACGGTAGAATTGGCCTGGTGCTTAGGCGGTGCTGGTGGCGGTGGGCTTATATGCAGTTCTTCCAACATTTGAGCTGGATCGGGCAGGTTTTCATCCTCCTCATCGAATGTCATCCAGTCCGTGCCCTTGGGCTTCCACATTGTAGGGGCCTTGATTGTGTCAAAGACCCAGTCGTCATCTTCAAGATCACCGGGCCTGGTCATGGTGTTCATAGACTCGGCATAGTATTTCACGTCTCTCGCCTCGCCACGGCCACCATCCCAGTCCTGCTTGCGATGAATCAGTTCTTGGAGTGACTCAGGCTTTCCCGCATTACGGATGAATTTGTGTCTCAATAGCTCCTTTGCACTCGGCCGAAGATCGGGGTCTTTTGTCAGACATTGTGCAATGAAGTCCTTGAATGTGTTGCTGTACTCGTTGCCTTCGAGGCGAGGGGCGGGGTTTTTTGGAATGAGGAAGAGCACCTTCATCGGGTGTGTGCTGGCGTGTGGGGGTTCTCCGTTGATCATCTCGATTGCCGTGATACCTAAAGACCAGATGTCTGCCTTGAAGTCATATCCAGCCTGCTGGATTACCTCGGGTGCCATCCAGAAAGGGGTACCGACGAATGTATTGCGCTGCGATTTGATATTGACTAGCTGCGCAGCGACACCAAAGTCTGCCAGTTTCACCTTTCCAGTCTGGGAAAGGAGAACATTGGCAGCCTTGACATCGCGGTGGATTTTGCCTTCGTTGTGCAAATAATCCAAGCCCAGGAGCAGTTCTCTGCAGACAATGGCCACATGGGCTTCGTTAAAACATCCAGGTTTCAACTGGGACGGTTAGCGATGTACCTCATGGTAAAAAGAGCCAAAAAAACGTACCAAATCCAAACAGGAACCACCTCCGAGATATTCCATAACAATCCATAGTTTGTGCCCCTTAAGGAAACTGGCCTTGTATTGTGTAACGTAGGGGCTAGCGCAGGTAGCCAAAACAGAAATCTCCTGTTGGATTTCCTGAATATCATCCTCGCTGGACTCGAGATCGATCTGAAAAGGGGTCAATTATGAGACGAAAATGTGGGGATTGACTCGAAGATCGATCATGAAAAGCGTACGTGTTTAATAGCAACGATCTCGCCGTCAGTCTTGTCAATGGCCTTGTAAACGATTCCGAAACTACCACCTGCAAACGGAGAGTACGGTTAGCCGACGGAAATACCAAAAAAAAAAAAAAAAGCAGCTTTAACTCACTCCCTAGCTCCTCCATCACCTGGTAATGACTCGCCATGTCGTCCATTGTGTAATAATTCAGCCCAGCTACTCCGGTCGGACAGGGTATGTCGACAGGGCTCATTCAAGTAATTGAATGAATAGCTTTGGACTGAAAGGTCAAGAGAGACAAGAGGCTACAAGGGGTGGAGCATAAATCCCCAAACAAGCTCCGTCTCACATGGCAACGGGTGGCCTCAGGCAGCGACCGGGGTATATCAGCAAGGGGTCCACTAATATGGCCTGGAAGGATTATCATTTACTTGTTTTGTTTTTAGTACTTGGACATGCATTGTATGTGCATGTATATGCATGTATATGCCTGTGCTTGTGTGATTATTACTCCTCGGTGAACGGCTCATTGTTATGCTTCAACCCCTATACATTTTACACCGCAACTAGCTCTAAATATACTTGTACGGGTTCATGATCCCATTCTAATAAAAGTTAGCAATTACCCCCACATATCAGCGATACTCCACTTACCGGGTCATAGAGGTTCTTGAGCTGCTTCATCAACTTCACCATCGTCTCGTTTTGGCTGTAGCCAATGAACTCCCGCTTAGCAACGCCAAGCCCATGCTCGGCACTGATGCTGCCCTGGCGCTTCTGAATCCACTCATACACCCACGGCTCAATCGCCTTCTCCACTTCCTTGCTGTACTGTCGCACGGCAACGTTCAAGTGCAGGTTGGAGTCACCCATGTGACCGTAACCAACCACAGCACGGACGGGGAAAGAGTCATCGTCACCGACCAGACCCTTTTCCGTGAGGCGGGCCTTGCAGTCCTCCACAAGCAGGTACAGATCGGACAATGGGATCGACACATCGTACTTGTAGGTGCCACCCAAGTGGCTCAGAGACTCGGTGATACCCTCGCGCCAGCGCCACAGGGCCTGGAACTGGGTCTCATCCTGGGCCAGTACACCGTCGGCGACAATGCCATCGCCCATAACGCTCTCCAAGAATGACTCCAACTTGGCCATGTCGTGCTCGGAGTTGGAACCGCTGGTCTCCACCAGACAGTAGAAAGGATACTCACCCTCAAGAGGGTGCTTATTACCCGTAGATTCAATGACTAATTTCTGGCTGCGACCGTCCATCAGCTCGAATGCAGAGAGAATCTCCGAGAGCTGGCCCTTGGCAGCGAGGTAAGCTTGCTGGACCTGCTCGAAGCTCTCGAGACCGAAGTAGGCCACATTAACCGCCTTGGGGCGAGGGGGACACTGAATAGAGACAGCAGTCACGAGGCCAATGGTACCCTCGGAGCCGATGAACAGCTGCTTGATATCGTAGCCAGTGTTGTTTTTGCGTAGAGTCGACAGCGCATCCACGATAGTCCCGTCCGGCAGGACCGCCTCGAGGCCAAGCACGCTACCGTGCAGACTGCCATAGCGGAGGAGGCGCAGACCACCGGCGTTGGTGGAGACATTTCCACCGATGTGGCAGGACCCCTTGGCACCAAGGTCCAGAGGGAAGAGGTGCTCCCGCTCGGCGAGATACTGGTCGGCAGTCTCGAGGATAACACCGGCATCAGCGACCAACACACCGGAAGCAGCATCGAAAGAGCGGATCTGGTTCATGCGGGAGGTGTTGATGACGATCTCATCGAAGACCGGGACCGAGCCACCGACCAGACCAGTGTTTCCACCCTGCGGCACGACGGCCAATTTGCGCTCGTTACAGTATTTCAGCACCTTGCTGACCTCCTGTGCATTCTGGGGCTTCAGAACAAGCCGGGTGTGGCCACGGTACTTGCGCATCCAGTCGCTGTTGAAGGGTTCGAGATCGTCCGTCGCATCGGTAGTCACGCCATCAATCACGGCCGACTGGGAGCCCAGAAGCTCCTTAAAGTGTGCAACATCGTCGGCGGAGATCTCGGCGAAGTTGGGGTTGCGCTTGAGGTTGGGGTAGGCGTCGCTGGTGAACTTGATCTGACGGGAATCGGAGTCGCGGATGGAGCTGGCGCTGAAGGCGCGCACAGTCAAAGGTGTGAATTGGACCGGGCGAATGGCAAGACGAGGACGAGGCACTCGGGCCCGCCGCAAAGCAGCTGTGAGATTCCTAGTACCGGACATGGCTGGGGGAATTGAGAGAACAATTTTGAGAATGTCGAGTGGAGATGCTCCGATGCTCCGATGCTCCGATCTGCCTCCGAGAGCCAGACGTTACTTCGAGCTCGGAGATTTTCGGCTTTTTGTATTCTACGCTTGCAGTGTCTTAAAAACAGTTTATATGGTTTGGAATTTGAATTGATCTTGAGCTTAGTATACAAAAGTATTAATTACAGTATATTGTATACACATTCGAAGAAGTGGTATCTTGTCGGCCAATTCAGCACTTTGAGGAGCACTCATTCATTTCTATGGAACTGGCGAAACTAAAACCCGTAAGAATAAATCGTCAGCTATTTTTGTTATTTGTTAATTGTTAGTGGGTGCTATTCGAGCATGATCGCGGACTTATCGAACGAGAGCTTCCACGTGTGTGGCATAAAGTGTTACGAAGCTTCACAATTCTAGAAGCACAAACAAGCTTGATTTCGAGAATAATGCTGTAAAGTATCTAATCGAAATTCTGGAACTTTGCATAACTCTTCTTTATGACGATTCTGTCCTAGAGTCCGTGCCCGAAAGCCTAAGCCGTCACACTTGGTCGAAGGAGCTCTAGGAAGCTGTCGTAGGGCTTCTTAAAAATCAATGCCGGGATAGAAGAGAGCTGACACTTGGACACCTACAACATAAGAAAATAATTAGCGCCAACGCATAAGATCAATGCGCTTAGCCAACTACCGTCATCTGGGTTCAAATGGTTATAGAGGCAAACCTCGAGGATTAGGATTAGCGGGTAAGATATGTCCTGGTCATAAGAAGCTACTAGCCCGTTCTAGAAGCTGCATATCGGCTATTGTGGTCTTGATTTCATGTAAAAGGGCTTAGCATTGTAGGACTCGTTGAGAAATAGGTCCAATGGGATCGAAAACTTTCTGAAGAAAGTTTGTATAGGGCCTTAGACCAAATCCAATAGTGGAGTATTAATGCCCATAAAGGTTTTATTCCGAAAGAAAACAATGAACGGATTTAGTACAGCCACATGGTGGACAGATGCACCCTACAAGGGAATGATTGGATGAAACACCTTTTTTTTTTAGTTAGCTTGATGAATTCCACGTGGGGGCCATGTGGTTACAGACAGAAATTGACATGATTGGACGAATGCAAGACATCTTGCGAGTTTAGCGCAATATCGGCATGGTTCCGCAAACGGTGCCTTAAATGGGCGTTCCCCCGTTTATCACCAACCATCAATTGATATTTCTCCTCAAGATGGGTTTCTTCCGCACCTTGAGCCTGACGGCTACAGCCGTGGCCTTGGTGACTGCACAGCCCCATGGATGTCCTGCAGGCTCATCTTCTTCTCCCAGAGCCACCGTCGAGCAGGGGGTGGTCAAGGGCTGTTCCCAGAATGATGCCAACGTCTTTCTAGGCATTCCCTTTGCCGAGACCACTGCTGGAGAGAACCGCTGGAAGGCACCCAAGCCCCTCGGTTCATTCCCCAAGGGTGGCTTCAAGGCCACTGCCTATGGGCCATCCTGTGCCCAGGCAATGTCAGGCACGGCAATCACCAAGCAGAGCGAGGATTGTCTCAACCTCAACATTTGGACCCCGAAAAAGGGTACTAAACACCCTGTGTTTGTCTACATTTATGGTGGGGCCATGGTCACCGGCGGCAGCAGCAACGCGCAATGGCAAGGGTCCAACTTTGCCCGCAAGGATGTTATCTACGTCAACTTCAATTACCGTGAGAGCATTTATGCCTCGCCCAATGCGCCTGAACTGGAGGGACAGTCGCAGAATTTTGGAATCATGGACGTGGAGTTAGCCATGGAGTGGATTCACAACAATATTGAGGGTTAGTTCCTATTTCTCTTTGAAACCAATGATCTTTTGCCTAACCTCGTCACCAGCTTTCGGAGGTGATAAGTCGCGCATCGTGCTGGGTGGCCATTCATCTGGTGGAGTGCACGTTGATCACTATCTCTGGAATCACCCGGATACATTCCTGGCCGGTGCGATCGAGATGTCTGCTAACGCTCAATCGGGTCCTGGCTACGCGGCCGCAGGGGTCGCGATGAAGGAGGTCGTCCAGACAATGCTGGATGCCGGCGTGACTCTGGGCTGTACCGCAGATGACTATACTCTCGAGTGCCTGCGCGCAGCAGATACGTACGCCTTTCAGACGAGCGACTTCAACTCAAGCTTGAACACCTGGTTCTCACCAGTGGTGGACGAGATCACCCGCTTCTCCAACTACACCGACCGCTTCGCCAAGGGATACTACCCCAAATCATTGCCGTTGCTCGTCGGCAACTCCGACCAGGAGGGCGAGATCTTCAGCTATGTCTACGGCAGCGAGAACACCAACTTTTCCTCCTGGGTCCGCACTTTTGATGCCGATCTTACCTTTGTGCCCGCAGACGAGCTCCTGGCCGGCTACAACGAGGCCGACTACTCCTCCGTCTCCCAGATGAGCGGTGCCTCTTACGGCGACGCGCGTTTCCTCTGCGCGACCGACTACCTCCTGGACTTGCGCGCCGGCGAACAACCCACCTGGATCTACCGCTGGTTCGGCGATTACTCGAACGTGCTACCAATCCCCAATCTCGGACCCTCGCACGGTAGCGAGGTGCCCTTTTTCCACGGCGGCAATAAGTGCTTCTCCCTGCTGGATGGCGTGACCGAGGCGGAGCAACAGCTGGCGGACTACATGAACTCTTGGCTTGTGGCGTGGATCAAGAATCCCAGCGCTGGGCCTGGCTGGGGGCAGGCTAAGCCTGTTGATGGTCCCTTGGCGCGTGTGGGTGTGCCTGGACACGAGGGGGAGATTGTGACTAGCACAACTGGCGCTTACAACGGTCGCTGTCAGAAACTCTACAAGCCCAACTATCCTAACTACCCTGTGGTGTGGGACGCTAGTGCTTGAGAAAAGTTCACTAGTGTGTGGAATGTTCCGTGCTTTTTTTCTGTTTAGAAAAATTAAAATTAAAATTATTTATCTAATGCAGGTACGGTTCGAGAACATCTAGCGTATTACGTTACTTTAAGAACTTAATAAATTTACATAACAGGTACCTAGGTAGCTTTTGCGTATTAATTACCCCTTCGTGAAGATTACCTAGGTAGCAACGCAAGACATCTCTACTCTCTCGTAGGCTTAGGCCTTTGTTTACCAAATCAGGACCTCTGGAGTCCCGAGCTCCGTCCACGGGTCTTCTCATCGAGGTTCCATTTTACCGAAAAGGTATATAATGACACTAGCCCGAATGAAGATAGACCTTAGTGTTGTGATTGGTCACTGCTGTTTAAGGTTTAATTATTTCTGGTACAATTTTGCATTTGGTCTAGCGGCAAAACTGAAGTTGCTCAATCTGGATAAAGTTTGAATCGTCCACGGATTTTGTGAACCACTTGGGAGCTTGTTCCAAAGTGGCGGGAAAATAAATGACTCGCAACTCTCACCTCTTATTTCGTCAATGTTTTGCAGGGTGCAATATCAAAGCATTGCTCGCGGGCTTTAAATAAATTAACCCATATTACTCCTCAGGGATCACATGCAATTTCCAGGACTATGCAAAAAGCTACTCCAACTCCATAACAAAATAGAAACTTCCAGGAATTAATCTTTCATTACCACATTTATGTGGAGCACTCACTAAATTGGGACAGGAATCATTAACGTTTATCCGATTTTGAAATCCCGTAGCCCCGAGAAAAATTCCGTCAATATTATAGGTGAATCGCAGAGCACCTAAATCTACTCCGTAACTTGCATAACAGATCGATGCTAGAGTCTTGGCAGTCGCCCTAGCAAAGAAGTGTCTCAGTGTATTCTCTGAATTACGAGAATGGTTGTAGATTTTAAAATCATCTGTGTCGACGGCACCTTCCTGGATGCTCCCGTATCCCACCTTGCCATTTCTTCTCTCTGTCGTGACTGAAGCACAGGCAACCCAACATGGCACGCCCGGATCAGGGACAAGTGGTATAGTGCCCTTTCTTCAGTTCTCTCCGTCCTCATCCTACTAGCTTGCTAACAGGGTCTCTATGTAGGTTGCCTGGTATGTATGCACAGTGGCAGCATGCATCTTTCTGGTCTGTCGCCTTGTGGTCCGAATCCGGCTCCTGAAACGGCTGTACCTCGACGACCTGTTCGTGTCTCTGGCTGCCTTGTGTCTAATCGGAGATCTGGGGATCCAGCATTATATGTTTAACCAGGGTACGTGTCTCAACTCATGAACTGGTGGAGCAAGCTTCTCGGACTCCACTGACAATGCACAGGCATGTCTGAAATGGCCAAGTCAACTGTGGATGGAAAGATTAATATGATGAAGGTAAAACCGCCTGGGGTTGGAAGGATCTGCAATCACATTGTTAATGTCTGAACAGATGATCATCCCGGGATCCACTTTATATGTTACTTCGCTATGGCTGATCAAGGCCAGCATGGTGATCTTCTACAAGCGTCTGGCAGATCGCACCCGGTATCAGATTGTGTATAATATCACACTTGGTCTCCTGGCTGCGACCTGGCTAGTGCTGTTTTTCGATATTGTGTTCAAGTGTTATCCGGTCCAGCGGCAGTGGCAGGCGATTACAAATCCCGAATGTGAGCATGCTTCTATATCAACTACATCACAGACACAGGGACTGACAATTTACCAGTGACATGTCCCCAAGGACCGTCCACAATAAATTACTGGCTCACGATTCTCTGTATGGCCCTTTGTCTGGACTTAATTGGGACTATCAGCTAATTCTTACAGTCAACATTTTCACTGATGTCTTCAGTAAGTCAAATTCAATTCAATCTCAAGATCACATCTAACCCAACCTAGTCATTTGCCTCCCCATTACGCAGGTTGCAAGACTCAAGATGCCCACGAAACAAAAATGGGGTGTCATTTCTGTTTTCCTCCTGGGTATTCTGGTAGTCATAACCAGCAGTATGTCACCCCCTCCCTCTCATATCATCTCCACTAAACCATGTCCCCAGTCATCCGGGCAATCTACTCCTACCGCAACGAACAAATGATCACTTGCACCGTCTCCATGGTCGAAACCGCCATCGCCATCATCGCGTCTTGTCTCCCCGTTCTCCGCACGCTAGTATTCGGCTCTCACTCTCGCACGGGAACCTATAGCGGCCGCCGCGGCTACGAGCTCTCTCACTCTGGCGTACATACCGGCGCCAACGCGCAGCACACCGCCGTCTCCACCTCACAGGGTCAGACTGACCGCGGCATAGATGACATCTCGTTCAATGACTCCGAGGACGGATTAGTGAAGGATACGCCCCCGACTTCCGGACCAGGGATCGCCGTCAGACATGAGTATTTCGTGCATCAGGATTCTGTATAAGGCACGAAACCTTTGTGAGGGCTACGAAGTGCTCACTTTGCTTTTATAGAATAGCTCAAGACTTTTTAATTAATCACCTAGCCTCTATTAATGCGCCTATTTGTACTCCCTGGTTCTACGCAACCGATGTCTATGGCCCATGTATATAATTCCCTGTTTGTGGCTTTAACCCTTTTTACTCTACACTAGTCACAGAATCACGGACCTCGAGATACTACCCGTGGACTAAATAGCGCTTACCTCACTTTCAGCCCCAATGTAACATGGTGTTCATGCTAGAAGCTAATTGGTTATAGGATTGTTTTCGCTTTTTTACATAAAGCTATCGAGAATTCCCAAGTGAATAGACTTTATATTCCACCCATTTCTGATTTTTCAATATGGCAACCCAAGTCTTTCGAGAACTTTCCAAGTCTAGCCGACTCATCTATCGAGCCCCAGAAAGCTCCGAAGAGGATGTTGCATTTTTCCACCATCACATTGTCAACGACGATGTAATCAAAACACTCGGTGGTAGACGTCTCCCACGCCCATATCCCAAAAAGAGTGCAGAGGAGTTCATCAAGGCAATGCAAGATTCCGTCCTCGGGGTGGTTATATGTCTTCCCCAAGATTCCCCCGAAGCAGATCAAAATTCCAAGCCAGTCCCAATTGGCTTCGTGGGCGTTTTCGGTTCGACTGGACCGGATCACGCTCATCATCGCAATGCGATGATAGTAATCTCACTTGCGGATGGATTTCGCGGGAAAGGATACGGTGGAGAAGCTATCAACTGGGCACTGGACTGGGCATTTCAACATGTTGGACTGCATAGAGTCACTATAGGCGCATTTTCATTTAACCACGATGCATTGAAGCTTTATAGGAAGCTTGGATTTGTGGATGAAGGTCGCGAACGTGAGGCTGTATACCATCGTCGCGCTTGGCATGATATTGTCAATTTGTCTATGCTGGAGCATGAGTGGGAAGTTTTGAGAGGAATAGTGCCGGATCAGACAGATCGCACTCCCGCTTCTCTCCCTGAAACATCTGGTGAATGAAGGCTTAACTTCTGCTACATTGTTGACAAGATTTTCATGGTTGGATGATAATTGGCTTTACATGTACTTTAGGAAGTGAGTATTGTTCATCGGTCACGTTTTCCTTTTCTTTTTTTTTCCCTTTCGATTTCTATTAAAGCAAAGGCAAAGATATATAGTTCGACACGCTCACTTTGTGATGGGAGATACCTAATTAGATTTACCCCTTTCGCTACACCGGTGGGCAAATCCCTGAACACCTAAAAGCGGAAGACCAAAGACCCAGGAAAATCCAGTACAGAGCTCTGCATATTGTACCTACTCTAAGGTATGCGTGCCGTAATAGAAGCTCAGAAATGAGTAGAATTGAAATGGAATATGGTGTTTCAACCTGGTTGACAGTCGTATATTAGCTTATATCCACATCTGGCAGACTGGAAGTCAGTTACGTCACAGTGGCTCCCCGTGTCGACAGGGAAAAAAAAATGGCCTCTCTCAACTTCCTCACTTAACTACTACATTCAAGAAATGACATCTACAGTTCTTGTTACTGGAGCCAGTGGCTTCCTTGGCCGTGCTGTTTTCAATACTTTCCAACACTCGGGCGTGTTGGTTGTTGGCCAGGGATTCTCCCGCCCTGCCCCGCCGACCATCTTGAAGGCCGATCTGGAGAAGGAGGAAGACATTCGCATGCTTTTTGATGAAGTCAAGTATGTATGTCCATTTAGATCTCAATTATATATATTAATCAGCTTTGAACTATAGGCCTCAGATTGTCATCCATTGTAAGCTACCCAGCTTACTCGATCACCCCATCATAGACTGACAGCTCACAGGTGCCGCAAACAAGTCCCCGGACCTCTGTGACAAGAATCCAGATCAAGCCCGCAGGGTCAACGTTGAAGCTACTCGAACATTGGCCAAAGAATGCCAATCCCGCGGCGCTTTCCTCATCTACATCTCGACCGACTACGTCTTCCCCGGCACCGAAGGCGACGCACCCTACGAGGCCAATTCCGAGACCAAGCCCCCGAACCTATACGGACAACTGAAGCGTGATGGCGAGCTGGCTGTATTAGAAGCAACCAAAGCCTCAGGCATGGGCATTGTGTTGCGCGTGCCGGTGCTGTACGGTAACGCCAAGGAGAACTCGGAGAGCGCGATCAACACGCTCGTCGATGCAGTCAAGAAGGCCACGGATGAGAACGCCGGCGTGAAGATGGACGACTGGGCCATACGGTACCCAACCAACACTGAGGATGTTGCGCGCGTGTGTCGGGATATTGTCATCAAGTATCTGCGCGAGAAGGAGAAGCGCAAGGATTTCCCTCGTATCCTGCAATTCTCATCCGAGGACCGGATGACCAAGTATGAGATCTGCCAGAAGCTGGCTCAGGTGATGGGTGTCGCCATTCCCGGAATGATCCCCAACAAGCAGGGCAATGATCCTAATGGGGGTGTCGTGCGGCCCTATGATACACATCTCTCTACCAAGGCATTAACTGAACTTGGGATTGATGTGCGGACAGTGGATTTCATCGCGTGGTGGTAAGTTCTCTCCAGGGTGTACCTGTATATCGGTACCTTGCTTGTTGGTCTATGCTAACAACTCACAGGCGCCGGGAATTGGGTGCCTATAGGAAATAGGCTCGACCTAAACGCATTTACGTTGTAAGAATGAAATATAGAAGGACTCAGGTCCAATTGAAAACCAGGAGATTTAAGCCTACCGAGATCAGCCCGAGCCAGTAACAACCAATCACCCTTCAAAACTTGTATACTGTGGAGTACCGAACATCATCTGAAACATTTTCTCGAGGCTATGATGTCCATTATATGTGCCTAGGACTATTTGTGAAGAATCGGAAGTACACTTTGTAGTATGTGATCGTCTTGTGGACCCGGCGAGATCATCCAATAATAGTGTCACATTTTGCATTGAATAATCTAATAGTGGTAATGGTCAATAGTACCTGTCGATCATATATTTCGTATATGAGGTCTGTACTTCGTACTTCGTATATAACCCTGGCGTCAGCCGCGTGAAACCGCATCCGGCGCGCCAGATCCGGAAATGTTTAGCCCCCACGAAACCTGGGTCACTGTTTACTTTTCTCTCGATGTTCTCTGTTCTCTTGTGTATGCCAAGTACTTCGGTGAGTTCAACCTATATATGATCTGTCGAAGAAAGTGAAATCCGATGCACCCTCAGCCTAGCCCGGCCCATTTGACGATCGGTGCGGGTCACTTTTTGCCTCCCAACGAAGCGCAAATGGTCGATTGACAACAGGCCGGTTTGATGAGGTCTGGGATTCTATTTAGTCTCCTGTGCCCTTTTTCCCACATTATGTTTTCCTTCTGTGCACCGAGCCGAGAACTCTGTTGAAAGTCGCAAGTCGCAGGTCGCGGATCGCAGAGTCGCAGCACTGACCTTGGAACGGGAAATTGCTGTTTTGAAGACGCTAACCTCATTCTGGAAATAGAACCTGAGACCTTGGAGATTGCGAAACGCTTCCAGGGCGAAAAGAAAACTCCAGCATGAGTGAAAATACGACGGCGCAGTCCGTAACTCGAAAGTTCTCTCGATATCGTGCACGAAGTGCGACAACTGGCGACGTCGAAATGCCCCCACCTGCACCAGTCGCTAGCGTTGAGCAAAACCCCTCGATCGCGAGAAGCAGATCTCGATACCGTCGCAACCGGCCCACGTCGAATGGAAATGACGCACCCCCTACCCCTGCGATCCCCGGCCACGCGCGAACTCAGCTGGAACAGCGGAGTGAACGAGAAAGTGAACGGGCCGCAGCCAGTCGCCCTTTGGCAACACAGAATGAGGAGGATGCATGCACACGTGAGCTGCACCGACAAGGAGCAATGGAACAATTGACTGGAGGGGATAACTCGGCGCAAAACACCCGGCAGCCTCAGGCCTCCGTCTTGCCAAAACAAGTCGCGCAATTACCCCGATCGCAACCGGCCCCGGCGCAACCCCCGGCGCATCCACCGCGCAGTGCTCACTCAGAAAATGACAGCCACCGCAAGTCTTTCTTCCAGAAGGTCAAGCTTTCAAGATCCAAGGACCATGTCAAGAAAACCGATCCCCTCCCGAACTATATTGGCGTGGGCGGAACCGGAGTGGTTCCAGGACTTGATGCTCCTGTCAGCGCTGTCAACGCTGGAGAGCGATATGCCCTTGTCAAATATGGAGATGCCACCGCCGACCTCACTGTCACCCCCTCAACTCAAGTCCGGGATATCTTGCTAGATGCCACCAAGCACCTATCTCGGGACATTGACGCAGAGAAATTCATTCTCATGGAGTCTTACTCTCAAGTTGGCCTCGAGCGTCCTCTCCGCCGCTACGAGCATGTGCGGGAAGTCATGAATTCCTGGTCACACGATGCGGACAACCAGTTCATTGTTATTCCCCCTCCAGCGTGGATGCTCTCACTCAGCTCGATGCTGGGCATGCCCCCAACGGGCAACCATCCCCAGTGACTGTCCACATTTACCATTCCCAGCGTCGTCGCAAGTGGGATAAGCGATATGTCACCTTGCGTTCCGACGGACAAGTGACAGTCTCAAAAAAAGAGAACGCCCAAGACCAGACCAAAATCTGCCATATATCCGACTATGACATTTACTTCCCGAGCGCTCGAGCGCTTAACAAGGATATCAAGCCACCCAAGAAGTTGTGCTTCGCAATTAAGAGCCAGCAGAAGTCATCTATGTTTCTGTCCACCGAGAACTTCTTGCACTTTTTCTCAACCAGTGACAAGTCTATTGCAGATACATGGTACCGAGCAGTACAGAAGTGGAGAAGTTGGTATCTTGTCAATAAGAAGGGAGCAGGACAAAAACCAGAGACCGAAACACCGAAGCGCGCTGGGACGAAGAGATCGACCAATCAGCCGAGAAATGTGTATAACGAAGTCCCACTCCTAAAACGGGAGACTTCGACCGAATTTACCAAGGGTGACAGCTCTGATCAACAGAGACCGACCAGCTCCAAAGACATCTTTACCCGGAAGAAGACCCTTCGTGGACACGTGCCCCCTCCATCTTCATATCAGCCTCTGACGCTCGATACCGATATGGATGGGCCTTTCACCGACAAGCATGCATTAATCTCGGGTATTTCGCCCGAAGAAGTAGAAACTTCTACGTTTGCACCATCCGGACTCCTAGGCCGAAGTTACACTCAGCGACAAACTGCCATGCGGGAACGGGATGATCGCGACAAGAGAGCTAAGCAGGAAGCCTTTACAGGCACTGGCTTTATGAGCGGAGGATCCACACATGCCCCGGGCTACGACTCAAATCCCAACAGCCGGACCAACACCATGACTCGTGCTCCCGATTCATCCCAGTTCAATCGAACCCCGTCTCTCAACCAGAAGCCTCTGATTGATCTCACCCCAGTCTATGCCGAGCCACCGCAGCATAGCCGTAAGGGCAAGGGTCACGGCGTCAAAGTCCAACCAGGCATGCATCTGATCGACGGCGCCACTGGCCCAGATCAGACGCCGGGAGTAATTGCCATCCCACCCTCGACTTCATGGCGACGACCGGCCGCACCCGCAGAAACTATACCTCAGCGACGAAACACCACCCGCAGTGTGCGTCATCACCCAAACACATATGCGCCTCCAATTTCTGCTGAAGGAAGCCCGGCACTTCCTGCCCAGTTCACGCCACATAGTCTGCTGGCACATTCAGCCAGCACGACTAGTCATCGAAATCCGCGCACGGGACATGGGGTCGCAACGGGTGACCGCAATGCCACACGGCCGTTGTTGGATATGTCCCCGGAGAACCCCTTTGCCGATGGCAGTCTGCTGCGGCAGCTATAGCTTTTTTTTTCCTTTCTGTTCCTTTCCTTTGTTATGTTTTTCTCACGATAGTCACGATTGTTATTTTGCGGGATTTTGGTTTGCTATACCTAGGGTTCATTTTATTCGGGCCACTGGCTCCCCACACTGCGACACTGCGAGTTTGAGTTCAATATCGTTAGTGTTGATGCATTCTGTGTCTTTTGATCTGAGGATGAATTATTGACAGCCAATTGTGCTTGGACGATTCATCTTTGTTAGAGATACCCACTCCATGTTTAGTATTTAGCACCGAAGTGAAACTGAATATCTATCTCTCATATTTTGTTTCGCATTATTTCTAATCTCACATTTTATTGCCATTCATGGCTTTGCTATCATCTCCCTCATTTTCTAAGGTCTTTGAGAAGGTGTTATCACACCATCTGACTTGTGACATCGCCGAGAACTACCCAATTGACCCGCCTCGTTGTCTCAGCATAAAAAGAACCATTACACTGATCAACCAGAGACCAATTCCGACTTTACCCATACACAATTTTCCACAATGAATCAATCCACTAGCCAACCACGCGAAGCGCATAAATCACCAGGAAGTCTTACCTGCAACGAAGGAACAATACGCACTTTAATCCAAACGATTGATGGAGAAAAACATTATTTCTCTGGCACTATCAGCACCGATCTAGGTCTCGTCATCAACAATGCTCATGTGGAGTACTTCGATCTCGCCGAGGATAAACCACATTGCCAAGAGTTCAAGGCATTGATTGGTCCCGTTTACGCTAATTTCTGGTGGCAAGGAGGTGCTATACACCTCTCTGGAAAATTACTGCACCGCATCGATGAGACGATCGAAGTCACTGGAGAAGGGTGGTGGGGGGATATTGATAATAGGGAATATGATGCGCATGGGGAGGAGCGATACAGTGATGAGAGTGATGATCCGAAAGCGTGACTTTCAGTGGTGAGTTTTAATCGAGGGATTGTTGAGTTCTGGCTAATAAATTGCTCTATAGATGGTTTGCAGAAGATTTGGGAGGATCTGGGATTCAATGTCTACCAAATCGTGCGTCCGGCTTCAGGACTCGATTATCCTCTGGCTTTGCCCCGATTTGCCTGTTACCCAGTTGCTAGTCAAAAGGACAATGAAAACAGCATGAAAAGAAACATGGGTCGAAATATTTGTCTGCTAAGACGCTACCTACAATCGTCTCATATCAACCCGAATATCACAAACTCCAGCAAAAGTCCAACACTAAAAAGTGACACGCTGCAACGAGAAATATTCCTCTTGCTGCACATCAACACAATCATATCATATAGCAAATAGCAAAATAAAGACAAACAGAAAGCCCTATCCTTCATCCATCTCAAACTCAAGCACGATATACCTTGAAACTCTTGAACTCCCAATAAGCATCAACAAAACTACCAGGACTGCTCGCAACAAAGTCCGAACAAGTCGCCGGACAATGATACAAAGTATCATAAAACTGTTTTTGGGCAGCAAGCTCACCACAGAGATCAATATTAACAATGATACTCAGATTCTTGAAATGCGCCGCAATATCACAATTCGTACTTGGGAAATCCGCCAACGCAATCCCCCAACTACTCGGATCGGGCATTCCCACCGTGATATCAGTAGGAACAGTTCCAGTCGGGAAGAACCAAGCTCGAATCCCAGCATCCCGTAATTCAAGGGCATAAACACCTCCACCACGATTATTCATCGCTTCACCATAAGTATATTCATCGCCAATAACACCACACCCGGAATTCCCATTCGTGACATTATCACAATTCTTAAAAATCGCCTGACCAGTCTGTTTCCGCTTGACATCCATTTTACACCCCTTGGTAGTATGAAGGGTGATTTCATTCCCATGACTTCCAAGATTGGTAGTTTCCAGCACATCGATCTCCCCATTCATCGGCCAGTTGTAACCATCCGTTAACCACAAAGCAGGCCATGTGGCGCAACCAAAGGGCGTATGAATAATATCGAAGATGAAAAGACCTGAGTCATATGTATTTCTCGACTCGATGCGGACAGAGTTCCGACCGGAACGGGCGTTTGGTGTTGATGCATCGACGCGCAGGATTGCCGATGTTTCAGTTGCATAAGTGAGGTTTAGATGTCTTGCTGTTGATTTGTTGACGTAGACGACGAAACCCTTTGTTGGATCTTCGTCTGTGAAATAGGTGAATTGGTCAAAGAAGTTTCGGCCGGAGTATGTGTCTGCGAGGGTGTAGTTGATGGGTGTGTAGTTTGGGTATTTGTTTTGGATTATTTCGACCGGGATCAGGATTGCAGCTAGTATGATTACTATGGCTGTTGCGCTGACGATGAGTTTCGTGCATAGGGACCAGCCTCGTGGGTTGTACCAGGGTGTTTGGGATGTGGTATCTTCTGGTTGGGTAGTTGTGATTGGGGATTTGGTTTCGAGGGGGTCAGTCGTGGCCCTGTAACGATCTAGATATGGTCGGTTGGCCATGGTTGATATAGGTGATATAGTTGGATTTGGAGACTTAGATGAGTGTTCTATGTAGCATATGAACTTGACATGTTCAAAAAAGCTTGTCGTCATGGATATCACATCTACTCTCCATGCCCTAGAATGGACAATCGCAGATCTTTCCGTTTGCAGACGGATCAGGCTATAAATAGTCTAGTTTATTTCATATACTGTACTATCATACCAGGTTCAAGTGTCTTTCCCCTTGTTAGGCAGATTTACAATTCCTTGATCATCTAGAGTTAGATTGGCTATAGGTAACCTTTGTCCCTGCACGTAAGGAATGCACAACCCGCTTTACGGTATTTTACTAAACCGGCAAAAGTCCAATATTTCCATAATTATGTGTACAATGAAAATTAAAATTGAACCGCCAGGGCATGTATGTATATGCAACGCCAAGCCATAGTAGGTATAAACAAATAATCGAAAATTCCGCCCATTTTCTAGCGATTGGATCGGACAGTCGAAGAGCGATGCACCAGAGAGTCTCCATTCGGAGCAGGGTGAGTCTGCCAGTCATGGGTTTCCATACCCGAAGACAGACCAGCATCGTTCCTCGCCTGAGATAAGGTACGTGATTGTGAGGGGCCGAAAGATCCACCGCCACTGAGGTTGGATGTGCGGCGGCGCATGCGGCGCTCTCCCTCTTGGGCCTCGTGTCGGTTGAGGGCATCGGAGGGAAGGAGGACGGCGCGGTCAAGCGCATAAGGGAGACCACGGTGGCGACCACGGATTTGCATGGCAATGATCACCAACTTGGAGACAACATTGAACTGGCCCGAGAAGGAGGTGTCGGTATTTGTATATCCAAACGACAGACCTACAGTACCATATGCAGAGACAACCTCGAACAAAACAGTGAACAGCTGGAAGGCGTAGTCGGACTGATTCTGCAGCCGTGATCCTTCTGCAATGGCAATGATAAACAGACCTAAAAAGACGTACCACAAATCGAAACTCAGCTGGCGTCGCAAGTGAGCTCCGATATAAGTGGGGGCATTGGTTTCTTCGTCGGCGTCGTCCTCTGCGGCATCGTAGATACCCAAACTCTTTTCTTCGTATACGTTGGTTCGACGCACGGAGATTGCGATGGGAAAGACTGAGATGTACATCATGATCAAATAGGAAACCTGAACGGCGGGGTGAAGATCCGAAAGACTGATGATTCCAAAACCGGCTGTTCGTGTCGCAGCGGCCTGGAAGAAGCCGTCCAAAACTCGAATCCCGGGAGGAAGTGAAGTGACAGCAGAATCATCGAGCTACAAAATCAGGGTCAGTGAAAATCGTGTGAAAAGGAGAGATATCAAAACTCACATCCAGGATGACGAAGAAGATCAGATCAATGCCGTTTAATGCGATGAGAATGGCAAATAGCCACCAAGTGGCATTGCGAGGGAATAAAAGAGTGAAGCATCGACGAGGATGATCCAGAAGGAACTTCAGTTCTTCCCATAGCGCGCTCCCCTGGCGGGTCAACTTCGACATGACCCAGATGATCAGACGAAGCATACACGGGAAGGCGGTATTGCCAATGATGATCAAGAACGATAGCATCAGCAAAGGAAAAATGGCCCTTTGGAAGGAGTACATCGAGTCGGGTGTCAGGGTAAAACCCAAATCGTTAAAGGCGGAGGCAGATGTAAAGATTCCCCACCACGGCCGCCCAACTCCATCAGCCCGGACGATATCACCCCATTTGTTATTCGTCATGATCCAGCCGATCATGCTGATCATGCCGATGAGGTGAAAACCGAGATAGTAACTGATAAGAACAACGGCTAACGTCTTGAGCGCACGGTATTCGATACCGCCCAACTCATCACGCTGCTCCTCGGTCAAATCGACGAAATTGGAGTTACGAGCCACTGTCGCATTCCAACTGAGATACGGCTGAGTGGAAATGTCACGCTCTTGTGTGAGAGATCGGAAAATCCCCCTGAAGGTGTTCCTCGTGTTAGTAGGGCCAAGTGTGGTAGTCTCATTCCCGTCTTTAGTCTCCCGGACAGTGGGGCGAGTATCCAAACGGGGGAATGTATTACCGCGGGGACGGGTGCGCGAAATGTCTGGCTCGTTGATGGTGATGTGTGGTCCTTCAAGTGGACCAAGCTGATCGAGTTCCTCGGGGTGTGTAACGGGACGTGTACCGGGGCTCACTTGGTCGTGGTCGTCGTGGTCATCGTGGTCGTCGTGGTCACTGGAGTGCTGAGCCTGCTCACCCTCCTGGTTCGCATCTTCTTCCAAAGCCTCAGGCGCACCACCGCGGTCATACTCCCGGGGACTTGGAATGCGCAGAGCTCCTTTGTCCCTTCGTTGCTTTTCCAAGAAGGCGATGTGGTGTTCCGGGTTCAAATGGGTTGGCACCTTCAAACTACCGAGGCCAAAGCGGGGTTCGTTGCTCGCGTCTGTTCCATCGGAGCTGGAGTCGACACTGCTCTGCCGGCCTTCCGGTGTGTTGATACCGGAATTGATGTGCTTGCCACCCGTATCTGTCAACCGCGCGTCCCGGGCATCCCCTGAATCGTCTCGTATCACGGTAATGGGTCGACCGCTAACTCCACCCTCCGCACGGTTAATATTGATATCCTCGCTGTCTCCATCATCGGTCACGGTTTCCATGCGGGATCGGGTCCGTCGCATCGCACGCGCATCTCGGACCACATGTTGAAAGCGTTTCTCGAACCAGTATAACCGAATAAACACCAAGCCGCTGTGGATGAAGATCGGTGTGCATAGACATGTGATCAGGTATAGGACGATTTGTTGATATAGCCAGAGGCCATTCAGATTGACGGTGTTCAAGCCACTCTGGGTAGCTGCACCGGCGGATTGGAAGAGGGCGTCGATGTAGTCGATATTACCACCAGGGTAAACGATGATAGAGCCGATTATAGCCCAGGATACGATATAGGCATAGTGGAGGAGGATGAAATTGAGTTCTAGTCGGTTAAGAAGTGGGATCTTTTCCTTCCAGGATGTCATCCGGCGAATAAAGGCCGAGAACATGGTGAACGGACTGCGGCCAGACCGTTGCCGAGCGGGGACCACTGGCACTGGCCGAAGGGATGTCGAGATAGGTAACTCTCGAAAGGAAGGGAATTTATCAAACCTGAAACTGTTAGCTTTTTACCTCTAGACTCGATTTTCACGCGACATACATGTGGTCCCGTCGATCGCTACCAAGCGGAGAGTTTTGACTGCAGGAAAAAAGACTACCGCTAGCCTCGTGGCATTGAGCCACAATTATTTGTAGAGATGGTCAAGGGCATAACGAAAAGAGGTTAAGAAGAGAGGAACGGCAAACAATATATGTAGAAAATCATCGTGAGACTGTGAGAAAAAGAAATTAAAAAAAAAAGCTTGGAGGCTTGGAGTGATAGGAAAATCACGCATCCGGGAATTATTACATTACGGGTACGGTATTGTCAGGTGCCGAAAACGTGGACCGCCGATCTCTTTTCGTCCCGAGTTTTGTGGCGAAGCAAAGACCTTTCCAAGCCCTTGGAAGTATATCTCTTTTAGGTTTAGGGGATATAAATACGCTAGGAGGTGGTTTATCAAGGTAATATCATTGAAATATCATTGAAATATCATGGTAAGATATAACAAAATACATTATAGTGGATTCCCTCCATTCTAGACAAGCTTTTACTCGGTAGGGAAAATCGGGATTCACTACAACATACGGAGTATGTGCATTCGGCCTTGGCCGACATCCTTAGAGCCGTTGGCACGTGAAGGTGAAGTACTCTATCTTGGCATCTGATACATCCCTCCCAAATCTGAAACTGCCTATCACCTTAAAATTATAAAAGGTCGCTGCCTAACCTGCCCAAGATTAAAGGTTCTAGATCGGCCCACTTTTCATTCCGGCTATGTCGTGGGCCGTTCCTAGCTGGATTACCCCTATGCTGTTAGGGCTGCCGAGATATCGATAGATACCACTTCTGATTGGTCCATTGGGATCTCGTGCATTCTCCATCCGATCGCCACCCTATACTTGGGTAAAAGAAGGGTCTTGCGCCTTGTCCAATTATTTACCTGTCTGACTCCTTCTTTACTCTATACTTGCTTTTTTCCACTTGAAACCGGCTGACACGAGGTTTAAGAAATCCAAGAGATCCAACAAACGCGAGGGGGGTTCATCCTTCCACGAAATGGGAATTAGTCGGCACTGGCGACTCGACATTCTTTACTTGAAGGGATGATCCTTCCCAGATACTGAAGCATGTCCCGAGTATCTGAGATCTAGGCCATTCTCAAATCCGCGGAAGTACAAGATCGCAGTATAGCATTCTTTTTAGCAATCGGAACTTCTAATCTCCTAACACCGGCATTCTTATCAGGCTATTCTAGAATTTTGCAAAGATCTTTGCCATAACATTCTCTTGAACGGAACTTTTAATCTCCTAGGGCCAGCATTCTTGCTAAGGGATTCTAGAATTCTGCAAAGATCTAAGAAAAAAATGCCAGTACGGAGTACGGAATACCGACTCGGTATTTGCTTGACCAGAAGCGACAAGCAGTATGCAAGATCTAGTCGGATTTTAAATTAGATTTCGACCTTGATGTTAGTATACCTCGAGACTGCCGTTAATTCATCTCAGCCTCACTTCAGTCTCTCGCGTAGACCTACCTAGGTAGTATGTAGGTAGTACAGACATTCCGTTCTATGTATGTACTTTTTCTACTTACCAAATTGTTTATTGAATAGATATTATATAAATCTATAGGAAATTAATAGCTTAGCATTTGCTTGTTTTGTCAATTATATTTATTTTACCTTTTTATCTTCTGTTAGTATCCGGTACTTCGTCACAGTCCCTATCATTCAACTAGTTTAGTCCTCCGTAGTTTCCAATTCTAAATATTTTCAAAATTGATTATTAGAGCCACTATCTAGCAGAAAGCCAAACATCTTGTTGAGATCTAGATAACAGAGAGAAAACACAAGCACCTCAACAAGACTTCCTAGCACATCTATATCGCTTCGTGTAGACTGAACCCTCTAACCATCACAGTTGCAGCCTATCCAGCTATAGGCTATAGCACCCGATAGATTCCTCCCCACTCTTAGTTGTGCCGTGTAGATCTCTAGTACAGAAGTTACCAGTGATACACATTAGGCAAGAACCAGCGGCACCGCCATTGCAATTGTCTCTCTTCCAAGGATAATCGAGGCACAGATCGGCAACGGCTTCATGATGTCCAGGACAAGCCAGAACTTCCGAATATTCATTTCGATCGCTGCCGGCGCAGTCACCATTTCCGTCGTTAGTAGCAATCACAGCACAGGCCCCGTGAGGCGTGGTTTTGGATAGGCCTAGATTAAACATGGCGCTCAGGCTGAGGAGGCAAAGGATTTGATGGAAAAGTGTATGGTGATTTGGTCACGCTGGGTGGGATTCTGTAAATCAGGGTTATCTATGTTTCGTTTTGCTAGCCAATTCAAGCGGTAGTGTATTCCAGGTTGTACCTTCCCCAAGTATATATCTTCAAATCTGGTTCTGACTACGGTTCTTGTTCTGATGTAAAAATAACACGACATAGAAGACCCCTTTCACACCTAGATCCGAGCATTGTCCGCTACACCTTTGCCCCTAATCACAAGGCAACACGAGCCAAACGTTCTGGGAAACAAGATCGACAGCGCTTACCATGAGACTCAATCAGATGGACAGAGCTATCGGGACAAATTGATATCTCATGGGAACTCCATGGGGACAAAAAGACCCACTTTACAGCCCCAATAGCAGCAACTGGGTCGACGCCGATCATGGCTGTTTAAATATCAATGCCGAGATGAGGGATTAATATCAACCATAGGTTCAAGATGAGATGAAGCTTGGATTCGGTTGTTTTGTTCCCTTTCATCTCCCCAAGTGATCCTGCCTCGAATGGTCTTGCTATGTCTGCACCGATTCGTTGATCTTCAAGATACTCCTTGCTTCCAAGCGACAATATTGAAAATAGTCATAAAATTAGGCTGAAATCTGAGAGATGATGGAGGCCTAATGTCAAACTATGGTTCGCAGATGTTATGGCAACAACTCTAGCTGTGGCTGGTGGTTTTATGGGTTTTAAGTGGAGAGAAAAGGCAAAAGAGATGGTCTTCAACACACAGTCTTCACTGTAATGTGCCTGCTCTCCGTTATCAGTGCCGCTAATTACTTCGCTCCGATCGCCGTAGCTATATCGAGTCTGTAAGATTCTTGAAGTTGCTGTCTAAGATGCATTCACATGGTCGACTTACTGATGACTCCCCTTGGTCACACTCATTGAGTATGATGGTTAGTTTTGTTTTATCTTATTGTGTTGATCATCAATGACTTTCGTCGTGGCTAACCAAATGGCAGCCCACAATCCCTTCCCCTTCCTCCCCTAGCGTCGCTACTTCATCGATGTCTATGAGATGGCCCTTGGACAAGAATGCGAATACACCGGCCATCTACCATACTGGGGCTGGACTCTGAAATCTGGACTGGGACTACCAAACCAAGTCGCCAATCTGGGGCCCTGGAACAGGATTTGGCGGCGATGGGGATGTTAATGGCAACGAGACCATATTGCTCTCTTTCGCATCCCCGGGTATCTCAGCCACTCTTTTAGTAATGAACACTAGTAAATTGTATTGAAGAGGGCTATTCATTTTGCCAATGCGATCTACGGGGTCCCAAGAAGCTATCCACGAAATCGAAAAGTGAATGGACTGCTACTCTCGGTTACCAGAGCACCCAAGTTAGCGAACTACCTGGAAAGTATTCCATAAAACATGTGATGCATCACGTGTACTATCATTTCGTGACAGGGGTAGTATTTCTGTGTCTAAATTGTGTTTTGCTTCCTCGTCAATCTTTCTCACCATGCAAAACACATCGGTCATTACCGAACGAGCCATTACACAACAGCAGCTGTTGGTAATTGGTATCTTTGCAGGGGTCTATCTTCTAGACGGAAAACCAACATCACCCCCGAGCATCAGTCAAAATGGTTCCAACATATTTTGGAAGCTATTGTCGTTATCCACTCTTTCGGAATCATCCACTCGGACTTGGCGCTAAGGCAATTCTTTGTTGACTACAACCTCAATCTACGCCTAAGTGATTTCAGCTCTTCTCAGTGCCCTGGATACCCAGCGCTGGGTTACGAGAAAGCATCGCGTTGTCTACGAACTTCCGAACACGGATACTTCTGATATTCTTTCTTTGGGGTCTACTCTTTATGAACTGGTCGCTGGTAGAGCCACTTATAGCGAACTAAACCCGCTTGAATCCGATGACCCTGATTCTATCAAGGCACAGATCCGGCTATAACACGAGGTGGTGGATTTTGAGATTGAAGACCGAAATAAGAAGTAGCAATTTCCGGATCTTACTGAGTTTCCACATGGGGATATCATACTCGGTTGCTGGAAAGGGCAATTTACCCCGACAAGGGAAGCTCTTGATATGTATCTAAAACCGGGAAATTGGGGGATGTGCTTTATTTTCTTCCTACATACCCTATCTAGTACATGCTGATGCTTCTGTCGTTTGTGTTTAGGGTCATAATATGAAATGGGAATGACTATTCAACTGTATTCGAAAATACTACTGGGAGATATTTAGTAATTGAAATCATGAGCAATACTGCTGGTATTAGAAAGTATGAACAACTATGAATGAGGAAAGAAGATTAAAGGGAAGATTACCTGAGTATTTGATATGGTAGCCTTGGAATATCTTGGATCTTTTCCGTGTGTGGTCACTTAACTTTCAGGCCTACCACGCGCATCATTAAGACGAACATCATCTTCACCCGGAAACCCGCACCGAAAATTCCAAATCCGACTACATCTCAAGTGTTTGCTCAAATGGAATAATCCATCATGAGATCCCTCCCAAGCATAATCACAAAGTCGCGCATGGGATGGGTACTGGCAGGGCTTGGGCTTGTTGTTCTACAAGTCATCTATTCCAACACCACACCAAATAAATGGCATGCGACAGAAAGCCAACCAGACATAATTGTATCCCCAGCCACAACCAATTTCACACCTCCCTTCAAAACTCAAGGCCGACATATCCGGAACGCCGATGGTGAACCGCTCAAACTCGCTAGCATAAACTGGTACGGGGCCAGCGATATCAACTTCATTCCATCTGGCTTGGATGTGCGACATCGAGATGAAATTGCCCAGTTGATCCGCCGCTTAGGATTCAACAGTGTCCGCCTCCCTTACGCAGATAAGATTGTCGACCAGGATCCCGTGGTAAATTCATCGATGATTGCGGCCAACCCAGACCTGTTCCTGACAGCCACATCCAATGGAAAACCACGAGCCCTAGATGTCTACCACGCCGTGGTGGAAAGCTTGACAGCGGCTGGATTGCTTGTCATCGTGAACAATCACATCACGCAGGCCACATGGTGCTGCGGCATTAACCCCTGTGACATCATTTGGCATAATGACTGGCTGGCAGGAGGGCGCTTCTGCCGTATCCCCCAAAGTGAAGACAAATGGATCCACAACTGGGAAACGGTGATGAGCCCGCTGGCAAAGAATCCACTTGTCCTTGGTGCGGACCTGCGAAATGAGCCTCGCGGGCTCTGGGGCACATTGAACTGGAATGACTGGGCGACAGCGGCTGAGAAGGTCTCAGAACGATTATTCGCAATCAACCCGTATTGGCTGATGATAGTGGAAGGTATCTCATCAGCGAACGACCTGTCGGGCGTGCGATCACGACCGATCAAGTTGAGCCGACCAGCTCAAGTGGTGTACTCAGCGCATGTGTACATGTGGTATGGTTGGGGTCAGTTGTACCCATTTTCCAAGCGCTCGTATTCGGAGTTTGCGGCAGAGATGAATAAGAACTGGGCTTACCTGTTGTTCGAGGATCTTGCCCCTGTCTGGGTCGGGGAGTTTGGGGTCCCTGGTGAACTCTCAGTTGGTGGCCAGAACTACTGGAGTCACCTCGTTCGATTTCTGGAGGTTTCCGATGCAAGCTGGGGGTATTGAGCACTCAATGCGCGCAAGCCGGACGGCGAGCGGGAGAGCTATGGGTTGGTGGGAGATTCGTGGGACTGGGAGTCGGTTCGGTGGGATTCGCGATTGACTGATTTGCGCAGATTGGGACTTGAGGTTAGTTGAGAATGAATCTCTCTACCTTAGGGACTCGGCCGTACGCTGATCTGGTAATGACAATCTTGGTCGTGGGTTGATCGAAGGGACCAGTGCGTCACGCAGGAAACAGCTTCAGCGCTAGGAGCGCCATGGGCACCAAGCTTTAAATGATCATCACAATGAAACATATTTCTTAAACTTGCCTCAATAATTGTCTATTTGTCGATTAGTACACATGGCGATGTTCTTGCTTTATAGACAGGCGTCGATAGTCTTTGATTCCACTCGCCTTTGTAGTGTATACCTTGTGTGTACTACTTGGAAACGTGAGTCTCCAAGTACCGAAGACTTGCTACTGTTCTATAGACCAACCCGACACTTCCCTCGAGGCTGTTCGACTTTGTGCAACTCCTATTCCTCCTCCCCGGCTCCATTTGGTTTCGGGCCCTTGAGGCTGTGACTGCTCCAAAAGTATGTCACGTCGATCTCCAGTCTATGGACACATGCTATGCCCGCTACTGACAAGCTCCACGACATACGTGGGGCGTATTGGATTTGGGGTTCGCAGCGTGGCAGACAATTGGCTATCTTCGCTTCCACTCGAGGTGCTTATTCCTGTGTCCCCAACATCCGGCGCTTCCTCGCCTGCTCTTGGAGGCATTTCATGCCATTTTATTTGGCAGTACTCATGTTGTTCTCCGTACTATCTCGCTGCATCCGATGTTTGGTCTAGAGGGGTTTGGTGTTCATTGGGAGTCGTCTTCCAAACACAATATTAGATGACATCATAACTATATATTACCTCGACCCATAGATGAATGTCCAGGTGAAACAGTCAGTTCGGGTATTTTGTACCTTTACACCCGAGCGTATTCTTTATTTCGTGATTTACAGCCGACCATTCTGTATTAGACATGCTAATTCCTCGTTGCATAGAGTTCAATGTTGATTGGAGTGGGTTGGGGTTACATTCTTCATCGACCCCAATTTCTCCAACTTCACATTGGGGTAACCAGTTGATAACCGTAGTAATTAATTCTCCGTGTTTCTTTCTTCTCTTCATTATATTCAGCTTTTCTAACCTGTACAATTGATACATCATGGCCGCCACGCATCGAATTGCCACCATTCAGTGGCATATCAAGGTGGGTGCATTCGCATTGGGCCGTGCTACAACCTTTAACGACTGATGACGTGTGGTCTCATTGCAATCAGATTCACTTACATTTACCCAGGAGCTTGACATTGAGTACAATTATGCGAAAGCATGCAACTACATCCGTGAGGCTGCTGCCCAAGGCGCTGAGCTAGCCGTTCTTCCAGAGTAAGAAACGTGACACCAGACCTGTCCACTAACACTCGATAGCTCCCAAGACAGAGGAACACTTGCTGATTCAAGATAACCAGATATCATCTCAGCGGCATGGTCCCCACAGACCCACGTTGGGCAATTCAAGCCGGCGAGTCCCCCCAGTACCTAGCAAATTACCAAAGTCTGGCCAAGGAACTGCAAATCTGCATCGTACCGGGCTCAATCATCGAAAAGCACACAAGGCCCGACCAGACAACTATCTTCTACAATACTGCATACTTCATCTCAAACGATGGCACTGTGCTTGGCTCCTACAACAAAAAGAACATCTGGCATCCGGAACGGCCCTTCCTCACCTCAGGCTCAGAGCCTCATACGGCAATAGACACACCGATCGGTCGCGTGGGAATGCTGATCTGCTGGGATCTGGCATTCCCCCCGGCATTCCGGGAATTGATCCGTGATGGGGCGCAGATTGTGATTGTGCCTACATACTGTATGTTGAACTCTTTCTAGCCTGTCCTTGTAGTTACCTGATCTAACCGAAACTTCTACCAGGGACCCCCCATGACGCCTCCCCCGAAGCCCGCGCGTATAACCCGGACTCGGAGGCCATGTTCGTCGACTCGATCATTACATCCCGCTGCTTCGAGAATACCTGTGGTATTGTCTTCTCCAATGCTGCTGGGCCGTCGGAGGATTTCTTGGGAATGTCGCAGATTACACTTCCGCTTGTAGGGCCGATTGCTAAGATGGGGACTGAGGATGGATTCATCGTTGCCGATTTGGATACCGGGGTTATTGCGACCGCGGAGAAGAACTATAAAGTGCGACAGGACCTGAGCAGTGAGCATTGGCACTATGCGTATGCGCATACCAAGTCGGAGTAGGCTTTAGTGAATTCTACTGATTATTTCTTGCTTTTTGCCATCATTATAACCACGCGATCTTGAGATGCCCTGTCTTCCTTGATGGACTTTTCAGGTTGCAGTTTTGTCTCTTGAATTGTGTCTGCTATCCTCTCCATGTCGATTAGAAGATGAAAGAGGATACTAAAAACGGTAGTAAGGACTATATCTATGACGCTGGTGCCCAGGTTCCCGAGGTCGGTACCCGCTAGTCGCATGCGGGCGGATACGCTATTCCGAACACAGTCTAGCGTCAAAAGCTTATCTCCAACTCTATGGCAGCTTTATAGATCCCGGAATGAATTTACTTCACAAAGGATGTCGCTCATTTCTAAGTTCATATAGGTTCAATTTTGACTTAGCGGTCTTTTATTCGGTTCGTAGGCAAGATAGTGTCTCCTGGATTTTCATTGCTGGTCTCTGCATTCTGGGAATCCTAGGAGTCTCGATGGTTTATGCAGATGAGATTGAGCTCCCGGAGACAAGACAAACATGAGCCTAGGGTACAGGATACAGCCCGCGCAATTACAATAAGCCTAGTATGGTAATAAATTTAGCTTTGAGCCAGAAATGATTTTGATTTACCTCTAATGCTGGTTTGCAAGCTATAGTTCTTCATGTCTCCTACGAGGATGCCCTCTAGGTGACGGCTTCGCATGTACCGGGCTAAATATGCGTAAATCCTTTGGGGCAGGTGCCGTATAAGGGGAGGGAGTTCTCACCTGACGTGACAGTATATAATGGGGAAAGGAAGGGGGGTCCCATTGTCTCCCATTGTTCCTTCCCTAACAGGCAGGCACCTTCCTAAATGGGCAGTCTCCTACCTATTCTCCAACCTATAAATACACCCCTTCCCCAATCCTTCCTTTCTTTTTTTCTTCCTTCTTCAACTCCCCATCCTCTTCATCTTCCACTTCGTCACTCCCTCCTCTTCCATCAGGGGTTCCATCAATCCCAAGTATCTTCCATCATTACCTTGGGTCTCATCAATGCCTAGTCCACTTCATCATACCTTCCATCTTATCTTAAATCAAGGTTCATTGGAAAAGGATCTTGTCACCATCTCTGACTGTCAGCAGCGCGTCGTTGCGACACGTCATGTCTGTCACGTCAACACCTACCTACGTGGTCAAGCATGTCTACTTTGGTAAGTCTCCATACTAACTGTCAACATCTGTCACCACCATTCACCCTTGACTACCCTTCACCTCCCTTTACCCTTCACCTCCCTTCACCCTTCACCACCGTTCAGTAATTAACATCTATGCGCTTGTCTCATAGACCTCACACCACATGGGCTTTACCACTCTGGCTTTTCATCTTGCATCTCTGCTGCACATTGTGAGTACCTTCCTTCTCCATCACCTTGTGTCATCATCCTCCATCACCAATGGATACTTCCAACCTTTCATTACATGCAGCTGACTGTATCAGACACATCACAAGGTCACTCATCTGTTCAATCTCTTGACAGACTTTCCACTCAGACCTGCTTCTTGAGACGGCCTCGTCACCTCAATGGTCTTTTATCTGCATATTGCCTCTTGCAACCTACCACCACAAACATCAGTCCAGACTGTGGTTTGCAGCATTCAGGTAAGAACTCCAGCATCAGAACCCTCCCCTCCTCTCTGTTCCTCGCTGTTCCTTCTGCTCTGCAATGACGAGTGGAAGATCTTACGCACCAGTCCATTGGCTGACGCCGGTGTTTTCTGTCACAGGAATCCCATTTCTCATCGTCTATGATTTGCCTGCCTTGCATCTTCTTGCATTTTCCTGACGCCACCTTGACTTCCTGTGCATGTGACCACCACATTTTACATTCAATCCACACACCTCTGCACTTGGGAACAGCCACAACATGCCAGTCTTCGACAAATCTGTCAAGATGCAACCTTGCGAGATCACCTTTTCCATCGGGTGTGGCATCTGACAACTGTATGTCTTTCTCATCTCGAGATCCCGACTTCATCATTTGAGTTGCTAAAAGGTCTCCCCGTCACAGTCCATGCCACCTTCCAGGATTTGGTCTATTCTGTCATGCCTACAAAACTCAAACAGGGCGACGCCTCCACCAGAAAATGCCTCCTGGCTGCCACCGCAACATCTCCAGCTCAAGGTCATCCATCATCCACTGGTCCCATTCTCATGACAACATACATCTGCGCAACAAATACCCCTTGCGTTTGAATTGAAACCTCCATGACAACTTCCCGATACAAAAGAAAAAGAAACAAGAAACCACCATCACCAACAATAACTTCATCATCTTCATCATCTTCATCATCTTCATTACCAACAACAATAACTACAACATCATCATCAACAACAACAACATCAAGGAAAATGAAAAGGAAGGAAATGGGACACAAAAGAAATGAAGAGAAAATACGGATTTGCATGGATGGGAGGAACAGGAAGGAACAAGGAGAAGGATGGAAAATTGGGTTTGATCTTCGCAAGAGAAAGGGATTTGGTGATATCAGAAACATCATCTCTCGAGCCTTCAAGGCTGAATACCAAAATCACAGTTCCCTGTGGACTCCAGAGTCTTTCGACACCTTCCAATTCAACCATGGCCCAACCAGCAGAGCCCATGATTCCCCCCAGGATCAAGAGGGATGCAATGACCTGACTGTTTGTTTTTGTTTCTCACCCTGTGACTCTCTTTTGCCAGTGCTAATATTCTCAGTCACCAGTCACCCATCATCCACTCACGAGATTCCCGAGCATTCGAACAACTTCCTGCTCAATTTGATCCACTCTTCAACAGATCCCACATCTCATCATTGCATCCCACCACCCAGTCCAGTGCCGGAACCCACTAACCTACTACACTCTTGCAGACCACACCACCCCGTGCCTCACTACCTTCTTCGACAGTCGCCAGGCGAGCTAGAAATACAATCCTCTGACACCATACTTCTCAGCACCAGCAGGCGGTGTGTTGGGTTTTATGATCAGGGGATCCCGGTTTCTGGTACCTGGCACTGTGACATCACTGAAGAACCATCGTCCTCGACAGTCACCACGAGACCGCTAGAAATACATTCTCTGACACCATACCCTCCGGCACCAACAGGCGGTGTGTTGGGCGGTATGAATCAGAGAATCTATGTTTCTAGTACCTGGGACTGTGATAGCAATGAAGAACCATTATCCTCGGATTCTGGTATATCAGGGCTGTCCACTGCGAGTGACTTTCGTATATCAGTGTGTCTACGCGAGTTGATTCTGGTATATCAATGCTGCCCATTGCGAGTTGACTCTGGTATATCACTGTTGCCCCAGCGAGTCGCGAACAGGTAGTGAAGGCTGACAAGAACGGTCTCGCATGATTGCAGTATGGAAAAATTAGCGCACATCACCCAGTCATTTCTCAGCACTCCGCACTCAGCAACTAGCAACCACCAATCTCTCAGTACCTCCAACTTTGGGTCACACCAAATCCCAACAAAAGACCACAACAATCCTTGATGAAATGGTACCAACGATCCCACATCCGAGACGCAAAATCTCAGCACTTGTCACTTTCATCAACATGAACTTTCACTCTTTACTGCTGAGCACTTCCCACTGGACTGGGTTGGCACACTGAAACACGGGCATCAATCATTGAGTTCTTCTGCCCAAGATACTCATGACCAACCACCAACCCTGACAACTTCGTGACTTCAATGCATCGACTGCAATGTCTCTGTCGCCATCAATCTTGCTTTATGCACACCAGAAAGCTGGTCCAAGGCAATTTTATCACAACCAGACTCATGAGAATGGTAAATCTTCAAAACAGTTTTCCCATTCAAGACAATGAGACTGACAATTCCGAGCTGAAGGCACAGATCAAAACAAAAAAGAAATACGAAGACACACTCTAACACACTCCGAACACTACACTCTTCACCACTGGGGACTCACAACCTCACACATCCAGCAGGTGACAGGACAGCCACAACTCACAAAAGCCACAAAAAAACAACCAAAAAGAGAAAAAAGAACCAAAGCCAAAAACACACAAGGCAAAAAGGCAACAAGTCCGAGCATCATCCACACCCCTAAAGAGACCATTGTCAAGAGGGTCATGGAATGATTGAATTGAAGCACATCATCTCGAAAGACAATCTAATCCACCGTGGACTTGACTTCATTACAACTTTCGCATCTCACAGCACCACATATGGCTTGGAGGAATGGATATGGAGAGAATGGGAGGATTCGGGGTTTTTATTTGATGGATATGAGAATATGGAGGATACGGAGAAGGATGGACATGGGAATGTGTGAATGGATTTTGTTTTTATAGGAGACATCAAGGGTTTTTTTTTTGCATTGTCCAACACTTGCACCTTGCAACCGACTCTGCTGAGTCTTCAAATCTCAGCTCGAACTTTGCTTCCATGGATATCATCAACTTCCATGTGTCGACATTTGCCTGGGAGGTTGGATCTCTTTTGTATTTACTGGAAGGGCTTTCCAGTTTAATGTATTTAGCGCACTTCTGCCACTTCAAACATGCAGGAGTCAACAATGAAGGACATCACCATCTTCATAATCACCTTCTAATCTCCATACGTAGAAAAAGTAGTCCTGGTCTACATTTTGCTGCTCATGTGTTTTATTCCTGGTAGAGATGGAGATCAGAGGAAAAAAGATGACATCAAGGAATTAGCATATCCAACGCAAGAATGGACGGCCACTCATGTGGCCTCTGCTTTTGGACGTAGTTCAATGATATGATGCTCTTGGCGTCAAAGGATATTGATGACTTCATACAAGTCTTCTACAATGCATTCTCAAGTCTCTAAGTATGCTTTTGAGCTTTTTCGGAAGGCCGTTTGCCGTGTGGTTATTATACCCAGAAAGGTTCAAGATCAATAATCTATTCTATTCTTGATAACTTCAATGTAGAGTTTTGGTTTTTATCAAACCAAATATGCGAACTGATCAAGTCCTTACTGCACACATATAAATGCCAAAAATATGTACCACCCCCAAACGAGTCCATTTATTCTAGACATCATCCAATCTACGCAATAAATGACCGAATAAATTGAAAGGTCAAGATTTGAATTCTAAGCTAAGTCATAAAGCAGAGACAGAATCATTAATTGATACAATCATCCGGGCGTCCATGGCATGAAGTCCGCTCACACAGACAACAGACCAAGTAATGAGAAAGGAAACGGTATAGAGCTCTCAAATTGGGGAAAACGAAAAGAAAAACACATGACAGGACGAAGCAAAGAACACCCCCCTCATATCAAAACCCAAGACGATCACCAAGGACGCGAATCCGAAATCCGAAATCCAAACCCAACCCGAGATCAACATCTAAACAAGGACCAACGGGACAAGTCGCTAACCAAGGGATGGTAGGAACGGCAAAGCAAGTACGGAGTATAGTCAAGATATTCGGAGGGTGTTGCAAAAATCACAAAGAGATGCGAGGAGCCCAACTCCACCAACGCGATAGCTCAATCATACAGCGGTCAATGGGATGAGGTTTTCCTTTGTGGATAAATCATCTGGTGACCAAGTCCACTATTTCGTCACTGGACTTGGCTGACGATTTCACTGGCGCGACCCAGGCTCTCGACCATCTGTTGGCATTCCTTTCGTCGGCGGGTCGTGTAATCGCTCTCCTTGAGGAGTTCGTCAAGCTCGTTGGTGCGGTACATGTTCTCCAGGAGTTCGCGTTGCATCTCATCCTTGGTGAATCTAGGGGAATCATTTGTTAGTATACGTATTGGGGTGGGGGTTTGAATGGAAGGGACATACTGGACCAGGGTGTACATGACCGCCTTGGGGACCATGTCGATCATTGTGCGCTTGACAATGTTAAAGTAGGAGGTAATCAGGAGTTCTGTGTAGGTGTTAGTAAAGTGCTATCAGGAGTTTATATGAGCTGGTTCACTTACTGATAACCTCGACCTCAGTGGCTTCACGCTCAGACAAACTGGCTGAAGCCTTAAGAGTTGGGGGAGGAGCCTCCATGAGGGCCATCTTCTTCTTGTTCTTGGAAGCCCAGAAGCTGCCGAAGAACCCACTCTGGTTGTTGGCCTCACCGGTGGTGTCGAGCGAGGGACTCTGGGCACGGGCGGGGAGAAGAGGCTTGCCGGTCTTGGGGTCGACCTGTGTAGGCTTGGCGGCTGCTTGACGCTCGTTGACGAGAGTCATGGCGCGGTGTCCGTTCAAGAAATCGGGGTGGCCGGTATTCACGTAAGTGGATTCCATGTTGATCAAGTCCTTGACCAGCTTGTTGGTGGGTTCAAGGCACTTCTTGAAGAAGGAAATGACGACGGCATGGAACTTCTCCTTCAGCATGGGGTAGCGGCGGAACAGCTGCTTGGTCAAGAGCTGGCTCAGAATGCGCACCAACTCGTCGTAAACCAGCGAGATACACTTCAAGCTGGGCTCTTCCAGGCGCCTGATCTGTTGCTTGACAATCAACTCGAAGGCGGTGGTGCCGACAAATAGTGCGGGGGAGGAACCGGACGAGTTGTAAAGGATGGTCCGGATGTCAATGTCCTTCACGAGGTCGAAGGGATCGACGGCCTTGATACCGTTGGAGTAGAGTTCGTGGAACACAAAGGAGATACGAGCACCACCGGACAGCTCGATGCTGGACAACTCCTGGTTATTTCCCTCCAAGACTGTGCGATATTCGTTGCTGAATTCAGTGATGATGTTGAGGATAATGTTGGCGCTGTTGCCGAGCATAGAGTCACCTAGTTGACTTAGCTCTGCGGTGTATTTCTGGAGGGAGGCGGAAATGCGGGCCTTGATATCGGGCAGGGTCTGCTTGATGTGCATCATAAGGATCTAATAAGAAAAAGTCCGTTAGTTCAAAGGTCTCCGAGACGATTGGGGGTCAACCCGTACCAAGTTCAGTTTGCGTGCCAGATATGGCGTACCGCAGTAGGAAGCCTTATTGCGGTACGCCTTGTGGTTCTCGAAGAAGTTCTTCTCGTTCTCTAGGGCGTAAGCAATGAGCTTCTTGTTCTCAATGTCACGCTGGCCACGGTTGACCACTGGTACATAACCCAGGCGCAGGGGGATAATTCGTCCAGCGAGAATATCCACCACATCGGTGCCATCGTCCATCAGATCGACCTTACTCAACACACCGATGGTGCGCTGACCTTCCGGATCCACCTCACGCGCCAGCTTCAGACCGTCGGAGTTGGCAAGATCCTGGTTGGCCGAGGTGACGGCTAGGATGATTGCATTGGGCTTGCTGATATACTTGAGGACCATATCACGGATCTGCTTCTCAATATCCTTCGGTTGATCTCCGACGGGCACCTTGGTCAAACCAGGCAGATCGACAAGGGTCAATGTCAGGACATTGGGGGAGTAGATGCGCAGGTTGATCGGGGAGGGCGAGATTCCGGCATTCTTTCCGACCTTGGTTTCTGTTTCGCGCACGATCTCCTCCCGAATCTTGTTGAAATCGTAGAACTTCTCCCCGGGGAGGTGCAGGAATTCACCATACTCGTTCACGTTAGACTCGCTGTCCGTTGTCTCCAACTTAGTCTCACCATTTGTTGTGGTGGTTTTGTTGATCAGTTGTAGGATAAGGGGTCTCCGAGTCACGATTCCAGAGCCACGAGGCAAGCTGCAAGGCGAAAACTAGTTAGCAATTATTGTTGACATTGTTTCGCATGCCCCGCCATCGGAGCTGTGGCCGGGGGCCGCGCAAGCTCCTAAAAACAACCAACATACAAATCCCGGCCCACGATATTCTCTAGCACTGAACTCTTTCCACTGGACTGTGATCCGACAACGGCAATTTGGGGCAAATCGATCGGGTTTTGGACCTAAAGAGAGCGGCGGTGTTAGCACACGTGGTGGCCCCTGGGTCACAATTGAACTGTGACCCTGAGCAGATATACATACACCGACTGTGGAAAAGACATCTTGAAGCTTGTTAACTAGTGAAATCAAGCTGGGGTCATTGACGTTTATGCTGCATGGAGATTAGCTAGACCGCATCGGAAAGGGACAGGGGTTTGCGCACGAGTGGCCGGACGTTGGGCTTGCCATGGCTGGCGATTTGGGATATGAAAACTGCTTCTAGGCAAGAAATGAAAAGACAAGAAAAACGAGACACAACAGAGAAGTTGAATAAAGCACAGCCGTAGGGAGGTGTACGATGCGAGTGGATTGTTTGGTGGACTCGAAGGCGGTGATGTAGTGGCGTCCAGAGCGGTCTCCAGGGCTGCCTACGTAGGCTCCAGGGAATCCAAGTGATGTTCAACTAGTCCGTATAATATAGTATTATTAAATATTCTAAAATAATAGCAGAGTATTTCTATAAGCCAAAGAACCTAATAGCTATGATCTCTGGTCATGTGTGCAAATCTTGTGCTGCCTGACGCGTACGGGCCACATGTACATCTGGAAATTATATAACGATTAAGGTACCAAAATGAAAAAAAAAACTCGAGTTGGACACAATAACTACAGGGGAATGTGCTCAAACAAACATCTAAAGGAAAATACATGCTAAGCTAAGATGTCACCTTTCACTCATCCGAAACTGAGGCAAATCGCTCAGTCATAGACTGGAGGATCTTCTCGTACTTGGCCGAGATCTCCGCCTCGTCCTCCGGAATCTCGAACTTCATGCCGCGCAGAGCACTCTGAAGATCAGCAGTGGCCTCACGGACCTTGTTCCAGTTCTGACCCTGAGCAATGGCCTTTTGGGCCTCGTTGTGGTAGCCCATAAACGCCTTCATCATGTACTCAGTCTTCCACAAGGGGCAGAACTGATCGTAGTCACTGTATCCATTCTGCTGGAGGAAGTCGTCCTTGAGCAAGCTGGCCACGTCCAGCGTGATCTTATCCGAATCACCCAGCGCCGCCTTACCGACAAGCTGGACAACTTGGTCCAGTTCCTCGGACTTGGCCAAAAGTTCACGAATCTGGTCGCGCAAGCGAGGGAATTCGGGGTGATCCTTCTCGTAGTATTTATCCAAAACTGCATTGTACTTGCTGTAGGAGATGGAGGTGTTGACGGAAGGGAAGTGTTTGCGCTGCGCCAGCTTCTTGTCGAGACCCCAGAACACTTGGACAATACCCAGGGTACTGCTAGTGACGGGATCGGAGAAATCACCACCGGGCGGGCTGACAGCGCCGACGATGCTGACACTGCCTACACGCTCGGGGCTACCCAGAGCACTGCTCTTGCCAGCACGCTCGTAGAAAGAGGCTAGCTTAGCTCCCAGGTAGGCGGGGAAACCCTGATCAGCAGGCATCTCACCGAGACGACCTGAAATCTCACGCAGAGCCTCGGCCCAACGGGAACTGGAGTCGGCCATCATAGCCACATCCTTGCCTTGGTCACGGAAGTATTCGGCGATAGTGATACCGGTGTAAATAGAAGCCTCACGGGCGGCGACGGGCATGTTGGAGGTGTTGGCGATCAGACAGGTACGCTTCATGATAGGCTCCTTGCGGCCGTCGACGGTAATAGAGAGCTGTAGAAGAAAGGCAGTTAGTGAAACGTTATCGCAGTAAGTTTGGGGAGAGCATGTACTTCGGGGAAATCCATCAAGACTTCGGCCATCTCGTTACCACGCTCACCGCAGCCAACGTAGACGATGATATCACTGTTCGAGAACTTGGACACACTCTGGGAAATAACAGTCTTTCCACATCCGAAGGCACCAGGAATGCAGACGGTACCACCCTGAACACTGGGGAAAAGAGCATCCAACACTCTCTGGCCGACGATGAAAGGCGCATCGGCGGACAGTCTGTCGCTAACCGGGCGGGGAACCCGGACGGGCCAGGTCTGCATCATACCGAACTCGGACTTCTTACCATCAAACTCCACCTCGAGCAGCTTCTCCTCGACGGTGTAGCTGCCAGCAGGAGCAATCCGAGTAATGGTACCCCGTGCACGAGGAGGCAGCAGGATCTTGTGGTCGTTCACCAGACTGTTCTCGAACACGGAACCCCAGATGTCACCACCAGTGATGTGGTCGCCGACCTTGAAGGTAGTAGGCTTGTATTCCCACTTTCGCTCACGGTCCAAGGCGTTCACCGAAATACCACGGGGGATGTAGATACTCTTCGATTGGTCGGCGATGGCTTTGAGGGGTCGCTGAATACCGTCGTAGATCGTCTCCATCAGACCGGGGCCCAGCTCGACTGAAAGGGGCTTTCCTGTCCTCGTCACAGGGTCTCCGACAGTCAAACCAGCTGTTATTCAAAGGTAACATCGGTCAGCATAGCTCTTTGGGGGGTATGATGAAATCATACAGGTTTGGGGGGCTGCGGAGCTCTACCTGTTTCCTCGTAGACCTGAATCGTGGCCTTATCTTTCTCAATGCGAATGACCTCACCGACAAGCATGTCATGACCGACACGACACTATGCGGTCAGTATCTGGGGTTCTCCACGATCTAGCTGAGGCTGGCCTACCAACTCGTACATGGCACAACCGATCATGTTCTCGGCCACGACGACAGGGCCGGAGACCGAAAAGATCGAGCCATGGTTCTCAGAATCGTCTGAAGTCATAATGGAAGAAGCCTGTGTGGAATGGGGAGACACAGAATGGGTGAAGGTAGTTGAGGAGGGCGAGTCTGGAAGCGGTGGCAGCTCGGCGGGCGGTGATGGCTGTGTCAACGTATGCTTGGTTATCAGATCCAACAACGATGCCCGCGCTTTCAATCGAGGTCTTCCCAAGCCTAGCATTCGCTTTAGATTGCAAATAGGTGTTAGAACTGAATTTCGATTCTTAGCCGTGGAGTCCCCCTGCTTTTCTCGTCCAATCCTCGGTCTCTTCCCCGCGGACCGAATCGCGGTCATGCAAGCCGATCTTTCAGCTTGGCTTGTAATACCTGTGGCTTTTTCTTATCATACAGTCTACGGCCTTCTAATGGTGGAAATTCTTCCATTTAATTCTTTCTTACCTCGAGCTTTTGAGAAAGACTCGAATCACTGAACATCTGGTTTATCTTACAGGTCCGAGGAGCTCTACTGCGTCTACTCCACAATAACCTTGGAACAGCCATGAAAATCAATACAAATCCAATAATGCTTGCATTGCAGAAAACTATTTGAGAAACAAAACTGACAATCAGCGATTATCCGTGATATCTAGTACCGACGGCTGTCGATGATGATGTCTATATCGGTCGCAAAATGCTCAATAGCTATCTTCCAGTTCCTCAATTGCCCCATAAATCATCTGGAGCAGATTTCGAAACTCGACCGCAAGATGCTCAGCATGTCCATTGACCAATGACCAAGGCGAAGCAGACGGGAAAAAGGCCCGTAGCTTGATCTTACAACCACCCTCAGTATCCATGAATTCGTTCATGATATAGAAGAACTTGCTCCCACTGTCAAGTACCGCGACCAAGTACTCCGCCCTTTCATACTCTTGCTCTCGCTCCTCTGCCATCCACTTGGGAATCTCTCCGCTGTCCGTGAGATCGACAAATCGAACCTTGGCCATATGCTCCCCGATGAGCTCCACTCCGCAGTCTGGCCCACTTCTGGCAGGGGCTTCTGGCGAATGCATAACCACATAGTTCTCTGGGTGTGTTGGGAATATGAAGCTTCGTGCCATCTCCTCGACGGGCTGGGAGAGCTGCCAGCGGCTGCAGATCGCACTCATCTCTGTCGCCGAGACCCCGGTTACTTTCATATATGTTCTGCATTCTCTGAATTCCCCTGGAGAGGCCCGGATCAACGATTCAAAATAGCGGTTTCCTTCTTCGATTTGGTCTCTCAGGAGATCTAGCATCGGTGCTTGAAACAATAAGCTCCGCAGGTTGTCGAGCGCGCGATAGCAAGCTTGGAGTTCCAAGGTATCGATATCAGCTCTGCATTTAGATACCCCATTCAGCTTGAACTTGATGGTCGGCCTTGGCTCCATGGCTGGTATTCTCTGCAGGGGTTTGAAATTTTCGAAAGCATTGTCTATGAGCGAAAGCCGCAGCCTTTATAGTCCTAAACAGCTCAGCAACGCGTTATTCAAATAAGAGCAATGAACCCTGAAAGAATTCAAGGATGTAGAATGAGAATAAAGAAAGCATACAAGGCCATTAACACAATTCTCAAAAACAGTATGATTTCCTCTTGGCGTTATTTTTGGGCTCCAAGGCCGCTTTGTTTACAACCCCTAAGTCTGCCTAACAAAGTCTCAACTGAGCCTAAGCTATGTACTTCATTCAACCTCCAAATCCGGGATTTAATTCTTTCTTACAATGCGAGTTCCTCTCGAGATTCTCGAGCTCATCCTCCAGGAAGCGGTCGAGGCTCTGTCCTACCAGGACATTCTACGATCCAGACTGGTCAACAGTGGGTTCCCATCGTCGCATCTCGTCTCCCACACTAACCCTGTCTAGGTTTTTTCAATAATGCGCTATGGCCAGCGAGTGCATATCTAGAGAATAATGAGTCACTCTTCACATCCTGGCACACATTTCCTTACAAGCGAAAATACCTTTGGCACTTGGTTGAACAGCACGACACCCGAGCATGTGCTTTCTCGAAATTGATGCAGGAGATTCTAGGACTGCCTCGCGTCGCGTGCATGGGCATCCAAGATCAACATATCATCATCGACAAGATGATTGATGCTATGATTCATAGTACCATGGATCCTGAACTTCTATATGGATTTCACCGTGTCGTGTACATTGTGGACAAGGGAAAACAAGAGTACATCTCCAATTGGAGTCCGGATACCGCGCAAAGGACTCTCGACGCAGCACTCATCGTCAGCGCGATCTACCGAGGGGATCATGTGGAGCTGCAGGCTTTGCTTGATCGATGTGATTACAGTGGGCTTTGGGATCCGAGTCTTAGCCAAGTACCGGTGGATTTGGCATACAAAGAGGGTACGCGAGAGGTCATTCGTACCCTGGTGGAGCATGAATGTGTGACAACGTACACGGGTAAGTCGTCGTGGTCATACGAGAACACCTACGGTTTGGCTGTAGCTGCACGGTGTGGGAATAAGGAGGTACTGGAGACGTGGGTTACGCTGTTAAGCGAGCGTGCGGCCCGACATGGACAGAATCTGTCCTCGCAATTGCGCATGGCTATGATGGAGGCACTGCGAATCGGCAAGATTGAGATGGCTGCCGTTTTGGAGAAACATATCGATTGGACGCGGTCGGATATGAGAATGCTCTGGTTCCAATGTTTCAATGGGGCTGTCGAGGACGGGATGTTGGATGCTGTGCAATGGCTTCTATGTCGGGAAGGATATTCTTTCGCGCGGCAGGTCACGCAGTGGCACAAGGCACCGCTGCTCACTGCACTACATGACTGTCCTTTTGAGAACAGATTAGGGATGGTTCAGCTCTTACTGGATCACGGTGCGAATCCTAACGGGGGTCTAGGAGCCTCGCATACGCCACTTCATGTAGTCATTGAAAATGGAGAAGTGGACCTCGCGATTTTGCTATTGAATGCAGGAGCCGACCCAAACGCCGTCGGAAGAAGAGGCCCGCCGCTCCATATGGCCACTCAATGGGGATATTCACGGTTGGTACAATGCCTTTTGAAGCACAAAGCCCGGCGCAACTACGAGTTCAAGGGGACGAAATACGTTGTGTCACAGGATGCGAGGGTCATTCGAAACATTATGCGGTTGCTGGGGGAGCTGGGGTTGGAGGACGAGCCGATACAGCAGGAATATTATGTGCTAGATCAGAAGTATACTTCATAGGTCTCTGTATCATACTTCCTCTGCCAAGGCTAGCACATTCTACTTTGCCGATCAAAAGGCCAGTCAGATAATGTCTTAGGGAGTCAAAGAACCTAACATGTGAGCATTTCTAGATATTATCCAATCAACATTTGATATAAATCCGGGGTGATCTTAGTGGCTGAAATGGCTTCACATGCCCTAACCCCTCTCCTTATAGCCGTGGACCACGGCAAATGACACCTGGCATTGGCATGAAGGAATATATAGGGACTTTTTCTCATCTTGAAACATAAATACAATGATATTCAATCTGTACTCTGAGCTCACCCCCAATCATGGCGTTGAAGAGTCCCAGCGGAAATAGTACCGAGTGCCACTACTGGGATTACTCCTTTCATTGGACTGACCTCCACTCCTCCGCGGATGACCTCAAGCCGCTGATATACACCTGCGACTCCCTGGCTGACGAATGTGTGGATGGCTTGAATAAAATTCCCTCCGATGATGGCGCCGATAAACGGCCTTTCAAGGATCTTTATGGCTTATTGCGGGACCATGCCGGGGAGGATCCAAAGCTCAACGGGCTCTGGACTGAAATCAATACAGTTCCAGAATGGGTGGATTGGGATCAAATCAAACGGGCCCAGGATGTTTTCTTCCGATATGGTCTTCCGATTCTCAATGCCGTGAGTGGTTAATACATGAGTATGTTTGGGGACGAGGACTGACCTCATCGAAAGCTCAACTTTGAAAGCTTACTTGGTGGAATGTAAGATTATATTTCCACTGCCCGACAATGAGTGTCAAACAAGAACTGATCTGTATTTAGGGGAGCAATGCGAGTTGTCGAAACCCTTTCACGAACAGGTGGCTTCGGAGCTAAGGTGGTACGCCGACGATTACTCGAGACGCTTCAGCATATACTTCAGGTTAACAACTCAGTGGAAGGCATGAAGCCAGGCGGAGATGGCCACATCTCGTGTGTTCGTGTCCGACTACTTCATTGCTCTGTCCGCAAGAGGATCCTAAGTCTGGTAGACCAAAAACCTGAATACTACGATGTCAATAAATACGGAACACCGGTTAATGATCTAGACTGCATTGGCACAATCAACACATTCTGCAGCTCTGTGGTATGGATCGGTCTTCCACGACAAGGTATCTACCTCAGTCAGCAAGAGACCGAGGACTATATCGCGTTATGGAGACTAGTCGCATACTATATGGGCACCCCGACGGATCCCTTTGAAAGTACAGCGAATGCTCGTGCTATGATGGAGTCCCTTCTAGTTTCCGAGATCGATCCTACTGAGACCGGAAAGATCCTGGCTAAGAATATCATTATTGGTCTGGAGAATACAGCGCCTTCTTTCGCATCCAAGGAATTCATGGAGGCGATGAGTCGACTACTCAATGGAGATCAACTGGCGGACGAGCTTGATATCCCTCGGCCTACTCTATACTATCAGGTGTTGATCTGGGGATATTGCTTCTGGGTTATGACCGTTTCATATATTGTACCGAAGATATATTTCCTCGACAGGATTATGATTTCGGTATGTGAAATAATCCAAATTATTGATATTTTCTAACAACAATCTTTTCCAGCTCCGCCGAAAGCGCTTTTACAAGCTGATCCTCGATGAGAAGACAGGACTGGGGGAGGAGTCGCGGTTTGAGTTCAAATATTTGCCTACTCTCACTCGCACCACCCGCCTGGGCCAGCGACGAAGAACGAAATTTGAAAGACCCGGGATTGAAAGTCTGGCGCATTTAGGTCTTCTGGGAGCTTTTACTGTAGTAGCCACTTTAGGTATGGGATTTGTCTTTGCGGTGAGGATGGTTCCTTCACAGCTTTTCATGATTGGAGCTTGATTTTGGGTGTGTCGTGCACGTATCTTAGCTTGATGAGGAATATAAATCACAGATTGTATTTAGCTAAGACATCATCACTTTAGAGCCTGTATTATACGGTGTCTATCATGTGATGCTGCTCAACCTCCAGCACTTTCAAGGCTCTCTTGCAGCCTTGAAGGCTTCTCACTTCTTCCTCCTTTCTCACTTTACCTCACTTCACTTTCACGGTATTTTCATGCTTATTTCTCACCATATCTCACTTTGGCACGCAGCCATGACGGCCCCAAACATGAGCATCTCGAGACAGCAACCACCGTAGGCGAGCGGTTCTGGAACTGTCCCTCAGGCCTGGTTCTCCCTCCGCCCGTGCTCTTCTGTCCCAACATCTCGCACTTCATACTCGCGCCAAATATTGCGACTGCGATCATGAATGTGGCCTCTGCTCGAGAGCGTCATGGGTCTCTCTCGCAATTGTGGACCTGCTCCCCGACCTTTTGAAGAAGACGGAAATGTTGTCATCGAAAAACAGCAGCTCACAAGGGCAGAGAGAGGCCTCCGAGATCACCGTCCGGGCTCGCAGCTGGATCACGGATATTCACAAAAATTGGGCTGATGTGGCTGACAGATGTGTAGGCGGCTAAAGATAAGGTATAAGATCTCCTTTCTTCCCATTTCTAAGCCGTCTTGCAAACAAACAGATGCTGACCCCCATCCCTGCAGCCGTCTAAAGAGAGCTTGTGTGGATCCTTCTTTATTTCAACCTATCACCCTTTCATCAAATGCGGGATACACCGCCACCTATACTCACGGTAGGCACATATCTTGTATTGTAGGAGCTAATCAACTAACGCAAACAAGATAATATCCGGTCGCGCAATGCAATATGAGAGAGCATCCCCAACATCGGAGTGGTCCCTGGATGATCCTGGCGGTGAAACACGGCAGAATCAGGGATCTGTATGCAGAAGAGAATTAGCCCCAATAGAATAAAAAGCTTAAAATGTGCACTTTTCCATGTATAACATTTTCATACAAAGAGCTGGTTTCTAAAATATGGACCAAAAAAAGCAGACACCCGTAGATGCCTGTAACCAGTATGATAAGAGTGGGATTCGAACCCACGCCTCTTGCGAGACCAGGAAACTATTGCTAGTTGTAGAGTCAAGGTATACCTTAACCTGGCGCCTTAGACCAACTCGGCCATCTTACCATTGGATGTCTGGGTTTCATGTATACCCAATAACTATGTTTTAAAATTGTAGCGAGTATGTAAATTGCAATTTACCAAGGACAGTAATATAGGACAATCATTCAATCCCTGAGGCTCTTGGAGAATCAAGGAAGACTTCATGGCAGGAGGTGTAATTCTGGGCTTTTTAAGAAACTATTGCGAGTACGCTGGTTCCGAGGGCTGCTCGGGAAAGGATGGTCACTTTATATAGTAAGTAGCGACGTTATTACCAAACGAGGACAAACTGAATGTTACTTTTTGAAAGTCTGGATGATTGCTTTGAGTGAATGGAACCATTAAGTGACGTTTACCTGCACCTTTGTGAAAAATGTAACTGAAGATCAACCAGGCGCTATGCTTGCATGGTAACCGAACAAACGAGAAGCAGGACACCGCAACATCTTCTCTTATTCGCTAAAAACATCCGGCCTTAGCATATCTGTCAAATGCCAAGTAATGCCGAGTCTAAACAAGTAAGATATAGGATAAAAACACCCGATCGGATATAGGGTGATTTACCCAATCTCCTCGGACGTCGGGTCTAGAACACCCCTGGATATATATATATATATATATATATATATTACTGACTAGGAATTTTGTCTATTTAAGTTCGCGCGTTTATCCTATTTTATTACTAGTTAGAGAGTTTAATATCACTAAATTAGTCATATCTTCATCATACTTCATCGTATAGGCAGATCTCTGTCAATATCATCCACCTTAGGCATATAGTAGATATAAGCCTTCGCAATGGGCAAAGGAAGCTTGCGATCAACGAAGCGCCTCTGTAAAATCCAGAGAGGCTCTCTCATCGGTTCGTAAACAATGCACATGTGCTTTCCTTACGGACCATCTACTTCGAAGTCATCCAGACATGCCCGTAGAATCACGCGGCCACGATACTCTGGATTTTGCTGTGTGATATGGCTTTCAATCTCATGCTCATGCCGAGCATCGTCGGCATCATTACCGTTGATTATTTTCAGGGTCAGTTTCTCGGTAGCCAACATAAATCAACACGCGTGGTTACAGATGTGCGTAGGTACCTTGAAATGTCTCGGGCGAGCCATACAGTTGATTGGGATCCCCAGCCAATTTTGACAAGTAGTTGGAAATTTTTGGCTAGTACTTCCCCAGGCTTCGCTGGGTAGAAATTCGCTGGATTGTAGTTAGGACAGACCTCCTCATAAACAAGTTCCTGTGGAGGAATTGGAGGGCCGGAGCTTGGCGGTAACTGCCAGAGCGACTTTTTGGTGAAGGAAAATATAGAACGCCTCGATGTCAAGGTCAGCCGCCGAATATGTGACATTAGGCCATCCAAGCGTTATTAGAATGCTCTGGAGATGATCAAGTACCAGGGGAAAAGTACAGGAAGTTGAGCTGAGTTCCCTAGGGAGGCTGGCGAATCATGACTAAGCACCTCCCTGGGCCGGGTGCCTAGGTGACTTAGTTTGATTCACAGCAAGGCTTGATCACAGCCTCGTTTCTTCTATATATGCACTATCAACAACTAGTTCCCCACCATCAAATCGGTCGCAGATGGGACATTTGCATATTGTCACGGCATCTAGAGTATGGATGCTGACGAGTCTTCGATACGGTCACGTGAAGTGCCCCTTAGTTGTTTCATCAGGCCGAGGAAAGAATGTCTTGAATCTGGGATTGCTGTTTCAATTGCCTACGTGTGTGTAAATGCGCCTTTCGTAAGTTAAGCCCTCTGATCATAGTCCATTTCATAAGCCATTGAAAAGTGGAGGATAAATGCCAAGAAACGAGCGCCGCATGCCACCCGATCGGGTTTAGTCTCCCTGTCAGTGGCTTCAGTATTGTTGACATGTCCGGAGTCTCACCACAGACGAAATTAACATTGACAACACCGCCTCGAGGATCATCAATCAGAACTTCCAGGAATGGTTCAACGCAGCGAACTGGAGCTGTACGTCGCGTCACTGCCCCCGGCAGCTACCTTAACCAGTATCAGAAGAGCGGTACATCGGATCGAATCGAGATATTCCACAAGAGATCTGCATTATACATCTCCAGGCGAATCCCGACGAGCCAATTGTTGGTACTCCGTCTGTTGGGCTGACATGGATGCACCAATAGATCGACAATCCTCCCTGATGGCCCCCAAGTAGGACAGCACAGGGCGAACAATGACACAGCCCTGTACCGCGGAGAATAAACGTCATGCTTAAACTTATCGCAGACTTAAGGAGATATAAGACTAGCTCAGTATGCAGCACTGGCTTAAATTCCAGTCAAGTCTATTGACATTTACTTCCAATTGAACATTTGAAACAATCTTTCAAAGACACCATGCGGCTACCAGATTATGTGTTCGCCGGATTGGTTTGCCTCCCGATAGCTTTTGCCAATCTTCTAGGGTCGTCCTACCCTCCTCCTAGGGACTTGTCCAGCAGTCACAGTCTGGTCGTTGCCAGCTGGAAGAACCTGACTTCCCAACTCAACACCGTCCTTGCCGATAACCATGCCAACAAAACGAGTCCAGTGTCTGCACTGAAAAACCTCACATTCTCTGCTGGGTTGTTTTCCACACTTGACCCGAAAGCAAAAGATCTTCAAATCCACCACACCGCAAAGGAAGTTGCAAACTCCCCTGTTGGAGTGAGGAAGGTTGATGGAAACAGCATCTACAAGATCGCTAGTGTATCGAAACTCTTTACTGTTCTTGCTGGACTTATAGAGTTGAAACCCCGGGACTGGGACCGTCCACTCACCGACATCTTCCCGTTCTTAGCCGAGCATGTTCAGAAACAACACGATAAGTTCAGGCTTGTCCATGATGTTCAATGGGACAAAATCACTCTCAAATCCCTTGCGGGCCAGATGAGCGGCATACCACATGGTGCGACCGAAGACTTCCTCCAATCCTTTGCTCTATACAAGTATATCGAAGGCTCTCACAACCCCGCCTTGACTGATCCAAATTTCTACGGTCTTCCACCCCTGAACGAGAGCGACTTGTCACTATGGCCACCATGCTTGGGTGAACAGACCATGGGCTGTAACCCAGTCTCCTGGGATGTGTCATATGCCCCAAGACCTCCAGTTTTCCTTCCCTGGCAAAGCCCCGAGTATGCGAACGGTGGTTATATCTTCCTCGGTCTCGCAATCTCAAATCTCACGGGAAAGACCATGGATGAATGGTATAATGATTCAATTTTCGAACCCCTGGGTTTGAAGTCCACCTACTCGTCTCCCCCTGCCAACTCCACGCGCCCCCATTCCGTCCTTTCGGAGAAGCTTGATACACAATTCACACCCGACGGAGGCGCTACGAAGCCCTCTGGTGGATTGTTCTCTACAACCAACGATCTCTCCAAGCTTGGTGTCGCCCTTCTGAATTCGACCCTCCTCCCCTCTGAAAAGACACGAGAATGGATGAAACCTGTCACTCACACCTCGAGTCTACGCTACTCAGTCGGCTCACCATGGGAGATCCATCGATTCGTCCACGCAGGATCAGGCGTAGTCACCGACCTATACACGAAACTCGGGGACTCCGGATACTACGGTGGCATCGTGGTCGTGATACCAGACTTCAACGCCGGCTTCACTCTCCTCAGCGCCAGCACCCAACCCAGCCGCAGCAGCGAGGTCCTCTTCGCTATTGACCTCATCACCGATGCCATCCTTCCAGCGCTTATGGCGCAAGCCGCAGCGGAAGCAGAGCAGAATTTTGCTGGAACATACAAAGCCGATGAACTGAATTCGTCATTGACACTCGCTGTTGTGCCGCCTACCCATCCTGCGCCTGGTTTGAATATCACTTCGTGGATTAGCAACGGCACGGATATCACGGCTTTGGTGCCTATACTGTTTGGTGATGTCGGCTCACGACTTGTGCCTTCTATTCTCTCCGAGAAGGCCAGTGGGGAAATCGCTTTTCGGGGATACACTGCTGCTCAGGGTCGGAATCCTGGAGTGGGTTCCTCGTCGAGTCTTTTCTCTTCTTTCTATGATTTGAACGATTGGACTATGCTAGACCAGTTGACTTGGGGCGGTATTGCTACCTCGCTGTTCGTGTTTGATGTTGAGGAAAATGGAACTATCAAGTCAGTGACACCAGGTGCTTACAGAGTGAAGATGGCGAAGCAGTGATCAAGCCAACATTTGATGGGAGTTTTGAGTGAGACAAAGCGGAGGAAGCAATCGTAGAATGATAATATATAATATAGTCGAATTCATTGCGTTACTTCTTTGTACACATAATCAATATAATTCCGAGACATTTTAATAACCGTCCCGCTTTCCTTGGACGTTAGAACTGCCCTTGGCCTTCTCTAACTGGTTGAGCATGCCGTCACCGATGACAGCAACATCAGTAGTGATGGAAACCATATCAAAGCCCTGTTGTGTGCGGCGAAGAGCGTCATCACCATCGGAACCTAGAAATCTCAAGGTTAGACGCAATAATGAAGAAGACCGAAAAAAAAAACACATACAGAAGATAGCTGCCTTCTTTCCTGCAGATCTAGCAGCATCCAAAACACGCTGGATAGCAGCCTCGTGCTCTTCACCCCCGCGGGTGACACGCATCTGCTTAGCAAGGTCGAAGGGTCCTACAAAAAGGCCGTTAGCAAATCCCACAAACCCAATACAGAAATATCCAATCTCACCAATAAACAAAACATCAAGTCCATCGACATTAGCAATCTCCTCTACATTCTCAACACCGGGCCGGGACTCAATCTGCACAATAACCAGCACTTCGCCGTGTGTCTTCTCGTCGTACTCAGAAGGCTTCACACCGGGGAATGAATGCGGCGTGAACATGGGTCCGTATCCACGGACTCCGACAGGCGGGTACTTGCAGTAGCTGACGACCTTGGCGGCGTCCTCCTATAGAGCAGAAAGATAGAGGTTAGCAACTAGTATAACTCGGAGATAACAACGCTCGGAATTGCACATACTGCAGAGTGACACATAGGAGTCATAATTCCATGAGCGCCAGCATCAAGAGCACGCTTGATCATCCACTCTTCGGGCCATGGCACACGAATAATAGGGCTAGCGCCCTCGTGACCGACGGCATTAGTGAGCTGGATGTATTTGTTAGTAATTAAATTCGTGACTTATAGTGACCGGTTGGAGGACAAACCTCGTAATAGTGGGTGTCGTTAATCAATCCATGTTCGGCGTCAACTAGGACCCAGCTGAATCCGCCTTCTGTGAACTCGGGGCTGCGGCGGAGGATTGTCTTTGCAACGGGGGCACTGGGGAGGCTGTAGGAGATCAATTAGTTTAGTTTTTTTCTTCCTTCTTGCTGGATAGAGCATTCAGGTTGAAATGTGCAGAGGGGAGCTGCCCCTCCGAAGGGGATAAACATACGTCAACCAGAATCCGTATGCCACTGGGGTGGTTTCCAGAGCTGAGCGAAGTGTAACGGAAGACATTATTTAAGAGATAGAAGAAGTTGTGTATAATGAAGAGCAGAAGGCGTTTCAATGTTCTTTATGTTTACGCTGAGGGGACATCTCGGTCTTCCTCCGACCGATTACCCGAGGCACCCCACATCGTTTGAATGGCTAAATGTTAAGAGGATTGTTGTTTTTATTGTATTTGTTTGATTTCTAGTAGTTCTGGCATGTAGAATGTACAGCATTGAGGTATGGAAATCATCTTGAAGTATAACCTGAAGTAGGGACTTGATACAGCCAATTAGGACTGTTCTCTCTGTCTTTATAGCTTAGAGCACCCCACGGGGACTTCCCCGTGTACTCGGTGGTGGACTCCCCCGAAGGCCGAATATTTACTTGTTTTGGTAAAAACGATATAGATATAAGAACGCTCACTTATACGGCCTCTGTATTTGACGATGTTGGCGGGCCTGTGTAGTATCGCGAATATTGTAGAATTTGTAGTTTGTAACTCGGTCACCATGACGCCACGGCCATTAAAAGCAACTCTTTTTTGAGGACGAGTAGGTAGCTAAAACCGTGAACTTGTTGAAAAAATGCCCAACGAAGGGTTAGTGGTACCCTTCCTGGGTGCACTACAAGCCTGTGTTTCCGTGCTATTGACAATGTGCTACGGTTTTGCTGCTCGTCGGCTCCAATTGATTCACGAGACTACAATCAATGACATGCTGGGATTAGGCGTGAAACTCCTCCTACCAGCACTACTTATCGTGCATCTAGGAGATCAGCTTCACCTCGGGACAGCGATGAACTATATTCCAGTCATAAGTATATCATAACAACCCTCGATGAACCCAGCATAGCTGACTTACTGCGTCTATCTGCCGTTCCTAGTCTGGTCAATCCTCTACACATCAGCATCGATTGGTCTTGCGCATTTCTTATCGCGTCTCCTTGGCCTACCTCAATGGGTTACACCGGCTTGCGCGTTCAACAACACCACATCTCTACCCTTGCCACTTCTCCATTCCCTCGAGAGCGTAGGAAGTCTGGAACTGATCCTACGCAATGACGAAACTACATCCTCGGCAATCGACCGTGCTCAAAGTTACTTCCTTGTCTGCGGCGTAATCAGCAAAACGATCGCGTATATCGTGGGACCGAAGATGTTACAGGATCGCGGAGATAGTCTTGACTCAGAGGAGCGAAACTACACCGCAAGCATACTAGCAGAAGACGAACAACTCAGTGAAGAAACCTCACTGCTCCCGCAGCGCGCGCAACAAGCCCGAACATTGGCCGGGCACCTAATCCGGCGACCGATGCACTGGCTCGGCTTATTCTTCCCCCGCCGAGTCAAGCAAGAACTCCTCGCACCGTTCGAGTCTCCATTCGCGGACGTGGCAATACTCTGCACGATTCTCGGTACGGTGCTGGGCCTAGTCCCCTCGTTGCACCGAGCATTCTTCTTTGACGAGGAAGACGGTGGGATATTCAATGCGTGGCTGACTTCGAGTGTCAACAACATCGGTGGACTATTTACAACGCTGCAGATCTTCATGGTTGGGTGTAAGCTTGGAATCACGTTTGAGCGGATGGTTGCAGAAGGGAATTCGGCCCGGATCCCTGTTAAGGCTATCACGACTATCTTTGTCGTTCGTTTGGTGGCCTGGCCGGCGCTAAGTGTCTCACTGATTTACGGACTAGCTAAGAGGACTCGACTCCTTGGTGATGATCCGATGCTTTGGTTTAGTATGATGCTGATGCCTGCTGGTCCACCGGCCCTGGTGATTTCTGGGTTGGCGGAATTGGCGCAAGCGTCCGAGTTGGAAAAGATGGTTATTGCGAAGACGTTGACGGTGTGTACTAGTGGGTTCACGGGAACATGCATCTCGCTGACTATATATAGATAATGTATGCGTTGTCGCCATTTATATGTTTTACGATCACGGGAGCGCTTAAAGCTTCCGAGGCAGTGTTGAAAGATGAACGATAAGATCTCCACGAAAAAAGATTTGGAATAAGATTTTGATTCAAGAGATGTAATTTTATCTCTTAAAAACGTTGATTCCTTTCGTTTTTGATGCTCAAAAACTTCATTATATCATCATCTTATCACGATATTCATGGTCCACCTTGACCAAAGAGTGTGTACTCGGGAGTCGGAATCGTGGCGAAATGATTTACTTCTAAAAATTAGAGGTGAGTTAGCCTTTGCACCTAAAATAACCTAAAACATGGGGAAATCACATACTCCGCATCCCTTGCAGTTGCAGTTGTCGCCGCAAGAGCAGGACTGGGCACCGCCAGTGCAGTTGCAATTAGATCCGCAGCCGCAACCCATGATGAAATATGTGGAATAAGTTGTGTGATTGGTAGTGGTATTCGTAGGAGTATTGTGTGATTGGTAGTGGTATTCGTAGGAGTATTGCGTGATTGAAGAGGACCTTGGAGATTAACAATGTAGAAGGGATTTATATATATGACTGGTAGCATCATCATGTCGTCACAATATGGAAACCTCACTGGCAAAATTTCCTAAAATTATGTAATAAAGTGGTAATACGACAGCCTAGCACATGCGTGGCAATGTATACCAGAGTATAAGCATCATTGACATGCTATATAACCGGAATAACTCTCTTGCAGAAAAAGTGACATAAGACGCTTGCAGGTATATATATATATCGAAAAAGTGGAAACGGTGTATACGGGTAGAGAGGAGAAAGTAAGGAACAGACGAATGAGAAAGGTGGAATACATAGGAACTTCGTATAGATGTTGGGCCCGGAATATCGTTCCTCCGATTAGATCGGATTTGGCTTACCTGGGTTGGCCAGGACAGTGCAAATAAAGCCGGGACAACTGCGAGATATTGTTAGATAACCTGTAACAATCCTGGTCTCAAAAAGCAATGGAAATTTTTCCTTGGGAAAGGACATATGTATTTACTGTGTATTATCCTGATCGAAAAAGTATGACCACAATTCACCTGGATACACTAAGGCGCTCTGCTTCTTCTATATTAGACATGTCATCATATCCTGTTAAAATAACAAATTTAGCATACACTCATGTAAGAGTCAAACCCAGGTAAAAATACATTATCATCTCCAGCGCACCTTAAAACACAATATTACATTTTTATTTAATCCTACGGGTGGGCAGGGATACCATGGCTCAGGAGGAAAAACAGTTTAATGTTAACAACGATAGAAGAAAAATATTGCAAATTGGGGATCACGAAAGAAATCAAAGCATAGAAAATAAAAAGGTCCAAACCTCTAGTGTTAGGCAGCGGGCCATTGTCTTCACCACTGCACCACCAGGCAAAAAGTTCAATGAATGACCGACAGGCCATTCAGTCAACGTAATATATAGTAAGCCCTTCGATGAGCGGTTCTTCAACACCGTGACAGCTAGGACGATTTTATCTTCTTCCCCTTGGGCACACGCACAAGCCAGTAAAAGAAGATCGCCCCAGTGGTATTGAATATAATGTATGCCCACAAGATGCCCAGATCGCGCCAGCGGTTATCAAAGTTCAGATTGACGCTTTTGAGAAACTGGGTGGTATTTTCCATGGCGCAGAACTCGCAGTTCTCACCGCTACCGCCCCTGGTGTCCGGGTTGACGAGGTACCCGCCGGCGTTCTTCATGTAGAGTGCCATGTACTGGGCGCATGTCTGATTCTGCGGAGCGGCAAAGGAAAGCAGCTCGTTGGCGGTGCAGTGCATGGGTGCATCGGCCAACACAGTGGTCAGGAAGCTGTTGACGAGATAGGTGAAGGGGGTGGTGCGGTACATGAAGGTCCAGAACCGGGGTAGGGTATCTGGGCCGGCCAGAATGCCGCAGAAAAGGAATCCAATCATGTTGATCAGCATGGACAGACCGCCGGCGGATTGATCGCTGTCCATGCCGGCAATGAACAAGTACGAGAGCGAGGTGGCGTAGAGAAAGCCCTCCCAGACGACAAGAATGGCTAACGTGCTGCGTGAATTCAGGGTGTCGGTGTAGAGCGCGTTGCGCCATACCCCCATAGGATAGAACCAGACTAGGAAAGAAAGGATGGCCATGAGCTGTATGATGGGTTAGTTTCTCTGGCTGCGACGGATGGATCGGACTTGCGCTGGGCGACCTACCGTATTCCAGGCTAGTTCAACAAATAGATTGGACAAGATGAAGGACTGCCAGCAGTATGTCTTTGACTGACGTTCTCGGGCTTCGTAGAGGGTTCGCTGCTTAACAAACATGGGCATCATCTGCTGGATGATTTGGATGTAAATGAAGAGAAAGAGGAAAACCCCGAACATCTGATTTTGCAGACCCTGAGAAGTGTTGGGGCTATTGAAGAATGAGAAGCCGAGGAGGAGAGCCTGAAAGACATTAGCACTTTATGGGACCATACTTTCTCTAACCAACTGCAACACATACACAACCAAGGCAGAGCAGCACCTTTGAGTAAATATATGATGGCGTGCGCCACATTTGCTGGAAAACTCGGATAGTAACGAGGTGTGTCTGCGTCGTGAAGGGGACAGCAAACTCCTTATAGTCCGATTCAGGCAGACCATTCGGGTCTACCACCTTGGGGGCAAGTTCCCTGAGCCTGTCGAGTTCGCGATGAACTTCGCGATACTCTTCACTACCACGCCAAACAGCGGACCAGTCAATATCGGACTTCACCCCAGGGGCCGCGCCAATGACTTCTAACATATACTCGGCAGGATTAGTACCGGGGGGACAGGGAGCGCCTCCGTTACGGACAAAATAGTCAATGAGCACGTTGGAGTCTCGTCCGATCGCCCCAAAATAGACGGCTTTTCCGCCACGAGCTAGAAGGAGCAGCCGGCTAAACCGCTGGAACAGCATGGCCGACGGTTGGTGGATAGTGCAGAGAATTGCTTGCCCATTATCAGCCAACTTCTCCATGAGATTGCAAATAGACCATGAAGTCTGACTGTCTAAGCCAGACGTCGGTTCATCGAGGAAAAGGAGTAGCTTTGGTCGCGCGGCAAGCTCAACACCAATAGTAAGACGCTTTCGTTGTTCAATATTGAGACCCGATCCAGGTATACCGACGACAGCATCCGCGTACTCCTCCATACCCAAGAGACTAATCACAGTATCGACATAGTCTAATCTTTGCCGGCGGGTGTAATGACTTGGCTGGCGGAGGAGGGCACTGAATTGGAGAGCTTCACGCACGGTAGAGGTTGATAAATGGAGATCTTGCTGTTGCACATAGCCTGTTTGTCGTTGGAATGAGCCATCGCGTTGTTGCCCATCAACGAGTATGCCCCCAGTAATAACTCCTATTGTCGTGCGGCTTGCAAGGACATTGAGAAGAGTTGTCTTCCCTGCACCGGAAACGCCCTGGGACACTGTTAGTAGGAGCTCATACGGGGAAGTCCAAGTAACCAACCATCAATGCCGTCAAAGAACCTGGTTTAATCCATCCGTCCATATTATCAAGCAACCGCTTCTGCTCCCCGTTGGCGGTGATATCGTAGCAGACGTTTTGCCAGTGAAAAACCGCAGTCTGCTTCTCTACTTGAGAGAGTTGCTCACTAGACCTTTCAGATTTCCCCATATAGGGCCTCCCGGGCTTGGTCTGTTCCTCATCCATTTGCTGCCTCTTGAGCCGGTTGTTGTGCATCTGGCTCCGGCGGAAAACTAGGACCTCTCCTTTGGATCGCTCTGCCGTCACCAACTCTGAGCCAACCAGATAAAGTATAGTGAAGAAGACCGTAAAGGCAAGCAGAATACCGAAGTCTTGCCAGCGTTTATCCCAAGAGAATCTGTAAGACTGTTTGAGGAAATCATCTCCGTTGACATTGGGTGACCCTGGAACCGCACCAACGGTAGAACAGCTACGTCCTAAGGGATCCACGTTCTCGTAGCCGGGTCCTGAGGGAACAAAGGTTGAGCATGGGAAATCTCGGCCATGGAGCTCGTTAACCAGGATCGCCTCGAACGCGTACGCGATCGGGTTAATGTAATATATCCACTTCGCCCAGCCTAGAATATAGGGAACCGGAAGCGCAAACCCGGTATACAAGGAGAGCGCCATATTGATGATAGATACCGGAGCTGTTGCTTGTGCGACAGTCTTAGTCATAGAGGCGAAAAACCGAAAGAACATGGACATGCACATCATGGAGGTAAATGCCATAAGCAGGTAAAAGAAAAAGGCCCCGGGTGTCCGACGAAGACCTGCCATGAAGTAGACAGCAACATTGGAGCATATGCACATAACAAGTTTGCTTGGGAGATCCATGATCGATGATGCGATTGCCTCCGCACTTGGATGATACAAGGCATAGCGACTATGCTTTTCCACGATATTTCGTTTATCGTAGAGGGCCATGATCTCTAGCACGCTTGAAAGGGCACTTAACACAATCATCATGAACATAAGGGCCCCGCGTTCCGTGAATGACGCAGTCTCAGCCTTCAGGTTAAAGAAAACACTGCCAATTATGATATTTTGGATCAGATTTACCAGAATGGTAAATATGCTCACAGCCGGACTGGCCTTGATGCGATGGAGCTCTCTCCACATACATAGTTGAATCTGTCGCCAGTATGAGAGAGTATAAGGGGACCTTTCCCGTTGTTTGCTAGACTTTTCGCATTTCCTCGCTTCGGCAAATTTACGCATATCGGCATCATCAAACGGGTGGTCAGCTATGTATTGTTCGATCTGGTTTAATAAGTCTTTGCACTCAGTGCTATCTCTCCATCGTTGAGCGAACTCATCAGCCGTTCGTGGTACCAGGTGCTCGAAGCCTGCTTTGACAATCCTTTCTGTGGGACACGTCATGGAAGTCAGAAAGTCCGGGATCGTTTGAGAGCTAGGGGATTCGAACCCGAGGGCTTCGAAGTAGGTTTTTGCCTCGGAGGCTTGACCGAAGAAAATTTGGCGGCCGTCATAGAGAACGATCACTTTATGGAAAAGCTCATACGCAGCCTGCGGAGCCTGGTAAATCGCAACGCAGGAGGTCGTGCTGTAGATGTCGCCTTGCAGCCGCAGAGTCTTGCAGAACTCGATTGCATTCGCAGTATCTAAACCTCGCGTGCTATTGTCCCAGCATTGCAATGGCGCGTAACTGAGGGCTGCCTCGGCAATAGTAACCCGTTTTCTTTCGCCGCCACTCACTCCACGCATAAAGTCATCGCCCACCGGAGTATCTTTTGTATGGCTGATGCCGAACATGGCCATAATGACATCCCGTTGATGCGTGGCGTATTCTTCGCGGCTGACACCACCGGGGATGGTACGGGGGCGCGCGCCAGCGCCGCGAAGTAGAGAGTCTCACCCACAGTCAGGACGGGGAAATGGTGGTCCATTTCGGCCGTGTAGATCGCCTCCCCACGGAATTGAGTCATCATCTTCTTGGCGGTTATACCGTTATAGTTGAGATAGGTCCCCGGGTCAATCTCCAATCCCAATGTATCGCCCGCAATGCTCTTCAAGAAGGTCGAGCACCCTGATCCAGGCGGCCCTAGCACGCAGAGTTGCTCCCCGGGCAAGACCAACCCATCAAGTCCCTGTAGAATGTTGACACGTGGTTTCTTAGTGATTCTCAGAAGATTTGCCAGTTTGGAACCAAGCTTCAGGGCTGCGTTGCCCACACTCATCTGGTAGTCGGTCGCTGCCCCGTAGCCGGTAACGTTCAGGTTGTGAAAGGCAATACCGGCCCTCCGTGGAGAGACCCCCTCGGCAGTATATCTGACGTTGTAGAAGGCTTTGGCCCAGTCGCGGGCTTTGAAGTCCGGGCTGTTGGGATCCAGGAAGGCCTCCTTCTCGGGGTCAAACGGCGAGTGGCAGTCGGGGGATGTGAACTGTCCGTTGAGCACCATGGCTAGCTTATGCACGCCAGCTTCACCGCATGGTAGGTCTCTCTCTGCGCCTCTCGAAGCGTCTTCCGTGACCAAAGGCCCGGTCGAATCGAATAGCTGCTTCTGTGAATCGATCTTTCGATTAGACGAGTCCGTGGCTGAGTGTCGGCTGCGATAGCTGTCCTCCTTTGGTGAAGAGAGCGTCATCTTGGCTGTGATCAATGACGAACTCATGGAATTGTCGTCGCTGAATTCGGGCTTTGTACTGTCGTTCATGGTGGTTGTTGAGGAAGGATGACCGCTGGGCACCACCGGCTTGGAAAACGAATCCTCTCGCGCTGTTCTCGAACTTCTCGCAAATCCACGGGTGTCGAGGTTCAATCCCTGATATGAGCTCTAGAGCGAGGATAATCGTGGTCGGTAAACGTCAAACTGCACTTCAAACAATTGCCAAAATCAGGGGAGCTGCCGAAATCAGGGGCGCCGAGATCGTTACCTCTATAGCTCAGCCACCAATGCAGGGCAGATCGGTCCCAAACAGGTCTAGGATCCCTTGTCGGGCATTTACTTATCGCTGGGAGCTGGCCGACGGTAAAATACAGCGGCATTTGCCCCCAGGCATGCTTTTTTTCCAGATAAAGCAAATAACCTAATTCCTGGCTGCTCTCAGAACCGATTCGGTTCGATTCCGTTGCCAACTGTAGAGTATGTGATATTCCTGTAAAGAACACGAATCCCCACTTCCATCGCCTCTTTTGGTCGTTGTACTTCGGGTGCTGTGCGTTGTCCTTTCCGACGCAAGGGATTCCACTTGTGGAATGTCCGTATCTCCCAGACTGAGGGGATCTTATTGAGCATTCGAATGTATCTCGCTTTTACCGACAGAGAGAGAGAGGGACTTGAGACTCGCGTTTGAGTCTCTGGTAATGGGCCACAATCCCCCACAACAACCAGTGGACATCGTACATGAGGTGATCTAGGGTCCCGCAGCCTCCAGGGCTGCTGCCCTGGATAACTTCGTACTATTTTCGAATCGGAGTTTTGGTTATATCCAGGCCAGTCAATGGGGTTGGTATATTCTTTCCTCGGAACCGTCATCCCTAATCCATGCAGAAGCCGTGTTCGTGGCCTTGACTAAAATGCGCATGAGATATCTCACCTGCATCGCACTCATTGCCGCCTCATTTGTTGGAATGTATGACAGGCCTCCGGAATGGACGATGTAGTCCAACAGACGAGTGTAACACAGGTAAATACTTGATCGTCTCTCTCTACGGCATCCATAGAGGTATGCAAAGAGCCCTGAGATTTGCCAGCCCAAGGACCTCCGACTAATTGGGGGAACGGAGGAGGGTCCGATGGGTCTTATTGACTCAGAAAGGGAAATGGAACGAACTGTTCCGTTCAAATCTGATCAGCTAAAGATAATACAAAATATGTATAACCTTTTTTCTAATTAATGATTTCTCCAATAATTCTTTGGCTCATTTAATAAACGAAGAATAGAAAGAAGAAAAAAATAAACATATATTTAGGGGATTGTTAACGGGACACCCTTGGATATTCCGACACCCTTTTGGATAACGTATTTCACATGCGAGCTGCGCACACAAGCCAGCTGCCCAGTCCAAAACACATACTCTGTAGTAATGCCGATAAATTACAATTAGAGGGGTGTCCCGTTAACAATCTCCTATATTTATTCTGTGGTCGATATGCCACCTCACCACCTAGGTGCTTTGCCACAGGCAACACCGGGAAGGCCGTTGGTATATGTGTTGACCGGTTCCTTGGGTCAGATAGGTAGATTCTGGCACTGGTAGGAGATCTTTTTCTTCATCTGTTAATTCACTACTTTTAATGCCTCACCCCGTGTACGCGTAAAAGACTCGGCTATTATTGTACCGGGACAACAGTCTCTCCTGCAATTCTGAGGAAAGGTAATCGTGCGTTAAAGCCGTAAAGCCAAAGAATATATATGTTCAGTCATTTGCAAAGGAGCAACCACACCACCAATTTTGATTGAAAAACTCGATAAATAATCAAGTCAACAGAGAAAGATCCTGCAAGCTTAACACTGTGTAAGTAAGACCTGAGTACGCTCTATATATTTACTTGATGACTTCAGAGAAAAGCGCTTGCAGGGGCACGCTTGATACTCGTATTCATTTTACACTTATAGATGGTCTCTTAGACAACTAGATCTTGATATACAAAATCTTCAAGCCTGTGGCCAAATGACACCATAGTCCTTGTTGTTGACAATCTTCTTTCCGTCCTCATCATACCAGGTGAGACTCACGCCGCGCATTTCCATCTCCTGCGCCGCTCCCTGATTATTCCTGTTCTCAGTAGTGGTATTGTCTCCGTTCCCTGAGGACTTGAATTTCATCGTCAACACCCTATTTTAAGTTAACGGAACGGATGAGCAGCTGTGAGAATACAAATTGGTAACTCGCTATCGGAAGTTAAATGAAACATACCATTCAGCAGCGGCAAAATGCTTATCCCCAGATATGCTGACCGGGGACAGAGTGATATTTTCGGCCTCGGAGAAGATTTTTTCAAGATATGCCCGAGTTGCAATCAAGTCCATATCCAATGCGGCAATTGCTGCTCTGGTATCAGCTTATAGACAGATCAATATACCTGGCTAGGCAAGGGCTAGGCACCATAGTCACTGTAGAGGCTATCAGGGGCAAAAAGCGAAATAACATGATCAATGTCAGCGGCATTAAATGCGTCTAGGAAGTCCTCTCTCCGCGTGTTGAGGAGTTCGATGTCGGGCTCTGAACTCGCGGTAGTCATGGCGCTAGCCTGAGAGTCAATATTGGAAGAGAAAGATTGGGCTGGCAGAGCAAAGAACAGAGTTAGAAAGGGAAGCAAAACAGTGCAAATCATGCTGTCGGTCTATCGGTCAAAACAGTTATATTTGATCACGTAGAGGTGAGCAAGATACAACGGAAGGTGGTATTTAGAGGCAAGGACAGAAGCGGTGGTGATTGAACAAGGTCTCGTAGAGGCTACGCTTTTATGTCGTTCGGCATCCACATCCTTTGCCACTCTGCTACTCTCGGACTATTCTCATTGGATTTACGCAGGGGCATAGGGGCCAGGGTTACTTTCGGATTTAATGCATGCAATGGTGCCTTAATGCCTTCATTGGGGTGGCAGAAAAATGAAGATAACTAGTTACCTAAATTACAATTAACTAGTTAGCCCGAGTGCCTGAATAACGTATTTCACATGCGAGCTGGCCACACAAGCGAGCTAGCCACCCCAAAACACTATAGTAAATGCGATGTATTCTACATTGATATCTTAACAACCACGTTTTTATTTCATTTCAATATTTGTCGATAGCTGTTGACAAGGCTTTTCAACACAATATATCAAATTTAATAAAATCTAAAACCTATATAGTTACGGTATCGAGAATTACGTTACTTAGAGCTAGAAATATATATATCTCAACCACCAAGTGATAGAAATTCTTTAAACACCTCCTAGAGACTAGATACCACCTGAAACGCATTAGGTTTGGACGGGAAAATCCTATGGCCTTCTATTGTTGTTATACTATGTTGTAATTTATCGCATTTCTTATGTGTTTTGGGGTGGCCAGCTCGCATGTGAAATACGTTATCCTCTGCCTTGGCTAGTATTTAACCCTATGAATATAATTTAACACTATGTATAGTTAGTTATGTATATTCACTCACTATATGTATATGCACTTTTCGCCATCAAACCGGGACCTCAAAAAATTTAAAACACTGCCATATTGAATAAACTGCCAATTATCTATTTCATACTCTGGAAACCAAATCAATTAGGCTTAATTTAGACAGTGAGTCAAATTAAGGCCAAATTAAGGCACTAAGACCGCAATGCACTACACTATATCCGAAAGTAACCCTGGCCCCTGTGCCTCTGCGTACACCCCCAACCTATATCAAGTGACCTCAGGCCAGGATGTAACACGAGCCTAACGTATTTCCTGCGCACATGAGCGAGCTACGCAGCCGAAACACTAGTAAATGCGATAGTTACATGCTACACTTATATCTTAACAACCAACGTATTTTGAATATTCTTTTGTTTGCCAATAGCCATTAATAAGCTCCTTTGAAAGTATATATCAATTTCGAATATATTAAAAACTTATATTACTGTCGTATTGAAAAATATATCACCAAACCCTAGACTTCCGCAAAGCCCACAAATGGGCCCGAACCTCGGGCCCATAGCCCAACCCACTTACGGGTTGGGTTGGGTTGGGCTTTGGGCTTTGTGGGTTGGTGCGGAAGTACTAAACCCTACCCAGCGGTATAGGCGCCAACTGCCAAAACCCCATTTCTAACTAGGTTAGTAAATATTTGATGCCTTGATGCCTAACAGGCCAAAGCTAGACAGACATTAAGGCATCAACATAGGGTTTTCGCAGTTGGCGCCTGTACCGCTGGGTACTAAACCCTAGAAATATTTATCTCTATCACTAATTTATTATATTCCCTTAAATTCTATATAATAGCTATATGTCATAAAAAGCATTAGGCTATAAGGAAAAGTTCATAAAGACAATCGTTGTTACAATATCTAATTGTAATTTATCGGGTTTACTATGTGTTTTGGACTACGCAGCTCGCTTGTGTGCGTAGCTTGCATGTGAAATACGTTATGTGGCGTCGAAGAGGGAGGCTTTGGCTTTGCCTGTTCCACAACCCAGGGTAGACCAACGACTGTCACTGAATGCATTGGGAAAGTTCGAGCAGTACCACAAAAGGAAGCACAAGATCTCGATGATACCTCAGTAACTGTGGATAGAAACCTAGTTGAAAGGTCTTCAATCCGACTCGGCAATGTAGGCAGATGCTAAAGTGATATGGACTCCTTTTCACTTGCGCTTCACGGTGACCTGCCCAGCCTCCAGAATCATCTCTTCCCTCTCCCAAAGCAACTCCACGGTAGCCCCAGTGAAGCCGGAAACAAAGCAGAAAGCCAGTGTTTTGACAGCAAAGCTATGCCAATCAATTCTCCTCCCCTGAGTCGCATGGGCAGATCGATACAAATCAAGCGCCCACCACCACATCGCCCCTGCCGCAATTAGCTGATCCCACTGAATCAACCAGAGAGTTCCCTGGCCCACGGAGTCTGTCTGGATAGAAGACCAAGGCTTCGTATTGACAAATACATTCCACGGGTGAACGTCGGCGACTATATCCGCATCCATTGAATTTCGGAACCCAAAAGCAATTGACAGGGAGATAGCCCATGTAGCAAGGTGCGTAATGGCAGCAACTGCAAATGTGAGCCCGTAAACGGCGCGGAAGGTGGCCCGAGTTCGTTCCCAGCGGGCTCTAGGATTCGCGTCGTCCTCCTTGGTTGAGATGAATATCTTCGCGATATAATGCACTGCCGTGCTCCAGAAGGGCCAGAGCTGCCATAATGCAATTGCGGACTGCCGAGTGAAGAGATTCCAGGTTATGCGCTCAGGCAAGGCCACTAGAAGACAGGGCAGCATGAGGCCAAATATAAGGTTCACGATCAAAGCTTTGAGTTCATGTACTGGGACAGACAAATTGTCTATTGTAGGCTGTGAGGCTGTAGGGGAGATGAGGAGGTGGACCGTCAGGTACCACGGTATCGAGACAGCCAGGGTCACCATGATACCGAGCATACCCCAGAGGGTCGGGCTATAGAAAAACGTACTGCCAATCGTCAATCGATGGCCATGTCGATAAGAAGATCAACTCACCATCCTGACGTTCTATTTCCCTTCCTCAATGATTCCAAAGTGCCCAACATGAGAGACAATATGATCGTCCCAAAATAATTTGTAAACATCACACTCAACCCAGGGCAGCTCCCATCAATAACGGTCCAGTAAAAGACAAACATGGTGGCCAATGGTTCGTCAAGCGATGCAATACCGGTCGTCTGGGCTCTTTTCCTGGGGTCGGTTGGCGGCGAGTTGAGCCATACCTGGCCTTTTTCCATGACCATAGGAATATAGTTGTTTCGATAGGAAAAGTCCACCATCGCGTATAGCGCAAGCGCGCCATAGATGGGCAGTATGTACTTTGCGGGACGACTCATACTAACTCAATGGAACGCATGTAACATAAAATCACGAGGAATGGGGTGCTTTTGGAATTTCGAGATGGGTGAGAACTCCATATACGCAGTTGGTTCTGTTGATTTTCGGAGGCTGTGGCTAGAGTACACAAAATGACCAAAAAGGATTGAGGACTGAGTTGTTCAGGTGATGTAACGTAGAAGACCTGCATGCACATCCCAATGCAGAGCCAGAACTAAGTGCAGACCTCTACAGATTCACCACCTACGCTTACAGCGGGATGCTGTTCACCTCTAACGTATTTCATATGCGAGTGGTCCACGCCAAAACACATAGTAAACGCGATAAATAATAGCATGTTAGTGTAATAACGGTTTTCTATACAAATGATTTCTAGAGTTCAGCGATGTAATTTTCCATACGACAACAATGTAAGTGTTTGATTTATTTCAAGTTGACATGTAATACTAAAGTTCTTGTAAATTGCTATCGGCTAGTGATGAAATTAGATAAAAGCGTTGGTTCTTGAAATATTAGTGACAACTATATCGCATTTACTATGTGTTTTGGCGTGGACCACTCGCATATGAAATACGTTACTTGGTGCAGGGTAGGTTTCAGGCTCCATGGCAGCACTGGCATGGATAACGTATTTCACATGCGAACTGCGCAGTTCGCATGTGAAATACGTTATCCTAATGGACCTCTTCTTATTTCCTGATAAGCCTAACAGCTAGATGTTGTTCACAAAGACTCGGTGAGGACTTGGTTGCAGGCTACATCAGACCGTTCACGTATGTTCCATTAACCCACATGAAGTACAGGGGTATACAAGGATTGAGGCTGTTGATCTTAACTATTTGTAGTCCTGCTAGCTCGCAGTGTTGCTGTCTTGTGTGATATGTCGCAAGCGTGACCTTGCGTCTTAGCATATGCCTGTCGTGTCAAGGCCTGGCCTGTCAAACAGGACGCCGGGTTGCATTCTCTACAGCCTGTGAACTTATCCTTGCGTCATAAGTTCCAACTGATAGTTCATCTGATGTCCGTGATATTTTGTGAGTGGCATTGGGGAGACAAAATATCAAGACCTTATTCGTGCTGCTCCCTGACACATTCCATGTCTTTGATTGTGTGGTATTCCCTGAACAGAAAGTCGATCGAATTACCCTGAATTATCAAATCTATAGTTTTCTCACCAGCTGTGGCCGATAACCGCCGCCGAAATGGAAGTGGAAAAACGCTCATTTCGGGTCATCATCGTCGGCGGATCTATCACGGGGATGACCCTCGCCCACTGCCTCGATCGTGCCGGAATTGATTATGTGATTCTTGAGAAACATCAAGATATATTTGCCGAGCCCGGGATTTCCATCGGACTCATGCCCAACGGTTCTCGAGTCTTGGAGCAACTAGGATTATATTCTGATGTGGACAATCTCTACCAGCCAATCAAGAAGATATATCAGTGTTTTCCCGATGGGTTTTGTCTCGAGGCTGAAAGCCCGGATAGAATAGTTGAACGGTATGCGTCTTTTCTCAAGAAAGCATGCAACATTTGAGACTAAAAGTGACACAGATTTGGTCTGCCATTTTGTGTCATTGAGAGGCAGCTGTTCCTCGATGTTCTCTACTCCCACTTCCAGGACAAGTCGCGAATTCACATGAACAAGAAAGTGATTGAGATTACCCATGGTCGGTCAGACGTGTCTGTCAAGACAGCCGATGGGTCCACCTACACAGGAAACCTAGTCGTGGGTGCAGACGGCGTCCACAGCGCCGTGCGCTCAGAAATGTGGCGGCTCGGGAACTTGGAACGGCCTGACTTTGTGACAGAGGAAGTCAAATCCGGTCAGCAAACTTTGAGATTATTTCCAATTCTCCGCTAACATCCCAAGGCCTCTCTGCGGAATACGGTTGCGTGTTTGGGGTCTGCAAAACGCCTCCTGGTCAAGACCGATGGGAGCATATTATCAGATATAACCAAGATTTCTGCTTCCTGTTCTTTCCTGCAACAGGGACAGATATATTTTTCAACGTCATCTATAAGTTCAAGCGAAAGTACAGATATCCCAACATCCCCCGTTTTAGCAAGGCCGAGGCAGTCAAAATATGCGAATCTGTCGTCGACTTTCCTGTCTGGAAGGATGTCAAGTTCGGAGATCTATGGGAACAACGAACCAAGTTTTCCTTAGTACCTTTGGAAGAGCACATGTTCAAAAACTGGCACTATGGACGCATAGTTTGCGTTGGAGATAGTGTGAGCAAGGTTGGTTTATCCAGACTATTCCGCATCGTTGGAAGGCTTAAGGTATTGACTTCGTCAGATGTCCCCGAATATCGGGCAAGGTGCCAACACTGCAATCGAGGCAGCTGCAGCGCTGACAAACGGACTCCGGAAGCTACTAATAGACCATAGTCCGGACCAGCCACCGGAGCGAGCACTCGCTTCCATGCTGGAGGACTTTAACCAGAAGCAGCTCAAACGCCTGGAAACGGTTCATGGAGATGCGCAGTTCGTTACCCGACTCGAAGCTCTGGACGGGGGGATACTCCGATTCTTTGCACGCCATGTAATGGGGCATTGTGGAGATCTGCTTGTTGGTAATCTTGCTCGCATTGTAGGAAAGGGATCGGTGCTGGACTTTGTACCGCTGACTGTTCGGTCTGGGAAGGACTGGCCCCCTTGCCCCTGGCAGTATTCATGGGGAATCTCCGAGTCGATTGATTTCTGCAAAAACCTTACTTACGCTATTATCATTGTTCTGGTTGCCCTGGTCGTCAGACATATGATGAACTGATTTGTGGCACCGAAGTGGCGAAGAAGCCGGGGAATCACTGTAGTCTGCATCAATAAATCAATGAGAATTGTACTAAATCAGCAGTGGCCACACGCCTGTTGGTGGCCTACTGCGTCTCATAGACGCTGTACATTCCTTCCACGCCGTTCTATCTTATTGTTTATCCTAACTGCGTCACTAGTAGGGAGCGATACCTTTCTCTCTACTGTTCCTTTCAATCCCCGTCTTCGTTATCTGCTACTCGGCCTCCTAGTATGCTGCCTGGTTTACGGGGCCTCCTTCACTTCACCAAACTGCGCAGATTGGAACTTCTGGAGGAGACCAACTTGTTGCATGAGTTTGAGGACGTAGTCAATACACTTAAAATCACTGCTCTTGGTTCTAAAATTTAACGTGCTGTATTGTGGTATCATTATCCCGCCACCTACTTCAGTTCCATTCTGTACCCATTTTAGACTGGCGTCCGATAGAGATGAAATTTGTGTTTGAACTATTGGTCGAGCATCATTAGTTAGGTGCTAAGTCGAGCCTCTTGCCGCAGAATTTTGGACTGCACTTCCGAGCTGAATTCTTGGTATGTGGATGGCAAGCTGGCACCCATGAGGAGTGATAGAATATCATTCCAAAGGTGACTTGTGGGAGTGTGGGTGTTTACTGAAATTGCGGCTTGGTAGTTCATGCTGTCCCGACATTTCCATTTCTCGTTTCTGGCCGTTTCTGTTCTTTCGTCAGAACATATGTTTATATCCAAATTGTTAGCCGCGGCTCTGTAGTGGGCCGACGGTGAGGTGTGAACTGGGTAAAAATGAATGGCCGGAATACTGTCCAAGATTGAAATTTCGTGGCTCATATTGCGTTAGAAAAGTTGTGTGGTCGATTTATGTCTGGATGAAAAAGTAAAGTGAGCATGCCAGGAAGCTACACAGCGACGTGGTGCAAGGATGTATATGCTTAACACCTCAATCATCCTATATCTATCAGATTTCATCTAGTGTATCGTTGTTATAAAACCAAGAGTTGTTTATTTGGGGCTACTCAGGTCTCCATACGTTTGGGCTGCTCTCGTTATGCACAAATCTCTACCTCCATCATCCATTCGATCCCAATGACCTAGGGCTTTTGTACCTTCGGTATCAAACTGGCTGGAAGCTTCAAGCTGGCAGAATTAGCCAGATCCCCAATGGACGCCCCGCTCTGGATCTGCAGAACTGGAATCTCAACTTCAAGCTCCTTAAGGAACCAAGTCCGAATATCCACTGCCACCAAACTGTCAGCCCCCAGCTCCGTTAACCTGCTATCTGCAGTCACGGCGACACTGTCTGACAGATGCAGCTTCTGGGTGATTTTCGCGCTGAGCGCAGCAAGAACGACTTCAGCAGCCTCGTCCATGCCATCGACGGCTTCCAGTTGCTTCTTAATTGGTATGGCTGTCGTATCAAATTGGGACGAACTCGAGCGTAGACGGTAGTCCACGAGAGGCCATGTAAGCGGGTTGCTATACCATATAATATCTGGCTTCTCCTCAGGGTCATGCGCCGTGAAGCCACTGATCACCTCCGGATTCCGGCCCGCACGTGGGATTCCGGCCAGAATGCCCTCGGCCATTGTTTCGTGTAGATCCTTCTCCGACACGATATGAGCCCCGACATGGCCAGCCATCCGGCGCGATAGCTCACTGCCCATCCGGGAGATATACCCGACACCGCGAACTTCCGCGGGGTGGATGATGCTACCGACAAGATTCTCCTCGCGGCGGCGACGGATCAGGCTCCGCATGTAATTAGTGGCAGCCCCGTAGGAGGATTGGCCGATGTTGCCGAGGATGGACGTTGCGGAGCCAAAGAGGATGAAGAAGTCGAGGTCTTCGTGACCGTAGATTTCTTCGAGAAGCCGACTGCCGACAATCTTGGGCTTGTAAGTTGAGAGGACGTTCTCGAGCTCGACATCACTGAACATTGAGTCTTTAAGGACCATGGCGCCGTTTACCACTCCGCCGACGGGGGGAGTGTACGACAAATAATCCTGTTGACGTTGAGGATGGATTCGCGATCGGTGACGTCCCTGATAAAGTGATTAGTTTGAACCCAATTCCCAGAGAGCAGTCGGTGAAACTTACATGGCTTCGATCGCAACTCGAGCACCCAGTCTCGTCATCTCCTCAATCCAAGTGGAATCCACCTTTGGATTCCTACTAGTGAGGACAATATTCTTCGCTCCCCGAGTAATCATCCAGCGACAGACAGACTGACCCAGATCACCGGACATACCGACGAGGAGATACGTCTTGTTGCCGTTTAGTTTGACCTGCGAACTTGCGGGAGATATCTGCACGGGGAGTTCAGGGACTGCCGTCCAGTCCAGAATCTCGATTTCGTTGCTTCGCACATTCGCACCGCGCGCGATAAATTCAGGCAATCCAAGTACCTTCGTCTCATGTCTCCCATGCAGGCCTGCAGAATGCCAAGACAGGCCAAGGTTGATTTGTGCGGCAATAACACGAGCGGTGTTGAAGACTTTGGTTACCGCGTGAACTTGGAAGTCCTGCGACAGCGAAGGTTCACGCATGGTCAGGGTGCCCATGTCTTCGCGACGCACATTCTTGGGTAAGAATTTCTCAAGTCTCGAGAATAGTCCGTGTGGTGTGTTGCTGAAGTTTGCAGCGACGGACAAATTAGTGGGCAAGACCTGAGCAAGGGTCTGCGCCGTGCTCCTCTCGTGCAAGAACAAGGTATTGTCACCGGAGCTCTTGGCAGATGCATCGCTAGTGCTGAAATATGGTTGAATGCCTATCATGGTTAGGGGCTTGATCGTCAGTATGAGTTTGGGATGGGGCCTACCTTTCGCCACTGCCTGACACCAAACAGCGTGCCTGAGAGGCTCATTCGCACCATGTATCAGGATACTTGTATTGGGCGCCGCTTCTTTGACGAGACTGTTAGCCAGCGCCGCATGGGCCAGGGCTACTAAGAACTCGGCCTCCTCGGCCTCTCCAATGTTGTCTGGAATCTTTGAGCTCCACGATGAAGGAATGGAGACCGTCGATGAGTATTTATCTGTGACCCCAACCACGCGGGATTTTGAGACTATGTCTTCACCCGAGATCAGGTTTAGGAAACCGGCTCCGTTAATCTTGAATGCTGTCGAGAGAGAACGTCGGACACGGATCTGGACAGTGGATTGAGGATGAGAGAAACTGCCATCCGTGAAATATTCACGGGCTGCCGATAGTTCAACCTGGTCGCCGTTGAAAGATAAATCCACAGCAGACTGTCCAATATCAAGCTGCTGCTGCACGGCCCGTTTCGTAGCCGCGTATCGGCGGTTCAGACCCGTGGCATTCATAATCCGGGGTATCTTCAAGGTATTATTCTCAAAGCGCAGTTCCAATTCGACACTGTCGACCGCCGAGGAATGGCTATAGTCATTGGTACACTCGGAATGAACCATGCGCATCAGCGCCGTTGCGATAAGCTCCACGTTGACGTCCTTGGGTTCGACAATGTTGAGGTACTGGTGAAGCGAACCCTTATACTCATACCCGATACAACTGAGGAAACCCTTACTCATGCTCAGGTAAGGGTTCTGGGATTCGGAGCCGACAGTTACCCAGAGTAGCCGTTTGCTCATGGCGAGGACCCTAGGAGATTCTGGTTAGGGTAAGGGCCTGGAGAGGGTTAAAAATGGATACGGACCGTTTCAGAGAGCGTAGCTTGCTCTCGTTCATTTCCTGGAAACAAGGAGCATCCATGTCTGCGAGACACAACACCTCGGTTGGAGATTCAATACAGTGAGCCGAATGCTCATTTAGGAATTCCATTTTGGAGGTATAGTTGAAAGTATGGAAGAAAGGGCATAGGAGCTTGAGCAGAGCAGGCACGAGCTGCGACGTTGAGTTTGTTGCACCGCCGATGATCATGAGACTCTCGTGCTTTTCAGAATCAGGATCTGATATCGCTAACGGTTTTCGAAGACGCTGTACCCGATCGTTAACCGCCTGGGTGACAAATGTTGAGTATCCCCAGTACGAGTACTGTTCTTTGTCTTGTGCTGGAAGAATTGCGTTGATGCCGCTATAGCCGGTCTGACGAAGAAGGGCTTCCCACTTTTCCACGGAGATCTTGGGACCCCACGGTCTGTTGTCCTCCTTTCCTAGCCACCACCCCTCAAATGGGCAAAAGAGTAAAGCATCTTGCAGAATATGTTCATTTGTAATCTCCAGAGCAATGAGATGACCACCGGGCTTGATCAGACGGCGCGCGTTGATCATAGTAGTCTCTAAGAACTTGGTGGCATGGAGAACGTTTGCAGCAATGACAAGGTCATATGCACCAGCCTCGAATCCTTGCTCTATCGGATCTTTCTCAATGTCAAGGACCCTGTAGACCATTTGATCTGCATACTGTGCAAAGGTAATTTCGGCATCCTCGAAAAACCCAGCTGAGATATCAGTGAAGGTATAGGAATGGAAATAATGTCCAATACGCCCAATAACAGCGCGGGTTGCAGATGCAGTTCCAGCACCAATTTCGAGAATCTTCATACGCGGATATTTGAATGCGAGCTGAGCAGCCACATCGCCAACTCGCAGACTCATGTACTTCAGTTCCTGTTCCTTGTCGTAGAATCGCGTGAGAAGATTGTCCTCTCGGTAGATTTCGATCATTGAAATTTCATTGCGGAGGAAGCCAGGGAAGTACTGTCTGATCTTATCCGTCATTTCGACAATAATGGGCTGCGCTGTTTTGGCCAATATGGTGAGCATCTCTTGAGGATCTTCGTCAGCCCATTCTTGCTTGCAGAGAGTGTATCTCCCTTGACGAGTAAGACTAGTGACATGATCAAACCAGGCCACGATATCCTTGCGATGTCCTTCGAGCTTCTCCCTATCATCTGGGGTCAGCCCGGCGAGGAGTTCTTTTATGACCAAGAAGCACATATGCTGGGGGTCGTCCATCTCGCCAGACCAGAACTGGAGTGGTGGAGGGTGCTCGGGTTCAACATCGGGTTCAAAATTCCCCCACTGAACTTCCGAGAACATTGATCGGTCATTGCTTTCGCCGGGCCGCATGAGTGGAGAGACCTGGATGCCTTCGAATTGAATGACCCCATGACCCTGCAAGGTGAACAGGCCAACATCCCCAGACACCCCATCTGGGCCCGCACTGGTCACAGCGGCATCGAAGAAGAGGGACTTGCCCACGGGGATGCCGATGCGTCCACAAAACATCGGGTTGATAGTTGCTCTCTGGATTCTCGTTGGGATCTGCAAAGTTGACAACTCCCCATCCCCAGGAGTCCCAACAGCACCGAGCAAGCACTGTAACCCGCAGTCCATTGTCGTGGGGTGGAGAAGTAGAGCATCGTCCGTGAAATTGTTCAAAAGCCCACTGGACGTGTCGAGCTTCCGTTTCATTGAGGTGATACCGCGGAACAAGCCCGTATAGCCATACCCCAACTTCCCCAGAGACTCATAAAAGTCATCGATGTCCACAGTTGACATACCAGACGTCGAACTCAGTCTGGAAGGCAGCCCGTCGATCTGCGACTCCCCCCATGACACCACCAACTGACCAGAGGCGCACGACTTTAAGACCCCTCCAACATCCGCGTAGAGATTGAACGTTGCAGTGGTCGTCTCACTCTCAGAGATCATGTTGTACACTCGAAACGAGATCTCAATCCCTTTATCGTCTTCCGGAAAGGCAATAGCCTTGCCAATGACCAGGTCATTGACTTGCACAAGCTGTAGGGATCGTCCTTCCGCCACGGCAATTTTCCCGGCTGCTTCCAATGCAATGGCAATGTATCCCGTGGCAGGGAAGATGGTCTGGGACTGGATCTGATGCCCATCAAGATATTCCATATTGCTTCGGATCAGGAAATTCCTCCAGCGCCATTCTCCTTCGGCATTTTCCTCACTCAAGTCTCCAAGGAGTTCATTGCGCGGTTCCCGGTAGAGGTAGGCCTTCGACTTTCGTGTTTCGGTCCAGTATGATTGGCTGTGATCAAAGGGATAGTGCGGCAAACCTTTGATAAAACGATTTTCTTTCGACGGATGACTGAGAGATAAAAGTTTAGCGATGTTGATCCCGTCGGACCCCAGATACGCCCAGAGTGAGCCTGCGGTTTCTGCCAGAGCTGCGACGCCGGTCTCCCCACGGCGGAGGGTACCAACATATGGGACATTCGATGCCGTCTTCAGCACCTCCGAAAGCCCCTGCAGAACAGGCCCCTTTAGTGCAGGGTGGGGGCCGACTTCAACGATGAGGCTGGAAGCGGTATCCGTGAAGGCTGTCATCAGCGCCTGGTGGAAAAGCACGGGCTGACGCATGTTATCCTTCCAGTACTCTCCGGTCAAAACGTCACCATGGCTCGCGCTATCAAGCTTCTTCCCACCATGCACAGTCGAGTACCAGACCGTTGAAGTTGGCTCTCCAAGCTTGATTTCGCACCCTCCCATAGCGCGCAGATAGGGCTCCTCGCAAGGCTCCATATGGTGGGAATGATATGCGGTGTCCACGAGGACTAGACGCGCGAATTTGCCATGGCTCTTGAGTACCTGCTCTGCCTCTTTGATCGCATCAGCGTCGCCAGAGAGCGTTACGCTGGATGGGGAATTGCATGCGGCGATCGAGATTTGCCCTTGAAACTGGGACTGTTCGCAGAAGGATGTCGCTTCATCGAAGGATAGCCCTGCTGCTAGCATACCGCCTTTTTTATCATTCGAGCCAGCCATGCGTGCAACCTGTTCGTGTCAGTGATTATCAACCTTGTGTATGGTTTCGTCAATCGACGCTTACCTTTCCGCGCAGATACGCAATCCGAATTGCATCATGAGCATTGAGAACGCCGGCTGCATAGGCAGCAGCCACTTCACCTGAAGAATGGCCCACAACCTTCTCAAATTCAATTCCGATCTCCCGGAGGACATTTACAAGCAAAATCTGAACAGCGGTGCACAGAGGCTGAGCAACTTCTGCTTCCTGGACTCTCGAAGGCCCCTTTGGCGCCGCCAACTCATCAAGCAAGGAGAACGTCGGCCGATACTCCGTCGGCAACGTATCCAACGACTTCTGGAGATCCTCAAGCCAGCCTCGAGCCGCTGGAAATGCGGATATCAAGTCCAGTCCCATCTGGGGCCATTGTGCACCCTGACCAGTGAATATGCCCACGATTCGTTTTCTTTCGGTGTCACTTCTCACAACGACTGTGGATGCCTCATTTGCTTTGCGGAGCTCGAGCTCCTTCTTGATTTCGGCCCTGAGGTCGTCGATTGTGGAAGCGTATAGGGTCAGGCGGTATTTGAGTGCTGAGCGCTTTTGGATTAGCGACCAGGATAAATCCAGAGGATCAGTGTTGTGGTTTTCAGCTAAGTAAGCATCATACTGGGTGAGAACTGCCCCCAGTGTTCGTTCTGACGCAGCCGAGAATGCAAAAGGGGCTACGACGGGCGTGGGCTTGTTGACTCCGTTGGCTCCATTGACTTTGGCTCCATGGGCCTTTTCTCCGTTTGCTCCATCGACCCCATTCTCAATAGTCTTTTGGGTCTTTTCTAGATTGACTTCGTAGCCCTCCAGAATGGCATGAGAGTTTGTGCCACCGAATCCACTGTAGTGAAGGAGTTTAGCGTTTGTTTCCATCTAGCGCATGCTCGAGAATTAATGTCTTACAATGAATTCACAGAAACACGTCGGGGGACGCCCGCAGGAAGTACGGGCCATTCCTTCAGCTCCGTCGATACATTCAAATGGGCCGTGTATGGCTCGAGCTTAGGATTCAGTTTCTCAAAATGCATATTCGGAGGGATCTGCCCGTTCTGGATGCACAGAGACGCCTTGATTATACCGGCCAAACCAGCGCAGCCCTCGCTGTCTAAAGTCGGGGTGTAAGGTGTCAGTATATCTTCATCCCTAACAACAGGGGGAATTTGAAAACTCACGGCCAAGCACAGTTTTGATCGAGCCCACGTACAGGGGATCCTTGGGCGATTGGGTGACCTCATCGGCAAAGAAGGCATTATAGATTCCCGTGGCCTCCTGGAAGTCCCCAGCCTGTGTACCCGCTATGGTCTTCTGTCAGTTTATCTTGACAAAGCCAAAGTCCAAAAAATGAGAGAAATAATAAAGCAAAACATAAAACACCTACTGCCATGAGCTTCAAAGTACTGGGGCCGATCTTCTGGCCGATTAACATCAAGCCCAGCAAGAGCATAAGTAGAACGTATCAAACTCTCCTGGGCCTTGCCGGAAGGCATGGTCAAGCCCAGTGTTCGTCCATCCTAAAAGGTTAGGGATCTGAAGGTGATGTCACAAGAGGCTGCATACCTGGTTAACACCCGATGCCCTAATCACGGACTCGATGGGGTCTCCATCAGCAATCGCATCACTAAGCCGCTTAAGTACCACAGATGCCAATCCCTCACCACGAACGTAACCATTGGCCTTGTGATCCCACATTCGTCCACGGCTCTCCGGAGAAAGCATCTGTAGGTTCGATGCCGCAAAGTATAATGTCGGCCCCAGAATCAGATTTGTGCCGACGACTGTGACCAGCGAACATTCACCTCTTTGGAGCGCGGAGATTCCTTGATGAAGCGCTACCAAACTGGATGAACAGGCTGTGTCGATGGACATGGAGGGACCATTCCAGTCGAAGAAATAGGAGATTCGGTTTGCAAGATTGTTGCGAGCAACACCGGATATAGCCTAGAGGCAGTAAGCTTAGATGTCATCACGTCCGTCTGCATGAAATCATGCGAATTGATTTGGATGACCCAATACTCACGTATTCTGGAACGACCTTGTCTAGAGCCAAAAGGGCTTCCCAATCTGCACACATGACACCGCAAAAGACACCCGTGGATGACCCACGCAGAGCTTCCAATCGAAGTCCTGCAGCCTCAAGAGACTCGTAGACAGTCTCAAGGAGCATTCGCTGCTGTGGGTCAAGACTGGTGGCTTCATTGGCGGCAATGTTGAAAAACGAGGCGTCGAACAATCTCACGTCCTCATTGAGGAAATAAGACTCGGTGACGTTAAGGGTCAAAGGATTTGTTGGGTTTGGATGGTAGAAGCCGTCAATATTGAAGCGGCTTGGTGGGGGCTTGGAAGCAACATCCCTGGGTTTGCTGAGAAGGTCCCAAAGGCGAGGAGGGGTTGATGAGGACCCGGGAAACTTGCATCCGGTCCCGATGATAGCGATAGGCTCAAAAGTCATTCTGACTGTTGGTGTCTTGCTCGATGTAAAGGACGTGTTGAAACGTTAAGGCAAAGAGTTGGTCAATAACATGAAATAAAATGGACTTTGGCGTATGAAAGAATGTTGCCAGCAGCTGTCTGATATGTGAGTTGTTTATCACAGCCTTCTCGCGCAGATGTGATTACCTCGCAATTGAGCTTTCAGCTTTCTGGATCTATCTAACTCGGCTACTACATGGTGCTGCAATACTATCGCAGCGACCTGATGCGCGGATATCTCTCTGCTTGGCATTCCACACCTTGCATCATCGTTCTGTTGTTTCTCATTAACATCTCTCGGTTGGCATCCAAAACCTAGCATGATTCTCGCATTGTATCACATGGATTTATCGCTGCATAGCATCTAGCCCTAACATCATCCCCGCTGTCTCTGTTATCATCCATATCATATGCATGGACCTGACACTTGATGGCCTATTGTGTCTCTGGCTTGCATCACAAGACTTCAAGAAGCACAAGAAATTGGTAACCTGAACCTTTGTCGTTCGAGCCCAATCATCCGCCGCATTCCACCACTCCTCCCTACATGACTACAGTCTCGGGGAACAAGAAGCCCGATCAAATTTCTGCCGGGTTCAGCCAGCATCTGTTGACTTTAAGAGTGATATCAGAACCCATCAACGTATTTCACATGCGAGTGATCTACCCAGCGGTATATGCGCCAACTGCCAAAACCCTATATTGATGCCTTGATGCCAAGCTTTGGCCTGGCGGCCTGAATTAAAGACGGGCAGAAGAATTAGTTAAAATACCTGAATTACCATAGTTAGTTAATTCTTCTGCCCGTCTTAATTCAGGCCGCCAGGCCAAAGCTTGGCATCAAGGCATCAACACAGGGTTTTGGCAGTTGGCGCATATACCGCTGGGTATACAGTTCTACCGCAAAAGTCTCCGTGACTTCGGCCCCACTAAAAACTAGAAATAAACCCGACCACTTTGTTACATAACTAATAACAATATTAATAGTTAGTTAAAATAACTATATATAAATATATAAAGAAAAGTATTATATAACTAGAGAATTACTTTCTATCGTTAGATTAGTTAAATTTATAAAGAAAAGTTTAGATAAGGCGACCTATAAGTTTAAAAATGAAAGGATACTAAATAATATGTATAAAATCACGTCCTTTTTAAAAAACCAAATAACTACCCTATAACTATAGTAATTACTTGAATAATTTTACTAAGATATAATTTCGATCTTAGCCTTTATCTAGATATAAGGATATCTACTTACACTGTTGTCGTATTGAAAATTACATACCACTTGGTTCTTAGATACCCTAAAACTCCATAAAGTGATATCATATAAAAAGCAATAGTTTATAAGAAACAGTTTGTATAGACAACCGTTATTACACCAACATGCTATAATTTATCGCATTTACTATGTATTTTGGCGTGGGCCGCTCGCATGCGCAATACGTTATCCTGTGTAACATCATATATCATATCTCATGCAGAGGCAGCACAACAGGACCTGGGAGCAGGCATTCGTGCCCATCTTGTGTCAGGCCTGGGGGCATTTGCCTCTCTCTGCCTTGCATGTCTTACCGTCGACTCTAGCAGTCTGGACCTCTCTGGGCGGATGGCGGTTGACAGCCCCAGTAGGGAGCCTTAGTAGAGTAGTATAGCGGTGTAAGTCAACATCACTTTGCAGAAGAGCATGTCAGACGATCTTCGTAGATCCTCTCGGCCCTTTGCAGACTTCCGCGTGGGGTACTCCGTGCTCTTACTATTGGGTTAGCTGAGAAATACTCTGCATGAATGGTCCTATAAGCTGTCTTCTGGGGTTCACGATTCAGACAACCCCTCATCCTCCATCCTATTAATGATATCTCCATTGCCCCCCCCCCACCTTCCACTGCACCCATCATTCCCTCGGCTCTCGTCGAACAAACGAGATCCTTCAAACGTCGTCACCATGACCATCGAATCGCGGGACAACTACTACAATCCCCTCGTGCTCTGGGTCTATGATTTCTTCGTGCAGATCCTCACCAACACATTCTGGTGGCGCTGCCCCACCAGATCCGTCCTTATTCCCTTCTTCCTCAAGAACACGAGTCAAAACCACATGGAGGTAGGCGCCGGGACCGGCTACTTCCTCCGTGCCAAAGTCGACCACGAACTCCAAAAAAACCCCATTCCCAAACCCAGCAAGGCGTCCAGCTCGTGGCCCAAAAAGCTTACTATAGTCGACTTCCACTCGCAGTGTCTGACCAAGGCCGTGAACCGTATTGCGTCCGACACGGCCGTCCAGCCGGAGTGTGTCGTGGCGAATATTCTGGAGCCGCTCCCACTTGCGCCGAAGAAATTCGACTCCATCGGCCTGATGTACGTCTTGCATTGTATTCCGGTTCCCCCCAGCACCAAGGGGCGGGTATTTGAGAACCTGAAGGAGTTCCTTGCGGACGAAGGGGTGTTTTTCGGCTCGACGGTCTTGAGCAAAGGGGTGAAGCATAATCTGATCGGAGGATTTTTGATCTGGTTATATAATTATATCGGCATGTTTGGAAACCTCGATGATGGGAAGGAGGAGATTTTGAAGCCCCTGAGGGAGAACTTTGAAGAAGTCGAGAGTGAGATTGTGGGAACTGTCTTGCTGTTCAGGGCGCAGAAGCCGAGACGGTCGTAAGTGGCCCAGAGTGAGGGTTTGCAAGAGGGCGCGGTTAGGACGTTGATGGTTATGTCAGGACACATACCTGGTAACTAGGCATGTGGATTTTAGGTGTTTTGATTAGCTCCTAGAAAGTAGAGGAGGGAGGGGAACAGGGTATTTGGTCTGATAAAAACTTGGTTAGAAGTACTTCGATCGGTCTGAAAATTTATTTAGTTCTATTCTATACAGCGATGGGGATCGTAGAGCCCACTGCGGCAGTACTTTATATTAACAGTTGAGGGGAAAATCTCAAGGCTAATTAAACATATCGGCGAGAGCTCCTCCTGGGAGGAATGCCCGTACAGCACCATTCTCTTTATGATATAGTCGCAGATACAAGCAAATAGAAGGACATTCCGCCCTAGCCCTAAGTTCAATCCACCATATACTGCGACTTGCTTTACGGTACCATAGATAGATTAACAATAACGCTGCAGGGTCCCTTTGCCGGAGCAACTCTTTGAAAGGGCCATCGATGCTCCGTGTGAAGGGCTCAGTCTGACCTATTGTGACCTCTCTATCTGGGAGGTCTATGATCCGGGATACCGCGTGGGCGGCATGAAAATAGGGATTGGTTTCCGCCGTGGATGAGTGTTCGAGGTTACACACGGCAGCCAAGGCCCTTGGTATCCCCTCTATACCTCCCTCTGGCAATGGTGAATTCATCTGAGCATAGGTGGCCGCCATGACGCAGAAAAGGCTGTCCGGTCGCAACGGATTAACCATGTCCCACAATGACATTTTACCCTTGCTCATCCGCACCCAGTCCAAGTCAGAGGAGTCCGAGGGCTTTAGTGGCCACGCTTGTTCCGGTGTGCATGCATCAGGGGATGAGAAGGTTAGAATAGCCAGAGCAGCCGCAGTACCCCATATTGGATCCTTATCTTTTGTTTCAATCGGTTCCCTTAGCCGCTTATTCAAGAGAATTGTGCTTTGAGACCAGTGATAACACTCCTCTAGAGTGCGGGGAGCGTTCAAGGAGCCATTCAGATGGCGGTCATATGTAAGGGCCACAGCTAGAGAGGCGTGCATCAAGAAAGGGTACTGCAACCCACATGTTAGCCGAGGGGAAGCTCCAAATGGATAAATCGGCTTAAATCTTTTCTGGGAAGGAATTGATGGTAAAACTTACCGCGAAGGATAGTTCTAGGAGCTTGCGATTAACTTGCATCATATTAGGGTCGTCTGGGGTAATAAGACCTCGTCCAAGATACCGGGTTATAAAATCTTGACACTTTGGGTTCAATTGATAGGACATCGATGCATCAGATGTCCAGACAGCATTTGTGAGAGGCGGTTGAACCTTTGATTTTTTCCGAACCACCAATGGCCCTGTGTCAGCGGCGACGGGCTGGAGGTCGGGAATGTTAGACATGAAGTTGCATAATACCCCAAATGAACTACATCTCTTGCACTGTGGTTTGCCTTCATCGCACTATTACAGGGAAACTTGGTCAGCTAAGCGCCACATTATTGAAAACCTAGGGCCACCTACCTTGAGTTTCCGAAGCTTACAATTTCGGCAGCCAAATCTCGACCTCCGTAGAGTCCTAATCTTCCGCACCTCTGGAAAAGTGAGAGCCATGCCTGGTTAATTATACAATCCCCTGGACAGCTTGGCTATGAGGAATTTGCCTGAGTTGAATGAGAATTCAACGCAAGAGGGATCTGGAAGTGATTGAAGGCGTGGTCCAACGACAACACCAGTCCCATATGCTAACCCTCTTTGGGACATCCCACCTTCCACGCTAGCTGTTTCTCGGATGCAGATGTCTCTGATTGGCTGAGCCTGCCCGTCCATCTATACACATATCACCTTGGACGGGCTGAATTAACTCGGAATAATAGCTTAATGTATAAGAAGAAGGGTGTTCCTCAATATCCTAGGGAAATTTGAATACCAGAACCGTCCACATAAAATTCTAAACGGAATCAAGCAGCCCAGAATGGCCACACACCTCGCCGCCGTCTCCCTCGCAAATGGTGAGCCCTTCAAGGTTCTGACCCGGCCTACGCCAAAGCCAGGCCCAGGCGAGCTCCTCATCGAGGTCAAATCTGTAGCCCTCAACCCGGCAGACGGCCACATGCGTGACAAAGGCCTCTTCATATCCGCCTACCCCACGGTCATTGGCTTCGACATCTCAGGGCTAGTTCTCGAGGTCGGCGACAACATCCCTGTCGGTGCTACGGATGAGAGTCCATGCCCTTATTTCCGACCAGGAATCACCCGCGTCGCCGCATTCGCCGCCTCCTTCTGGAGGGCCTGCGACCCTGACTACGGCGCCTTTCAGGAGCGGTGCCTCGTCCCCTGGCAGCACGCTCTGCCTCTTCCGGAGGGTGTTTCTTGGAACCAAGCGGCAACCTTACCCGTCGCTGTCGAGGTACCCCTCAGCGCGTGGGATATTATGGGTATTTCACGGGTTGGAGAAGCCACTGCTTCTTCTTCCGTCTCGGCGGCCCCAGTCGTCTCCGATACCAGCGCAGGAACTCAGCAAAATAAGAAACAAAAGAACGAAGCCCTACTAGTTTGGGGCGCTTCCTCTAGCGTGGGCACGATGGGCGTGCAAAGCGCTCGACTGCTGCGGGAAGATCACGACTCTTCGTTCGCCGCCGTGTACACTACTGCTGGTGCGGCGAATCTGAAGTACATAGGCTCCTTGGGTGCGGATCGCGTCTTCGATTACAAGGATCCGCATGTTGTGGATGCGATTATTTCGGCGGCCAGAGAGGACGGCCTAGTGATTCGGCACTGCTTTCTTGCCACAGGGCAGCTGGCGCCGTGTCAGGCCGTCCTCAAGGCTTTCATTTGGGACGATCAAAGGAAAGAAGACCAGAAGGCAAAGATCGGGTCAGCACCGGTGATTCCTGCTGATGCCGAGGAAGTGAACGGGGTGGAAACCCTCTTTGTGCTGCCGTCGATGGATGAAGGGCAGAGGTTGGCTCAGTTTCAATGCTGGATGGGGACTTGGCTCAGGGAGAACCTGGCCAACGGGACTATCAGGCCTAGTCCGGAGCCAAGGGTTGTGGGGAAGGGTTTAGGTGCTATAAATGCTGGGTTGGATGTGCTCCTCCGGGGGGTGAGTTGTACGAAGTTGGTTGTGGAGGTTGCAGAGTGAGAGTTTCTTATCCATGGACCCTCAGTGCAAAGGATCCCAGTTAGAATCTGAATATTCTACCAAAATTCGAATAAATATTGTTTTAGCTTCTTATTATTTTGGAGAAGTTTGCTAGGCACCGCCTCTAACAGGTTGGGCTAATAGATAGTTGTACAAACTCTACTCCGTATACCCTACATAGGACAGAGTAGGATGCTAAAACGTCATTTTCGGCATCGATATCATAAGTCCAAATACATATTCGGATAAAATAGCGAAATTCTCCTATATATATTGTAATAGGGGAGTACATTAATAGAGGTGTTACCATGTAGATCGTGGGGTCCTTCCTATTCTCCCTCTACCCTCTACCCAACGACCCAATCCCGTTTTTTTCCTTTCATCTAGTTATTTCACATTTCACATTTGACCGAAATTTGAGATTTCATATTCGAGATCCGGACCTTCATTGCCGTTCGAGGTTGACGGGCTCACCTCATTATCTCTCTCTCTCCTCTCTCCCGATAAGCTCCAACAATCCACCAAAGAGAACACCGCGTGATTTCTCAAGATCTACAGCTCTTTGATCATTTGTTACATCTGTGCCTATCAGCCTAAGCCAGTGACTATTCATTTGACCCCGTGACAACTGCATCGCCCCTCTTCAACGGAGCTCCTGGCGATTACTTATCGGACACCCGCCACCGCTTGAGGTCTGCTCACCTGGTTCTTCCAAAGAGCCAGGGGATTGGGCAGATCTAGAGATATTGTCGAACTGGCTCAAAATTCATCACCGCATAGCCCCTTTATCACCCCCGACGACCCTAATCCTCTTTTACCCATCACAGCTCCCGCCTCGGTAGGGAATCCCGGCTCCCAAACGTCAGAGTTCCTGTCCGCATCTCAACCCAGTTCATCTACCCCTCGGACCAACCGTCGTCGCCGCCTTTCGAGCCCCCTAGATAACCTTGGTCCCTCATCAGCAGGGACCGGACACCTTCCGCGAATAGCACGTGAGACTACACCTCAAAGTTATCCCAGCCTTGGCCGACCGGACGGCCGACCTCCTTCCCCCAAGCGCAGGCGCCTGGTAATCATGCGTTCCGATGGAATATCAACAGAAAATGGCATCCCAGACCCCTCGAACGAATCACTTGCATTGACTTCGAGGAAGACGGGTTTGAATGGGCAAGCGGCAACCAACGGGAGCTCTCATACAAATGGCTCTAAAAGGCCACCCCAGTCCTCTACCTACTACGGCCACAACAGGGAGGAGGTGACGCGAATTTTGATACAGAGTCTATATGAGTTGGGTTATAATGGGTCGGCATCACTGTTAAGCTCGGAGAGTGGCTATGAACTGGAAACGTCAGGGGTTGCAACGTTCCGGAGTGCGGTGTTAGGCGGAAAATGGCCAGAGGCTGAGAGAATCTTGATTCAGTCGTTTCGAAATGCCGGATCACAACAGGTCGATCGGAAATCTCCACAAGAGGAGACTCTGATATTAACAGAGGAGGCCGATAGGAACGAGATGCTATTCTATCTCCGACAACAGAAATTCCTCGAGTTGTTAGAAGCGCGCGATCTAGCTGCAGCTCTCAACGTCCTTCGGCAAGAACTGACGCCCTTGAATTTTGACGTTGAGCGACTGCACGCGCTATCAAGGTATTGCCGATCTATAGGAATTTCTAGAACACGATTTGCTTACCAGTTATGTTGGCTAGTCTTCTTATGTGCTCGACCGAAGTCTTACATGCTCAAACGGGATGGGATGGCTCTGTTAGCTCGTCTCGTGAACGACTGCTTGGCGAGTTGTCAAGTAAGCCTAATCTGATGTCCAATGTCTGTGGTGTAACCGGGTTGCTAATTCAGCCGCAGAATCTATATCTCCTTCCGTGATGATCCCGCAGCATCGCCTGGCCGTTTTACTAGATCAAGTCAAGCAGACTCAAATCAACAACTGCTTTTATCATAATACCGCGGAACCTCCCTCGCTCTACTCTGACCATATGTGCGACCGAAACGATTTCCCATTGGACGTCAGTGTGGACTTGACGCAGCACTCAGATGAAGTGTGGTATTGCGAGTTTTCTCACGATGGCTCCAAGCTGGTCACTGCAGGCAAGGACCATAATGTGCTTATCTATAACACAACCGACTTCAATGTTATTCACAGACTTACGGAACACGAGGGTGGAGTTGCGTTCGCCAGTTGGAGTCCAGATGACTCCAAACTAATTACTTGCTCGCAAGATAACAAGGCACGCGTATGGAGTGTCGAGGTAATTCTTCCACCATCTGATAAAATATAGAATCATACATGTATGCTAACTTGGCCTGTGCGTGGTTTAGAGCGGTCGCTGTCTACTCACAATCAACCACCACCGTCAACCGGTGACTGCGGCTGCCTGGACGGCAGATGGTGAATCTTTTGTGACAGCCTCTCTCGATGCTGAATCACAGCTCCGTCACTGGAGCATGCGAGGTCAGTCTTTATACACGTGGAAAGGCGGATTCCGTGTACAGGACTGTGCTATTAGCGCCGACGGCCGACGCCTTGTTGCTGCCGACACAGAAGGGAAGGTCCATGTGTACAACATGCTCACATATGAGGAAGATTACTGTCTCCCACTGCCGAGTAAACCGACTTCGGTTGCTATCAGCAAAGACTCACGGCATGTGCTTATAAACCTGGCTGAGGGCGAGATTCAACTAGTTGACATGGAAACTACTGCTGTTGTTCGTCACTTCAAGGGACAGAAGCAAGGCGAGTTTGTGATTCGCAGCACATTCGGAGGAGCAGCTGAAAATTTTGTCGTCAGCGGAAGTGAAGGTAAATATCTCACTGTCTCACTTCTCGTATCATTACTAACTATCTCCAGACTCGAAAGTCTACATCTGGCACAAAGAAAACGGCAATATCGTAGAGACCCTGGAAGGACATATCTCAGGATGCGTTAACTCAATATCATGGAACCCAGCAGACCCGGGGATGTTCGCATCAGCAGGCGATGACAGTGCAGTAAGGATGTAAGAATCGATTTGTCCTCGCCTCAAATTGAACACCGCCGCTAACTCAAACTTATAGCTGGTCTCGAGACAGCAATCGATCCCGTCCAGTGGGACCAGTCCAACGCAGCGGTGTACTCTCAAATGGAGTTACGCGGACTAGCGCATTGAGGACAACATCCACTTTCTGATCTCCGTGTCCTGCAAATCGACGAAGACTCCCCCAACACCAGTTTTCTTCATACTCATTGCCTGTCTTAATTCAGGTGCCCCACAATACCGTATCTGATTGAGGGAACATACTCGGAGCTTTGGATTGAAAGACGATAAACCTGCTGTCTCGCCATGTTTTCTTGTTCTTCTTGAATTCTCTTCTGTTTTCTTCTCCCTTCATCAACTGACCGACATATCCTCATCATGCTTGCCCATATACATCGTTCGAGTCCCCCTTTCACTCCTTATGCTGTCTACTTTGCAGTTAGCATCTATTTCTTTCAATACAGGAACCTGGCGTTGGTCCGTATCTTCTTTCTGGGTTCTGAGGAGTATATATGTTCTGTCCGTTTCTTGTTCGCCCAGTTCTGAGTTGTGTTTTACTTTTGGGGGACTTTCTTGGTCTCGGATTGAACCGTGTTTTGTTGCAGGTCTCGTTGATTGAATCGAATCTACTATTTATATTATTCATTTTCGTGTAGACCCTTGATCTGACAGAAACTAGACACCGCAGCCGTAGATTAACAGACTTGTTGTAGGTATCTCTCTCGTTGTCATCTCTCACAACTAGTTCAAATTTACGTCGCCAGACTAGAGGAAGACTTGGGGCAAAGGCAAAGAGCCACATATGAAAGTAAAACTGATTCCATCATTCATGATTCCTAGTGTCAAAAAGTAAAGTAAAAGAAGAAACTCCAACCATAAAGAAAAAAGACCCTGCTACTTAGGCCGGAGGCCCGAAATTTTGGAAATAAGCAAAATCGTAAACACCTCCTGGGGTGTGCAAATCGGTTGGCATTCTTGAAAACTACCTCAGACTGTTAGCGTTTGGTCCACAAGTGTTAAGTGAGCATCAGTAATTTGACTTACTGAAATATGTTATTATCCCTTTCCTCCACGCTAGAGCTGGCCTTGCATTTCCTTCAAACCCATCGTGCCGGATTCGGAGTCATATTCAATCAAATGCAAGCGCAATCCACTTGCAGAAGGGATGAAGCCAAGTCGCTTTTGGCGCAAGAAAAGATGTTACAATCATAATAACAGGCAAAGGAGATTATGAAAGCAAATCCGCAACTGGAATAAGATCGTTAGTAGAGCAAATAAAAAGTCGGAGCGGATTGGCCTACCGTTCATTGGCATCTCATCAATTTGGGTCGAGTAGTACAACTCAATGTCGCGAAGGATGCGGACATCATCGCTGGTGACAAAGTTGATGGCCACACCCTTGCGACCGAATCGTCCAGATCGACCAATACGGTGAATGTAGTTCTCACGGTTGGTAGGCAGATCGTAGTTGATAACAAGAGAGACTTGCTGGACATCGATACCACGGGCCCAGACATCGGTAGAAATCAGGACACGAGAATTACCCTGACGGAAGTCTTGCATAATACTATCACGCTCCTTTTGAGGCATCTCGCCGTGCATACTGGAGACAGTGAAGTTGGCCTCACGCATCTTGTCGGCAAGCCAGTCGACCTTTCGGCGGGTGTTGCAGAAGATAACGGCCTGGGTGATAGTCAAAGTGTCGTACAGATCGCAAAGTGTGTCGAACTTCCATTCCTCCTTCTCAACGGCAATGAAATATTGCTTGATACCCTCCAGTGTCAACTCGTCACGCTTGACCAGGACACGGACGGGGTCAGTCATGAACTTTGTGGTCATGTCCAAGACGTCGTATGGGAGGGTGGCAGAGACCACGACAACTTGCGTCGCGGGGGGCAGGTAACGGTAAACATCGTAAATCTGTTCACGGAAACCACGGTTAAGGAGCTCATCAGCCTCATCGAGAACAAGCATCTTGATATGACGTGTGCGCAGGTTTCGGCGACGGATCATATCGGCCACACGACCAGGAGTTCCGGAGACAACGTGTTGACCGTAGTCGAGTTTGCGGATATCTTCGCCAACGTTGGTTCCTCCAATGCAGGCGTGACACTGAACGTTCATATAATCACCAAGGGCCATAACGACGGATTGAATTTGGGTTGCGAGTTCACGGGTCGGGGACAGGACCAGAGCTGTTACAGACCGGATCGCGGTTAGATTTGATCTGATCACTTTGGACAGGGGGAATGCGTGGGAATGCGTACCTTGGGTCTCGCGCACAACAGTATCAATGATCTGCAAGGTACTGATAGCGAATGTGGCAGTTTTACCAGTACCGGACTGGGCCTGGGCAATGGTGTCGCGACCTTTGCAGATTTGAACAATCGCACGGGATTGCACAGCCGAAGGCGATTCGTATCCATAAGCGTAGACTCCGCGAAGCAAGCTTTCCTTCAAATGCATGTCCTCGAAGGTCGGTGCAACCGTGACCTCCTTGGAGGTGTTGAACTCCATGCGCTCTAGTTACTGTTAGCATGATTCACGTCCAAAGGTTGGAACCACATACCCTCGGCGCGTCTGTCGATTCCATCCGCCATGATGTAAATGTGAGTATTTCAACGGCAGATAATAAATGATATTGGGATTCACGAAGAGTGAAGCCTTAGAAGTAAGTGAGGTCAACCGGCTCAACTTTTCGCGGTGGAAAGGTTCGGGTCACATGACCTTCCCGCAAGTTGGAGCTGCCAATTGCCAACGCTTTTTGCGATCGCCACGAGACTTTGTCACCTCTGTTTGCGCGCCAATAAAAGAAAGTTCTTACGCAGCAGTCATATTGCAAATATGTTGCTCGAAGATCAAAGGTTCATCCATGAGGATCTAGAGCGGTTGGAACAGGCTATCGCTGATCGCGTGGCGGAGGAGCCCCGAAATGTGAGTATACCGCCGACCAATGTCAGTGACGTTTTCTAATATACCAATTCTTTAGGCACGCGGTCGTTTAGCTCGCGACCATGAAGTTGCCCAGTTCCTTGAGAGAATCGAGAGCCAGTCCAAGCGACTACTGGAGATCTACCAGGATGCCGAAGGATTGCGGGAGAAGGAAGTGCAGTCTATTTCAACAGGCGACCAATTTGAGGAGTTCTACAAGCAGCTCGGGGAAATCAAAGAGCATCACAAGCGCTACCCGAACGAACCGATCGAGAACCTCGAACAAGCATACAACCGCCATCAGGTCGCCGAAGGAGAGGCTCCCCGCACCGCAATCGATAATATGTTCACTGGTGAAGAAGGATTCGGACAGTACCTGGATCTTACAACTCTTCACGAAGATTACCTGAATCTTCCTGGAATTAAGCGCTTGTCATATGTCCAATACCTCGACATTTTCGACGTGTTCACACCACCGACCATGCCAATTAAGCGGAAAGACAAGATCTCCGATCGTTACTTCAGCTATGTCGGCGAGCTTGCTAGCTATCTGGAAAGTTTCATCAAGAGAGTCCAGCCACTGCAACCTTTGAATGAGCTTTTCGCTAGCTTTGACCAGGAATTCGAGAAGCAATGGGCTGCGAAGGAGGTTCCGGGCTGGACAGAAGAAAAAGCCGAGAATGGTAAATCTGGCCCAGCAACCGAAGGAACTGGTGAGGGCATTTGGTGCGCAGATTGCGAGAAGGAATTCAAGAACGAGAACGTGCACCGAAGCCACTTGACCGGCAAAAAGCACATTCGAGCGGCAGAAGCCCGCAAAGCAGCAGGCACATCCGACGCGAAGCCATCTTCATCCCAAGTCGCATCTTTGGCCCACAGCCTAAAGGAGCGCGAAGTTGCACGACGCGAACACCAAATTCGATCCTTGACTAATGTCTTGCACGAGGAGCGCCAAGCGACGAGAATCAACGTTGAGCGCCGACAGGGTATGACCGAACGTGAACGTCAAATGGAATGGGAAGCTGTGCAGGCTGGCCTCGATCACACTGGCCCCGAGCCTCGTGCCGGCGAAGAATCAGAGGAAGAGGACGAGGAGATCGTGTACAACCCATTGAAATTGCCACTGGCATGGGATGGAAAGCCTATTCCGTTCTGGCTCTACAAGCTCCATGGACTCGGTGTCGAATACCAGTGCGAGATTTGCGGAAACTTCACCTACATGGGTCGACGAGCATTTGACAAACATTTCTCTGAAAACCTCCACGTCCACGGATTGAAGTGTCTCGGCATCACATCAAACACCAATCTCTTCCGTGAGATCACCAGTATTAATGAGGCCATGGCGCTTTGGGAGCAGCTCGAGAAGGATCGTAAGAAGGACAGAGATTCACGTGAGAATGTTGTTCAAATGGAGGATGCAGAGGGTAATGTTATGCCCGAAAGGATCTACTTGGATTTGCAAAAGCAGGGCATTCTCTGAAGAGAAGGGGCTTAATGTTTCTCTTTTTTATCATCTGGCGTCTTTTTTCATACAAATGGCTCGGCGTTCGGCGAATACATACTTTTCAAAGCCATTTTGAGGTTTGAACTGGCTCGGTCATGGGCTCAAATCTGTTCTTTCAACTTATACAACAAACTTACTGTCACAATAAAACACCCACAATTGTCTGATTTATAACTATGTTCTAGTAGAGCTCGTATACTTGATTTCCAACCACACCGCATTCGACTTCCTGATGGGATAACCTCCAGGCATTTACTACCCCAACTAACGTGTATTCATCCCAGCAGATACAGCAATACATGAATGGGGATGTGAAACTTTCATAGTCTATAGCACTTGGCTTCTCTCAACTCTTCAATCAACAACCCAACGTTGCACCATGCATCTCAACATCAACGTAGACCTCTCTAATAGATAACGAGCCTAGAATCTCCATTTAACTGCCTCTTCATGCTCTCCAAGCGCTTCTCCGCTTGACGCGCATTCGTCAACTTCAAAGATATCATCAACCGGCCAAGCCATCAACATGCAGACGGTCTCATCAACTTGCCCCCACTCCCTCGACGGTCATGCCCTACACCTCAACATAGTGTATCTTTTACGAGGCGCACCCTTTCGAGATCCTTGCCAGTAAGGAAGCTCAGCCAGCTCCCGGAAAACCCCACACCGCCACAACGTAACAATTCGTTATTAAGTGGCGCAAAGCCTACGCCGAATCTGTTGAGGCGTGCGGTTAGTTGCGCATTTCCATTTCCGCTTACTCTCCCTTATATAGCCGTTAGCGTTGATCTTGCTTATTACCAAGACGCCAAGCCAACCGGTGACCCTTGCGATGTAACCTATTTACCAAGTAGGTTTATAAAGGTCTCATGTACTCCGTAGGGATGTTAAAGTTTATCTCTACACTTATCTCAACCCTTCAATCTCACATTAAATGAGTTGACCATAGAGGCATCTTGAACACTATGCTGCCTTTCCACAAGCCTATCATAAATCCTGACTATTCACTAAGTATTCAGTCTGCCCTTATTCTGTACAGTCCCAGCGAGTCCATGGCGAGCATAGCTACGGGCATGACCGTCAGAATTCGGTCTAGCCTCAAGCTAACATCTGTGAATGGTCAGATCGTATACTAGCACCTTTTTTCATGTACGCTAGAGATGGCCCACCTTTCCCTTAGCACTTATCTCGTTATCCGTTGGTCTTCTCTACCTATGTTGTTCGCGTTTCCAAGTAGGAGACTAGAAACAGTCCTGTGGAAGACAGCTGTGCTATCGCTGCCTTTTAGATAAACTGAGATATAACTATACCAATTCTAAGATCCTTAAATTCGTAATTTGGATGCAATGTTGGATAGATGGAAGAATATTAGGGTTGAGATGGAGGTAAAGAACCCACCTTGAATAGTACATTATCAGTATACCTCGGCATTCAACATCTTGTCAGCATATACTCCGTAAATGGCAAACTGTCACCATTACAAAATAAAGGGGTTCGTTATCGGGCTTATTTTAATTTAAAAAAATGGCTTCACAAAGTCAGCGCTATACCAGGTCGGGCCAAGCACATGTAGGTATAGCTATGGCCCCGGACCCTGTTTTTCTTCTCCGGCAACCTTTGCCGTGTTTACCATCTCACACACCCTTGTGTCTTCGCGACTTGAGATGTTACTGCCTGTTCTCTCGGTCGCGGGAAATGGATTCTTGAGTGGCGGCCATCGATTCCAGATCAAAGGTAAGACCAATTGAACTGTACTGTTACTGCCAAGCTAAGATGTCTCAAACAGGTGTCGCTTACAGCGGAGATGCCTCTGGTTCGACTGCAGTCGACGGTTTTGTCGATGGAACCCGTACGAGTACTAGCATACACCCCAGGAGCAGCAATAGCACGCCACCGCGCAAGAATTCAAGGGGTACGATGGCTGGGATCAGTGTTGGTTGTACGTTTGGCATGATCCTTCTGTTCGCTAGCCTGTTCATATATCTCAGGCGTCGATACAAAAGGAATAAACGAGCAAGGCCATCATGTGCCTTGCCGGAGACGGAGGCAACTGCAGGAAGTTCGAGTCACGATGCTCCCTTGGATGAATTAGCGCATACAGATTCACCAAGTCAACGATCAGGCTCGGATCCCAAGGCCCAAGATCTTGACTCTGTTGTTGTTCACAAGGGCAAGGAAGACGTGTGATGAGTTCGATGGAAGATGATACCATTCAATTAATTATCGAATAAATTAGAATCGTTGGGTTAGCGCCCAGCGCCTTTCTAGTTTTGTATACTTCTAGATTCGGCGTAATACCTACGTAACCTATGATGCTATTGAATTGCCGGTAACTGTGCATTTCAATGAATGCTCGTGGCTGATACTATAGACAACAACGCAGGCTATAAGTGGCTAAAAATGGGATCTTCAAGACATTCGAAAAGATCATCAATAGTGCTGATCGTAGAAGCGGTAATCTTGTTTTAATATATTTTCTTCGACATTTTCCCTACATACTTATTAGTGCTGTAGATGGATTAAAGACTTATCAGACTTCAGATATCTCAATGGAGAGTTGGTGCGATAGGTGTATCTTGATGTATAGTATCGTCCATTATACTCCAGGTATTGGATGATCCCATCTTCCATTGATCTTTTGTTGGCAGACTGCACATACCTTTTTCTGGGAACCAGGGTGTAAACACCCTGCTTTTCCATAAATTGAATCAATAAGTCTTGTTCCTTCTATTGCCCCGGGCCCCAGAGTAGCTACAACACTAGTGATGGTGAAGTACACGATCCAATTTAGCGTTCCTATTAAGGAAAACCCTTCGTCAGTGCAAAGCTAAGGGGGATTAAGCCTTTATATAGGGTACTTTACCCGTAATATCAGCTAGTAGAAGTAATATTATTGTGTTGTGTTCGATATTCCTTTGTATAACGTCATTTTGGTCGTGCTGAGCTCTTGCTCTTTGCCTTTTCTATTCGACATCCTCTCGTTCTTTCTAATTTCGTTGTGCTCTCTCAATTCTTCTTTGTTTCAGATTTCTTTGTTTCAGATTTCTAGTTCTGCTGACTGAACAGGACTTCCTCTCGAATGTGGATCACCGAAATGCATATTTGAAATACTTGCAGCAGCCAGAGCAGCGAACCTTGGAACAGCTGTATGGACCCCCGTATATTGAGAGGTGACGAGATCGCATCTCAATCGGAGGGCAATCTTCAACTTTTTGGTAAGTTCAGAAGGTTTGTAGACACCCTTGGGGAAAAGTACCAGCCACAAACCTCAGATAGGGAGTCTGTGGTACCTTCTGCGTTGGAAGAAGTAGAGCAACAACGTGAGGTTTCCAACGAGGCTGAACAGGAATGAGAGTTTCAGCGACCATGTTTTATCCACGCCCTAGAGTTTTCAGGATTGCATCAGGTGATTCAAGATTTCGTTGAAACCGGCTTCCTCGGCGGCGACGACGTCTGTCCGCAAGCTTGCACTGTCATAACATCAACTCGGCTGTGGAAGAAACAGATGATGCAATCTTTTTAATTGATACCGCACGTGTTCTTGTGGCCCGAATTTGCTAGGACTGTTCGACTGGGTACCGAACACGAGTCTGATAACTTTATTGTAAGCTCTGGGCCCACTACAAGCATCCGATAGCACCAGAGGCTTCATCCCTCTTTACTAACATTGCCCCTTTGGCGTCCTGTAAACTGGGTTCTTTTTAGCATGCGTGCGGATGTCGCCCTGGTCATTATACCGGAAGAAGCAGAGTTGGTCATTCCCATATTACGCGAACATGCAGACCCGCCTACGCGCCTACTCCTATATGCGACGCCCTTCACGAAACGCATGCTCCATTTCAACCGACTAGGCTACTACTAAATTCCTCGTCTACCTACCGAATGGAATCCACCGCCCTGGCTCCTATTCGAACTTGGAATTCTAGCCGGGATGTTGTATTTGGCATTTGCGGAATGCCAATATTCTCAGCGTCGAATCCATGCTAGCGCTGGCCGTCCAAGTGAAGGTGACCGACTTCTGACAAGCAATGCAATCGAGGTGGAAACTATGTTATCCTTCTTACAGGAGTGGCTGAACCTACGCCGCCCAGGGCAAGATATTTTCCATACGCCAATGGGATATATCTGCCAGGGTCTTACACTCCGTGGGGACCACACATTCTTCTCAAGTCCTGTGGGAGCCGAAATAGGTGCTAATGTGAATGGCGATATGTTTTATGCGTCTTCAACGTACGACGTCGAAGGATCAGACAGTGCAAGCGATGGGGAAGCCATATTTGTGGACCAAATAGAGGAAGAGAATGAATCGGGCAATGATGGCGATGAATAATCATATGCACTGATCTGTCTTTTATTACTCTTATGAGGCTTTCCGGGAGATACTCTGTCCGCGATGACAGGCTCACATTTCGTGTGATCATCTATCAGTGACTCAACGTCAAATCGCCCAATAGCGCCTACAATTTTAGCCTTAGAAACTATCCAGGCACTATTTCCTAACTGCCTAAATAAGAGAGAGCCTTTGTGTGTATTGTCGATTTGCCAAGGTTTCTGGGGCATGGAAGTCGCTGGGACTGATTCGCCAAGTATGCAGTCGTACTGATTGTATTTTGGTCTCAGCCAAACTTGGCGTCGCTGTGGCTCATTTGAACACGTCAGTATCGATCATCCACTGACACAGGCACAATAATTAAGAGAGTAGCATGGAGTATTAGATATTCGGATTCTGCCCTCGCTTCTGATGCTCCACAGCCATAGAATCGCATAAGTTCAAAATCAGGGATCGGAAGGATAATCTGCACTGTGACAGATACCCAATATGACATCCATGTATCAAAATGGCCCATCCGATATGTCCTGCTTATGTGCCCCCAACATCTCTCAGCGCCATTTGAGCTGCCTTTAGAGAGCCAAGACATTCGAGACCACTAGAACCTACCCCGAATCATATCTCCACGTGTCAGGCCATAATTTGGTGGATAGCAAGGCCGTGGAACCGAGTAGTGAATCCTGCATACCTAACAGTCACATCGCATAATTATCAACACGAAATAAGATAAATTAAACGAGCGAACTGAGACTTAGAACAAGCAGTCGCAAGCGTGCAAGATTCCACGGACAGGGTGGAAAAGTTCGTATATATAGCACGACTTCTTCCACTTCGTGGAGTTGGTTTAAGCATTCATTGGTGCAGTAAAAAGTCAGCACGCGGAGACAGCGACCAGCCTAAATCGGACTACCTGATTGCTATTTCTAATTTTACCAAAGCTTAGATCGGCTTGATAGAAGTCGATACCTTTATTTTAGAATTGTCCAAGCCTTATTTGAAGGTAAAAAACACCCATTTTCTCTCGCCTTCTTATATCCTGTTCAAATATTTGCTTTAGGACTTCCCGTGAACATTATTGTTGAACCTGGTTGCTTACTATTTTCTTGACCAGAATCGCTCTACGCGCACCTTGACCAGAGCATTTATATTTTGCGAAGCATATTCTAATCAATCCAGTATGGCAGAAACGCGGAACAAGATACTCTGCCCAGTCGTGGATATCGCTCCAGCTGGTGATATTATTCTAGTAGTGGGACCGGAACAGCTGAAGCTCCGCGTCCAATCACTTTTCTTCAAGGCAGCCTCAAAGCTACTATGTGCCATCCAGGGACCGAATTGGAAGGAAGGCCACGATATGACGGGTGCGGGTCTTCCAGTGGAAATACTACTACCCGAAGAAGATGCGACTGCGATGAGATGTATTTGTGCAATCTTGCACCATCAGCTCACATTGGTACCTAAAATCATGGATGCACATGATGTCCTCAGGGTCGCTGTCACGGCGAAAAAGTTTGGCGTTGTTGAGGCTTTGACTTTTGCCAATGAATTTTGGCTGTGTCCCCTCAATAAGGGAGCCAGTGACCTCATTGTCCTTGCGGCCGCAGCCACCTTGTTCCAGAACGCAAAAGCATTCAGAGATATTACCAAGGCCCTGGTTCTCAACTACGGTGGTTCTTACCTTGCCCTTTCCAGCGAAGATGCTGTGCCGGTTTTGGGGGAGAGAATCTTTTGTAAGTTCCAAACTAGGTGAAATTACCCATTGGTGACTAACCATGCAATTTAGGCGTGCTAGAAGAGCAAAGGGGCTTCGCGAGGCTGAAGTTAGGGGAGATTCTCATTGGAGGGATTACAGCTCAAGCTTGTGTCCATAGATGTGGATGGACGAGCAAATACGCATATGCCTATATCAAGCTACTCGAGACACAGAGACTTTGGCCAACTGCCTTAGTTGTCATCACCGAAGCAATAGAGCGAGCAGATAGGATGCCAGATCCAGTTCCAGAGGAATCCAGTGCTGTATGTAAGTTTGGGTACAAGCATTTTGTGCCTGAATATCGAAATTCCCTTCGCTATGGTTTGGATGATTTGCAAAGTCGCATTGGGATCTGTCTACACTGTTTTCATTCTAGCCAAGTGGATCCAGTCTTTTGCCATATGGCACAAGAGCATCAGAATCTATCCGGCCAATAGAAGAGACCTATCGAAGCCCTTGCGTTAGCCTGTTGTTCCCAGAAGAACACCATTAGAATCATTGAAAGTTAGTCCTTCTATAGAATTGCAAAATGATTAACGACAGTGGGCGCGCCTTACAAGCTCAAAATTGACTCCCACTGTGGCATTCCACAACTTCTGATTGATTCGCTGCGCGAAAATATCCAATCTCAGAATAGCGTCAAGGTCGCCGTCTGCCTGATATCCCAAAATATCTCTTGCCAGATCCAAGCGTTGTTTGGGACGAGAGAGATGCTCTTACAATCAAGACACTTGAAAAGATCCAGACTATAAAGGTCTACCGTTATATTTGGATTGCTAATGAAGACCATAACTTAGAGATCATCTAGTCCTTGGCCCACCACCGAACTGCTTTCCTAAAATTGAAATTCGAGGATGCTTGGGGGCGTTTGCTAACATTTTGTTGCGCGGAGAAGGTTCCTCAAGCTTTGTTGTGGTGTATCACAAAACTTGATTTATCAAAGGAGTAATTTCACGACCATGCAAAGCAAATATCCTTGGACTGATTGGCAAGGCTGGGAAGGGGAAAGAAAAACAATTAATTCTAGTGCCAAAAGTCTATCGAGTGCTGAATATCCAAACGGAAAATGTATATTTCGGATGTCGATGCCTTATGGGAAAACCTAAGCCCACTATATTCCCTTACCAGAGGGACAGAAGCAGGTACCAGGCCTAGTAGGCTGCAAATCCTGTTTAGCCCGTGGTTACCATTTTCCAGATGCGGGCGCTGGCCCATTCAGCTCGACGGAGCAACTGGAGGCCTGGTACAATCGGCGACTTGAAATTACCCAGCACTTTCATCAAGCACCATCGGATGCTCCACCGTTCGCTTTTAACATGCTTACTCTCACACACCACGATATATTGCACCTCGCACCTCGCACCTCGCACCTCGCAACTTGATCCTGGATTCTGACGGCAAAGTCTGGTCAATTGATTTTGGAGATGCCGGAATATATCCAGAAGGGCTTGAGTTTGCAGCGCTTAATTCACAGATTTGTTAGTCTCCGGAATTTACCGAGTTACTTTTTGAAATGATTCCTCGATACGAAGACCTGGCGCATCAAATGGTCCTGATCGCATATGGTTTGTCTACTGCACAATGGATCGAGTAAGATGTTATACAATTGTTAGTTGATACCAAACTCGGATGATTTGTGCACTTGACTACTTTATTCTAGACCCCCTCAAAATGTCAAGAATTCACCTGTCTTTTGATTGTCACCCTGATTTACTTCGTATAGTTCTATAAATGGAGCTAAAATGGTCACGTGCGCACGTGTCATCGCACTTTTCTCTTTTCGCGTTCGGTCACGTCTCCTGAGTCTCGAGTTTTGACCAACTTGACTATATATCGGATTATTCCACGGTGATGTGCTGAGTCACTAGGTGACTCGCGTGGATATGGGCTATGGGCTTCAAATTCACCCTATTGTGTGATCTGCTGTCCAACCTGGACGACAGCAAAACGGCCAAGGCATGCACGGCGGCCAGGAACGATAATCCAGACATTAAAACAGTCGCCCTATGGTTCTCTCGACATGAGCGGACCATCCAACATGCTGAGACAGACCGTGTAGCGTTGCTTTCGTGCATGTTCCCCGAAAAACGAACGGACCGAGTGTACTGGCTGCAAGCCTTGCAACTATCAAGAGTCATCGGCCGCTGCTTGGGTTTGGGATCGTCGCGACTTTCCGAACTCAACCGATGGCAAAGTCCTGGTGGTCCGGATCTCGGAGGGTGTGTCGAAATTGTCATGCGGCAAGCCGAGAATTACATTCCGGCCGGCCAGGAGTTGTCGGTAGAAGAAATCGATCGCGCCATGGTTATGATTGCCTCACGTTGCCGCTTCTCTGGCCCTAATACCCGCCGGAATCGTACAGTTGTGAACGTTGACGAAACCCTATCAAAACTATACCGTCGAACAAGTAGCCGTGATGCCAAATGGCTCACTCGCATGATTCTCAAAAGCTACTCCCCCGTTGTTTTTCCAACAAATTATACTCTGAAGAAATTTCACTTTCTTCTACCACAACTGCTCCAACTTCAGAACTCCTTTGACGGGGCGTTGGAGATGCTCGCTTCCGACCCAATAAACCACTTCCCTCCAAACCCGGATCCCGAAGCAGCCAGAAGTCTTGGCGCCATTGCTCTACAACATATGCGCCCTCGTCCTGGTATTAAGGTGGGCAGACCTGATTATTATAAAGCCCGGAGTATCAAACATTGCCACCAAATGGCCAACGGTCGTCGAATGAGCATTGAACGGAAATACGATGGTGAATACTGTCAGATCCACGTCGATCTCTCTAACAAGTATACACCCGTTCAGATCTTCTCCAAAAGTGGCAAGGATTCGACCGCAGATAAAGATAAGATCATACCTGTGATAGAAGAATCCCTTCGAACTGGATTGCCTGAGTGCAAATTTGCGCGCCGCTGTATCGTTGAGGGAGAACTGCTTGTATGGAATGACCAGACTAGTGAACTGATGGACTTCAACAAAATCCGGAGGTTTATACCACGATCTGGCACCCTGCTTGGCGTTGATAATGATTCTCCGTAAATGACTATTCCTTCTAAAGTATGTACTATTTTGCTGATTGATGCAGGCCGCAACCGTTCGAGCACTTGATGATCATGTTCTTTGACATTCTCCTCCTTGACGACGACGTATGCCTTGCCAAACCTCATCGGGAAAGAAGATTACTTTTACAGAAAGTGGTGAAGACCATCCCTGGCCGAGCGGAACTCGTCTATCAGGAAGTTCTAGACTTCAACCGAATTGATAGCTATCACCGACTCGAAAGGTCCTTTGAGAAAGCGATTACTCAACGATGGGAGGGGTATGTCTTGAAAGCTTCTGACGAGCCTTATTTTCCGATGTACACCACTGGTGTGGATCATATGTTTGGCCGATGGATCAAACTCAAGAAAGATTATATACCTGGTCTTGGAGACACATTAGATCTGGCGTTGATCGGAGGTAGCTACAATGCGCGGGATGCTCCTGATCTGAGACAAATCAAAAAGCTAAAATGGACTCACTTTTACGTTGGCTGTCTTATGAACAAGGAACGTGTCAAACAAGGCAATTCTTCACCGCATTTTCGAGTGATTGATGTGATTCACCGACCCTGTATGAGCATTCAGACCATGCAAACCCTCAATCAAATAGGCGAATTCTATGCGTGTGAAACTGAATCATTCGAAGGCTTTGCAGTTGAATACGGGCACAGCAATCTTCCCGTTGCAACCACATTGTTCAAACAGCCGTTCGTCGTCGAGATGCTGGGCAGTGGATTTGAAAAGCCGTCTGGCTCGAGATACTTCACACTTCGATTTCCTCGGATTTTGAAGATACACTCGGACCGGACCCTAGAAGAATGTACATCTTTTCAGGAACTGGAGCTCGCCGCGGAGGATGCCCGCGCTGTGCCTGCGGATGAGGTGACAGAACGCGAGAGATGGTCAAAACGCATCAAGGCTGCGAATGGACTTAATCAGTACATTGCGCGATCTCCAAGTCCAGAAGCGACTTGCTCTGACACGGATGAGGAGACGAATTCCCCACCATCCCAAGTTGCCCACGCTACTACTTCTTCTGAAGAAAGCTTGGTGGATGCATTTCCGTTGATGGAAGAGCTGCGTGAAGATTCAACAAGGAAGCACAACCTTCAGCGATCATACAATGACCCTCCGTTGTTCCCTCTAGTCTACATTGATGAGCAAATACTTCCCACTGAGGATCAGAACCCTGTTCTTGAGACTAGTATACTTGTGGAGAACGAGAACCTGTCGTCTCGTCAACACTCTAGCCAGAAAGATGGAAAGATTGCATCGCAGGAATCTTCGGACTTTTTATATCCCATGCGGACAACCAGTTCCATCTGCGCACACGAAAAGCACTCTCAAGAATTGCATGAGATACAGGGACGGCGTCCGAGCAAGCTGTTGGTTTCCACATCCAAACAAAAACGCAAGCTATCACCCCAATCTCCTTTAACAACTATTCCCATATGGACGCCCGAAACCTCATTAGGAAGCTTCACACTCCCCCAAATCGATAAACAGCCCAGCAAAGATCGCGAATCTTGTGATTTGGTTGAATTTATTCAGTGTCTCTGCTCTGACGAATCTGCTTCTTCCCTCCAACAATCAAATCCCCATACCGCGTCACAGGGGACACGATTTGGTATTATCCTGTTTGATCCCAAAGCAACTCAGTTAGGCAAAGAAATGCACCGTCTCGCCACAACCCTTTCCAGTTTCGTCCATACTGCAACAAGATCGCTCCCCTCGATGGGAAGTATATTCTTTTTGGGCTCGAGCATGTTGGAACTTGATCTAAGGCCCAGCGACCTTCGTTTCTGCCTGCGTGATACGTGGACAGTCATTGGACGTGATCATTTCTATGGCTGTCTCTCATGGGATCTCAGCAAGCGATCTGATGGTTTATCCAGTGGAAGAGAGAAGCTCTGCTCTGAATCGAGTCAATATTGTTCTAACATGACAAATGAGAGACCAGAGTCGCACTCTAGACCAAATACCCCATGGATTGAGATGAGCTTTGATCAAACAGCCATCGCTGTGTTGGGCGAGTATATGTCGATCGAACCACTAGCTCATGTTTTATATAATTGATACCCCCTTATCTTTACGAACGACAACCATACTGGCTGTGAGCACTATTCATACATGACCAGCAACTCATCATACTGGCTTTGCTTCTACGAGTTGAACATGGGCGTTACAAACGTAGCTATTATTCATAAAGACCAGTAAAATGTTTCGCTGTCATGATAATCCATCCATATCTCAATTAACCGATGCAACTAGGTCGCACCCTCTCTTCTCGCCCGTACGTCCCTCATCAACGCCTTGGCCTCCTCCACTTCAATCCCATCCTGACACAACTCGCTAGCCAGCTGGTCCGCGCGGTCAAGATCACCGTTCCGTGACGCATATTGTGCCAACCACAACCGTGCTTTGGATGTAGTTGCTGTAACACCAGTACCATTCCACGTCTCACTTACAATGGAGTCATCGTTCTGCACCGCAAATGATTCAGCCTTTGCGCGAGGCTTGCGATTACGACGATGTCGTTGCGACAGATCAGTGTCTTCGTCTCCTGAATGCTCGATCTCGGCATCACTTTCATGCTCCGAGGCAGAGGACTCGTCATCTACACTATCATTGATAGGAGCACCGGACTCCTGTTGGAGAGTGAGTTCCATGTATGCAGCGGCCTCCTCTTCGTCGCCGAGACGCTCGTAGAGTGTCGCGATCTGGTGCAGGGTTTCTGGGTCAAGGATCTTGCGACTCCCAGAGCCATTGTTTGCGCCGGTACCCGCTTGTCCGCCATCATCTGGCTGTAATGACCCAGCCACTAATGCGCGCTTGAGAGCTTGAATACTCTGTTCCACGCGGCCCATCTTCGCGTAGCACGATCCGACTGCCTGCCACATCTTTGGATCGTATGGACGTAGTGCTGCGGCGCGCTGGTAGTAAAACAAGGCGTAGAAGGACATATCTAGGACTTCGTAGGCCTGTCCGAGCCCGTACCAGGCGCGGTAATCCTTGCGATTGACATCGACAGCTCGACGGTACGATTCGATGGCGGTGTGGGTATTCTTCATCTCGATGTATTCATGGCCCATGAGGGTCCATGCGGATAAGAAGTTCCGGTCGAGGGTGAGTGCACGTCGGAAGTACATTACTGCCTTCTCATGCTCAGATTTCAATGAGTAGTAGTTACCCACGACACAGCAGGTCTCTGGGCGGAATTTGTCGGTGGCGGTTGCGACTTGAGCGACGAACGCAAGTTGAGGTCGCTGGTCCATCACGTAAAGAATGTTCGAATAGTGATCTAAACTGTCTAAGCGGTGGGGTGATGTTGCTAGAATGCCTTCAAAAATATGGGATGCTTCTTCGAAGTCTGAATGATGTTAGATCGGATCAATTGGGTGATGCGCCGGAGCCAGGGTAGTTACCTTTTGAGTGATACAACAACAATGCGTGCTGTGTTTTGAGGAATGCGCTTTCTGGGAACATTGACTGTAGCTCGGAGAGTGACCTGTATGTGTCTTCTGTGGCCTGGTACAGCTCCTGGCTGCAGTAGACGTAGAATATTAAGCTCATGACGTTTTGCGGCAGAAGTTCGAGAATTTGTTTCAACTGGTAAAATTAGTACCAAGGGAAGAAATCTTGATGCGAAGAACTTACGTCTTCTGTGCTGCCCAAGAGGTCGTTCAGTTCCTGCCAGGCACCCCAATGATATGGGTTTTGATGGACACAACGAATCAGCCACTTTTTCGCCAGCTCCTCATTTCGTCCTTTTAACAAGACAACGGCGTAAAGATATTCCAACCATCCCTGTCCCCGATCGTCCAGTCCCTGTGCAGTTCGTTCAGATAGCCATCCGTCTAAACCTCTAGCAAGACCCGACAACTCTCGATTGACGGCCATCCCACCATCTGCTGGACCTAACACCATCTCCGTTTCCTCTTCTTTGCGCTTCTCTCCGGCTAAGTATTTTGCGTAAAGGGCGAGGAAGAGCGATTTCTGGCTGAGTTTTGGATATGGATTCTGCTGTATTTGGGTCTTTTGGGGCTTTGAGCTTTGGAACGGTGAAGCCTTGTCCTTGCCCTTGTGTGAAGTCCGCGATGGTCTCGGCTTGGAGTTAGGAGAGGTAACCGACAAAGGAACGGGCGGTGTTGTCGGGGGGAGGAACACAGCCGCGCATCGGTCGTATTCCCGGGTATCGAAATAAGATTTGGCAAGCAGGTACTTGTAGGACTCTTGCGTTTCGAGGGCAGCTTCTACTGGGTCGCCCACTTTGAGATAAGGATTTGTTGCTGGTGGAGGAGGATCTGTCTCCATCGGGGACTCGAGATCGGTGTCTTCATGATCTAATGGACGGAGGGAATCGAGCATTTCAGCTGCCCTGAGATGGTCAACATCATTAGCACGTCCGGCCTGTTCGAATGAAGCTTATGAGTCGTACCATTTTGCTGATTGGTAAAGGCATCGTTCAGAGCATTTGATAGCAGCATTTTCCAGCTGGTACATAAGCTCCCGGATTCCATCATCAGTAGGTTCTTCCATGGCGGGCGTCTTTGTCGCGAGTAGGCGGAGGTGTTCCGAGGCAGAACGTTCAATAACAGCTGTTGTGGCGCCGATGCAGCTCTAGGGGTATCAATATGTTTTGCCACAATCCAGTCTCATGCTTCTTTTAGGTGAAATAAGCTGACCACCACAGCAGTTCAATCCCGACTTGCAAAGGTCCAGTGGTGTAAATAGAAGTGTCGCGTTGTTGATACGGATGAGAGAGCAACCTGCGTAGCCCGAAAGAAAGACAAGAAGAGTAGCAAGGATTTTGAGCACGCTATTAATGCTCACAAATTCTAAAACAAGCTGATGATCATTCAATGGCCTTGAAGAATCCACGTCGTCGTCGGGTTGCGCCTGGAGAAACAGCAACAGAACAAACATTGCAAACATTGCAAACATAACAAATTGTCCCTCCGCGGGGAAATGGGTAAATGGTCCTTTTATTGTTGCGTTCGTTTTCGTCCTTGTCAGATCATTGGCGATTGATTTTATCTCAAACTTTCTCATCATGGCTTCTACTACAAAGCGCGCCGACTTCGAGGCTATCTTCCCTAAACTGGCCCAGGATATCCTTGCGCATGCAAAGCGCTACAACCTCCCCGACAATGCACTCGAGTGGTTCGAGAAGGTACGCACCCTGTCTTGATTGACCGAAATATCATCACTGACACCGTTAATTGTGTTCCATAGTCCCTCAATGTCAATGTTCCCGGTGGTAAGCTCAACCGTGGCCTCTCGGTCCCTGATACCGGCCTTGCTCTCCTCAAGCAGCCCCTGACCGAGGAGCAATTCGAGCACCTCAGCATCCTGGGTTGGATGACTGAGTTGCTCCAGGCTTTCTTCCTGGTCAGCGATGACATGATGGATTCCTCTATCACCCGCCGTGGACAGCCCTGCTGGTACCGCCATGAGGGTGTCGGCCAAATCGCCATCAACGACGCCTTCATGCTGGAGGCCGGTATCTACCTCATCCTGAAGCAGCGCTTCCGCTCGCACCCCGCCTACATTGACATCGTCGAGCTCTTCCACGAGACCACCTGGCAGACCGAGCTTGGTCAGCTTTGTGACCTCATTACCGCCCCCGAGGACGACGTCAACCTCGACAACTTCTCCATGGAGAAGTACATGTTCATTGTCACCTACAAGACCGCCTACTACAGCTTCTACCTGCCTGTCGCTCTGGCACTGATGTACCTGCAGCTTGCTACTGAGGAAAACCTCAAGCAGGCCCACGACATTCTCATTCCTCTGGGCCAGTACTTCCAGATCCAGGATGACTACCTTGACAACTTTGGTGACCCATCCGTCATTGGCAAGATCGGTACCGATATTCAGGACAACAAGTGCTCTTGGCTTGTTAACCAGGCCATCCAGCGCTGCACTCCTGAGCAGCGCAAGCTCCTGGATGCTTCCTACGGCCGCAAGGATGCTGCTGAGGAGGCCAAGGTCAAGGCTCTTTTCAACGAGCTTCAGCTGGAGAAGGTCTACAAGGAGTACGAGGAGAAGGCTGTTGGCGAGCTACGCGAGAAGATCAATGCTGTCGATGAGTCTAAGGGTCTGAAGAAGGAAGTCTTCGAGGCTTTCCTTGGCAAAATTTACAAGCGCACCAAATAGAGGATTCATCCTCTGTGTGTTTAGAAGGATACCCGTCGTTCGACTGGATCGTGACGATTTAAGATTTTACAACGCCTATACACAAAGCCGAACATGTCCGGCGATAAATGGTCTTTTCTTTCTTGGATTTAATAATACATAACTTAGAATGAGATGGACATTTATTTCACCAAGGCAAAAGAAGCTAATTTATCTCAACAATGGAGACGAATATGTCTGCATGTATATATATTTACAGGGTATTGATTAATACAGCTTTCTGAATCCATTTTGTGAAGCTCCACACTGTCTACTCCGTAGTCTCTTCATACTTTCTCTTCCACCGTTGCAGATAATCCCTCAATTGTTGAATTTATAATGAAATTAGAAAGAATCTGAGGCCTCAGATTTTGAACATGACTGAATGCAGACTTGACTTGAAATGCAATGTGATACATCATGCAGGTTGCATGCAGAAAATGTATACGGAGTACGGAGTACTTCGTAGAAAAGTGTCAAGCTGCAGCGCTAATATTGATATTTAAAGTGCTATCACATCTTACGTCGGACTTAGCCGATACAGAAATAAGAAAATATATATTCTTTTGTGCTCAAAATGTGGATTCTTTCTAAATAGACTAGAATTAATAGAGAGTGGTCAAGTATATAGCAGAATTCTAATCAAAAGCACCTGAAAACCAGACAGGTTGTAATCATTCAGGGGGTATTCATGAGTATAACAATTTTTTACAGATGAGGAGCATTCAGCGCCATCAAACAAAGCAGTCCCGAAACCAATCCGGCACAAGGCAAAGTCAAGACCCAGCCACCAAAGATGAAGGCAAGTTGCTTCCAATTGACGGCGCCAAGATCATAATTCATGAGAGCCACTCCCATAGAGGCACCAGTCAAACACTGCGTCGTGGAAACGGGCAATCCAAGTCTTGAAGCCAAAAGCACAGCGATAGCTGCCCCAAGCTCAACACTGAAGCCACGTGTCGGCGACATCTGCGTAATCTTGTTTCCGAGCGCACGAACAATGTGGTATCCGAAAAACCAGAAACCAAGACCAAGCAGCAGACCAGCCACAATCAAGAACCAGATAGGGGTGGGAGCCTTGGTCTCGACAACACCGGCGTGGTATGTGCTGTACACAGCAGCCCAGGGACCGACAGCGTTGGCCACGTCATTCGAACCGTGTGCAATCGACATCATCATAGCCGATACAACTTGGCAGTATGTCCAGAGATGTTCGACGCGGTCGTCATACCGGTGGGCACGTGCGTGGATTGCCCGCAACTCAGGTGAGTCGTGTGAAACTACATCACGGGTGACACCCTGGAGGAACATGTATTTGAGATAACCATAGGCCTTCTGGGGGTTTGTCCAGGATAGTTCTCGGACAGGGTCGATGAAACGTTCAGTTGGTTCGAGATGCTTCTTCCGTGGCTCGGCTGCCGGTCTGATCTTCTCCTCGTCATCCCCGATTTTTTCAGGATGGGACATTGCTGTAATTTCCGGCGTGGCTGTGATGGAGTCTGCATTTGATGTGACATTTTCCTTGGCTGCGTCATGTTGGCCGGCTCGCACTTCGCCGTAAGCATCTTCATAGTAGTTGATCACAGCGGCGTCACCCTTTCCTGGGAAGTACAGGGGTGGGTTTTCTCTCAGCAGCAGGGGGCCGAGGGGAATATGGTAGAACTTGACACGGGCATCGCCTTGGACGAGACGGCGCTTGAAATACGGGATGAAGAAGACATGGGCGATGACGAAGCAGCCAACGAACACACCCAGGATAATGCCGGCTGCCTTGCCACCACCGAACTCCTCCAGTGAGGGTGCCGTGGGGGCTTCGATGACAATGAAGAGGGCGAGGATGGCTCCGGTCGTGGCAAGGTACCACGGGATCATACGCATTCCCCACTTGAAGGGATCTTGCCGTTCAAGGACACTGTACTTGAGAGTACCGAAGATGATAGCCGAGAATCCACCTGCCACGAGAGGGGCAATACCCCACGAAGCAGCGACCTGAGAGACACTGCCTTTTGTCCAGGACCAGTTGATATCAGCCTGGGAAGCAAAACCAACACCAACGAGGGCGCCGACGATAGTCTGCGTCGTCGAGACAGGCCAGCCCATCCCAGTGGCGACCATCAACCAGGTAGCGCTGCCAATCTCGGCACAGCCCATGGCCAGCATGAGTGCACCGGGCTTACCCTCGAAGCGGTCGATGTCGATGATTCCGTTCTTGATTGTATCGGTGACTCGTTTGCCCATGGCTACTGCACCAATGAACTCTGTGAAGATAGCCAGGACACCGGCCGTGGCCATGTTTAGTGTCCGGGCAGCGACAGAGGTGGCATAGGCGTTGGCGACATCGTTGGCACCGTTACCGAAGGCACTGAAGACGAAGGCGATGGTGGTGATTGCTAGGATCCAGTCGTACTTCGCGGTGACTAGAGGGACCATGGCGACGAAGGGGTGTGTGTGACCACACAACAAGGGGGATATGGATCACGAGAAAAGGAATTGATTCTTACTGTCTATTAATGTCTAGGATTTATGGCGTCCTTATACGATCTGGGGACGACTATTGCCAAGTGCGGTCTGTGACAGAACCTTCTGCTGAACTTGGTCTAAGTCCATATGGAGCTCCATGGTGATTTCATTTCTAGCCCATAATACAGATATCATTGAGGGCGTGCACTTGTAACGACAGTCATTGGTTGATCCCAGGGCGAACTTTTCCAACAACCAAAGACCGGCGGGAGTTGGCGCCAAGCCTTGGTAGCGGACGCCAAGAGCGGACCAAGTACGTTTTCCGGCGATGATATTCTTTTTGCGGATCACTTGGGCCAGTCATATTGGGTATATCTGCACGTTACTGTGTGCTGAGCTGCGATTGCACGCTTAATAGAGCTTGACGTGGGTTCACCGTAGGCGCCGAGAGACTTGGAAGTCGGGCTTCTCGCGACGGATGCACAGCCTACCCTTGGCATCATGTAACTGCTGGTTGCAAATCTCTGGGCGCTGTGCGGTCGCGTGCTTTCTCACACGACCTTTCGCTACATTATTCCACTGTGAATTGGCATCCAGAACAGTCCGAAAAGGAAATTATTCTCGTGACAGAAAAGACCATATCCTCGGATACCACGTGGGAGATTTTTGTTCGGATATTCGTATGAAAGTACGTAGTCCGCCTCTTTAAATTCTATCCTTGGCTAATGAGGAGTCATTTCTGCCTTGGTTCTGTGACCCGATACTTCTGGAAGAGAGGTACCTATGGTAAATAAGCTGGCTTTGATGACGCTCTCACTTGTCGAGAGAAAGCAAACGTAATTAACGAGCTTGGTGATTTCAGACTCGGGAATCAGGGCGAATTGTGTCTCTTGCAAGAAGACTACCTAGGTAGTTCTTGAGGAGAAGCTACCACGTGCTCGGACACGTGCTCGGGTTCAAGGTGTAGACTGATTCATCAATTGAATGATTTGACATTCAAAAATTGCCAACACCTTCTATATGATGCAATGCAAATAAAAGCAGGAAAGATGGATGTCGCTAGAAAACAATCAAAGGCACTTTTCCATGAGCAAGACTGCTACACGGCGGTCGGGCCCTCAATGCCACTTATAAGGGTCTGCGCGAATCCCTCAAACCGAGGATAAGACCAGGTATCCCGGTATCGTTCAACGAGCGGCCGATCATCAGGCTCAGCGGGAGTGTCTTGTGATTGAATCTCTGGGCTCTCCTCATCATCCTCATCACTATCCCCAGCCTCCATCTTTCCTTCAACCAGTTCTCCGAATTTCACATCGATAGGCACGCTGCCCATAAATGGCAGACCTAATTCCTGGGCCATAACCTGTCCTCCCCCACTGGAGAACAGATTGCTAACCTCCCCACAGCATGGACAAGAATATCCGGACATATTCTCGATAACTCCCAGCACAGGGATCTTAGTTTTAACGCAGAAGTTTGCCTCTTTGCGAACGTCCGATGTCGCTACAGCCTGCGGTGTCGTAACAAGTACCGCACCAGCAAGTCGAGGCAAGCCTACCTGCGCAGCGGCCGCCGCGTCTGTGGTAGAGAGCGTGAGGAGCTGCTCAGCCAACGCGATGTGCTCGTCACTCGTTCCGGGAGGCGTATCGATGAGCAGGTAATCAGTGGGGCCCCAGAAGACATCTGATAGGAATTGGCGGATCATAGCTGTTTTCTTTGGTCCGCGCCAGATTACGGCGTCGCCGCGATCGCGCAGGAGGAAACCCAGGGACATACAGCGGAGGGAACCGCGTTTGGGCTGTGTTGAGGGCGCCGAGGCGTCGGATTCAACTGCGGGTTCAGCCCCATGAACAGGTACTGGCATCCATCCACCTGGCGCTTGTGTGATCTTTGCATCCTCGAGTCCGACTAGCCGTGGCATTGAGGGTCCTGTCAGGTCGATGTCGAGGATTCCGACGGATTTGCCTTGGAGCGAGAGCGCGAGGGCGAGTTGGAGGGTGACGGAGGATTTGCCCACACCTCCTTTACCGGAAAGGACCTAATATTCAAGAATGCATTGTCAGTCATTTCCAAGAAATTGCCCTCAACTGTTCTAGCGCATGGCTTCTAGCAGTGCCCTCGTTATCGATAAGCTATGAGGGGCATGACTTTCTTTTTTTCGCGCCGATAGCTCGCAAGGGATTGAACGTGCACGTACCAATACAACATTCTTCACACCAGTGAGAGGCATATTTGTATAATGTATGCTTAAATTGGAGAAAAGAAAGGTTGTAGCAACTGAAAGCGCAATGACGAATTTCAAGAGTGGGGAGGCCGATATTCGGGCGCTTATCAATCGCCTTCTGACTAACGTTCGGTCTACAACAATCCACGACTTGGAACCTCGGAATATGAAAGGTTTGATTGGTCCTTTATTTTGAATTCGGAGCTTGTTTGGCGAGTTGCCATTGCTCTACGTAGCAAATATCAAGGTCTTTCGGTATCAGACATGTCATGTAACCCATAAAACCCCCTTGCTGGTATTCGCTTTTTGGAACCACTCCAAGGAAAGTCTCAAGACGAAAGAGAGTATTAGTGAATTTTACTGCCACTTCTGCACAATGACACCTCCACGTTTGAAATCGGGCATGTCGCCGAGAACGGCATCCCAATCCTTCAGTTCTGTGCTGGGGAAAGTCGTCATCAAGACCCACGCGCGGTTTGCGCCATCCGGGGTAGCAGCAGCGACGAATGTATAGACATCGCCAATTGTGGCGGTGGTATTAAACCGAGACGTTAACCGCGTGCCATCTCCTAGACGGATTTGTAGGGTAACCGTAGGTTGTGACTCGTCCACAGTGGGCTTCGGTGGCTCCTGGACAGATGATGTAGTCGTGGAGGACGAAGGTGTGGGGGCCTGGCTCCGTACACTGGGGGTCGGGCTACCGAGGCGCTGTCCAGAACCCGAGAAAGGCTTCCACTTAGGCTTGGGCTTAGTATACTTTTCTTCATGCTGCTTGAGTTCCACATCGACCTCCTGCCCGGGTTGAACATTCATGATAGACAGAGGAGCGCGGCCTTGGCGGATACCGTCCAGGATCTCTGCATTGCGGGGGTCGTCTGATCGAAACAGTTCACCGTCATCAACGGAAAACCCATCGGCCCAGAAATGAAGAGTTCGCTGAACACGCTGGGCACGCTGTTGAGTAGGTGCCGAGGGATTTTCAATAACCTGACTTGGCGCATCGTCACCGCCGAGTGTGCGGGCAGTGCCGGTGAAGTGTGATTCCCTTGGCTGGGGGTCGTCCGAAGGAGGAGGCTGCGCCCTGTTGAAGTTTGAATGTTAGTTAGGTTTATCAAACCCGGCAATATCTAAAGAACGTACTTGCGAGCCTTTTCGAGGATCTTCCTTTTCAAGTCATCCGGGTTCTGCACAGCTAGTCCAGACTTTTCACCACCTGTAAAGAAGTCATGGTCATGGTCGTCGGTGTCATTGCCATCGGACGAATCACCACCGCCACCACCTCCTCCCGAAGCAAAGTCTCCCATTGTCGCAAACTTCTTCTTAGGCGCAGTGTTTCGGGCGGATGATGAGGACTCAGCTGCCGCAGAGGATGAGGCTGGTACGGCACCTCCCCCGAGAGTTCTACCCCCCGAAGGAGCTCCAGAGCTACCTTCTGTGCCTGATTGTCCCCCGCCACTCGTGTTGCTATCTTGCAATGCTTCGTCCTGCTCCGCAAAGAACTCTGTGACGGCAGCTTCGATGTCCCACCCATTGGCAGCAAGATATTCCTGAGCCTAGAGAATCACGCAGTCAAAATCAGCGACCGTATTGCACATAATTTCAGCAAGAAGCTTACCTCTGAAGCCGGAGTTCCAGTCATAGCACAGAATTGAGACACAGCCTCATCGTGCTCCGCGGGGTTACGCTCCATGATTGGGCTTGGGTGGCGGGTTTCGGTGATCGAGGCTGGAAAAGGAGACCGATAGTGGAATTAAAAGTAGTTATGATAGCAAAAATAGGCGTTTGTCCAAGGTGGAGGGGAGCAAAACGATGTGAGTGTCAACAGAGCTGAGTTGGGTGACAGACCTAAACACTGGCAGCTACCTGGTACGTCACTCTCAATTGGTCAGCCGGGGCTGAGAATCTTCCGTTCCGCCTAGGGCCTCAGGCCAGTTACTTTCCCACCTTAGGCCACAAGATAACTATAACTATTCGGTAAGCGAGCCGCCCATGTAAGCCAGCCGCCCACCCAACCTAAAACGCGTCCATGAATTAGCACTTAGTTAGTTCAACCACCCACTATGCCACCAATTCGCTCTCAAAGCTCTCGAAATTCAACAGAGCAAGAGGGTAGGATTCTATTAGCTATTCAGGCTTTTAAGAATAAAGAAATATCATCAATTCGCGAAGTGGCGCGCCGTTTTAATATACCGCGTACAACTCTACGCGACCGCCTCTCCGGCCATACTAAACGAAGTATTACGCGCGCAAATTCACACAAATTGACACCAATTGAAGAGGAATCTCTTCAAAAATAGATTCTCTCTATGGATCTACGTGGAGCTGCCCCCCGTCCTTCTACCGTTCGAGAAATAGCGAACCTTCTCCTCGAACATCGCGGAACCACCCCGGTTATTTCGGTCGGCGAAAAATGGGTTTATAACTTTGTGAAACGACACCCTCTCCTCTCCTCCCGATTCTCGAGACGCTATAATTACGAACGTGCGAAGTGCGAAGACCCGAAGATCATTCAAGAGTGGTTTACACTTGTTCAAAATACCATCCTTCAATTTGGAATCGACCCCGATGACGTTTATAACTTTGATGAGACTAGTTTCGCAATAGGGCTAATCGCTACTGCGAAGGTGATAACAAGGAGCGAATTCTACGGTCGGCGCTCGCTTTTACAACCTAGAAATCGTGAATAGGTGACCGCGATCGAGTGTACGAATGCTTCGGGTTGGGCCCTCCCTCCGTGTATTATTTTTAAAGGCAAAGTCTTTATTGAATCATGGTTCGATGGTCTTCCGGATAACTAGCGATTTGAAGTTAGCCCGAACGGTTAGACCTCCGATGAAATTGGACTTCGCTAGCTTAAAAATCTCTTTATTCCTTCGACTTCTTCGCGTACGAAGGGGAGGTATCGGCTTCTAGTACTCGACGGTCACGGAAGCCATTTAACCCCGAAGTTCGATAAAATCTGCGAGGAAAATAACATTATACCAATCTATATACCTCCGCATTCCTCTCACCTTTTACAGCCTCTCGATATCGGCTGTTTTGCGGTGTTAAAACGCTCTTACGGTCGGATGGTTAAAATGAAAATGCGGAGTGGGATCAACTATATCGATAAACTTGACTTCCTCGAAGCATACCCCCTCGCACGAACTAAAGCCTTTAAATCGGAGACTATTAAAAATAGCTTCGGAGCAGCTGGTTTAGTCCCTTTTTCACCAGAGAGAGTGATCTCGAAGCTGAATATTCAGCTTCGAACCCCTACCCCCCTCCGAGTAGGGGTAGTGATTCAAGCCGAAATTTCACACCAAAAACACCCGCTACAGAGAAAGAACTACGTCGACAGGCTTCATCAATCAAAGCTTTACTTCGTACAAGATCTCGAAGTCCACCAAGCCCATCAGATCGTGCATTAAACCAGCTTATTAAAGGCTTCCGTCTCACAATGCAAGGTGCTATACTACTCGCGAAAGAAAATAAGGAATTACGCGCTACCAACGAGAAGCAGAAACAAAAACGGACTCGGTCGACTAGGCAGATAGCCCACGAAGGAGATCTCTCAGTTCAGGAGGTTCGTGAGCTACGTTCAGAGCCATTTGAGGCCCAAGTAGCGCGTATCAATACCTATCGTGAGCAGGTTTCAGAGGGTTTACAGCCAGCTACACGAGCCGGGCGAGCTTGTGGAATATGCAGATTGCCGGGGCATAGAAGAGAAACATGTCCAGATAGATAAATCATTTTAGTTGAATTAATTTAAGGGTGTTTTGGTTGAGATATACGCATTTAAATTCAATATGTTAGGTTGGGTGGGCGGCTGGCTTACATGGGCGGCTCGCTTACCGAATACGTTAACTAACTAACTATCATTCCATTCTGAAATTTGTTGCGAGGGCATCAACTGTCGAGTTCGATTTAATCGTGCATTTTCCACTCACTCGTCAGTGTGAGGAACTCTCCTTGACCTTGTGCCCCTTGTCTACAAGTACCACCACGACTTGAGCATTGGTAGAAAAACCGCCCTACCATATTAGTCTAAAGTAGCTTTGAGTCTCAACTATGATGATGTTTCCGATAATTGTCGTATCCTATACATTAAGGAAACTTTAGTAAATGATTGTTACTATCAATTCTTAGGCTTACTCTATGACCATGCGCTATAATGTATATTCTTAATATCATATCTTATAGTTCACGAGTTTTATTTGTCTTAGCAAAATGATCACGACTTACACCTAAAACAAGAACTGAATATTGGGAAAAGGCAAGGCCAGATTGCGATCAAGAGATATAGGTACAGCTTCGCTGATTCTAGTGTCATCTTTCTTTGTTTCATGCTGCGAAATTTATATTTTGAATGGTTTTCTTTGATATCCCCAACTAACCAAGTTCTGTCAAAGGCAAACCCGGAAATGAAGGCAATCGCTGTTTTAGTGCTACTCGGTCCATGTGTTTTTCTTTGTATAGCCTCTTGGCCCCTGAGGCGAAGCCTTTTGAAGGTCCGTCTTCTTCCTACATGTTATCATGTTTGCATTTTAGCTATAAGAAAAATCACCTTGTTCTCTCAATGTCCGCTGTTTGTCAAACAAAAATCAATTGTTGCTAAACATTGCCTAAAACCTAGGTATATAAGCCCGCTGTATTCAGTATGGGGTCTACTACTACGACAGTGATTAGGTCAAAGAGAAAGCACCGTCTGAAGGGAGAAAAGCCTACCAGAATCATGCCCGCCAGGAAGGCAAAATCAGTTTCAAAATCACCGACGGAATCCATGCTATCGCTGTCGACACCGCAGGGAACGAAACGCCGAAAGACATCGGACGAGACACCAAAGGCAAAGAAACGCAAAGTCATACAAGGACAGGCCAGTGAAGCAGAATCCGAGTATGTGCCATCTGCGAAAGATTTGATCAGCGACGTCCCAAGAGATGAAAATTTTACAATTGACATGTTACTTCCGGATCTCGCTACATCGTACGTGGGTCGATTCAAAACGCCCGTACCAGTACGGCCGGAAAGGAAGGCATGGCCACGACAATCTAGTCCCCTGATAGATCCTGACAAATTGCCTTCGGGCTGGAGCATGGCTGAGCGGGATCTAAGCCCACAGTGAGTTGACAACGCTGCTGTATATGCGTTTCACTCATTTGACCACATGCTAATTAATATGGCGCAGTGATCTCGATGCACAAATTGAAAGATGCCACGTGAGAATCAAAGAGAATATCATGCCTCACATCTTTGAACACAGACTAAAGGGATTGAAATTCTGGCAGGCCGGCCGAATGTAAGCTAAATTAATACTCTTAGCGGAGGAGTTGCTAATACAATGTCCCACAGTGCACTGCGCGAATCGGAACCTGGGAACCATAGCTTGGAGGTCCTCAAACGCTTGGAAATTCTGAGGAACATGGAAGTTGAACTACAAAGCTTGGATGACTTCAATCAGCTCCCTAATGTCCGGGCACTGCTGAAGGCCTACCGCGGAGGAACGCTTCATTGGAATCAAGAAATGGTCACTTATTGGTCCAAAGGTGTGCAATTGTGTGAGCCAAGGCCGTTCAATTGGGATGAATTTGAGGTTCTCAACGCGCACCATTCTGGTAGAACCGGATTTTGGATGGAAGGAGTGAGTTCTCCTCGAGGCCCGTTTAGATGAACAGTCACAATAACACAAAGACTCACAAGTAGCTACTTGGGCCCGGACCTTCATACTCACTGGCAGCCATTGGTTTAGGTGGACAACCCCCGCCTAATGGATTTTTTATTCGCACGGTATGCCCCCCAAAGATCCTTGCTTGGTCAAATCTGATGCTGTTTTAGTATATGATTGCCATTCGCGTCCCCGGCACGAGGTGGTACGCAGAGCTTGAGTTCATATATGACACTGGGGCATCCATCATGACACTATATGCGGGTGATCTTCAACATATTATGGGAAGATCGACTGGGGAACCCCAAGTCATGGGACTAAACACAGTAGAACTGGCCGATGGTAGACTACAGACTGGCCCAGTGGTTGAACTTGAAGTCACCATACTGGATACCGATGAAAGGCGGATGACAAAATGGGTCAGAGTGCAATGTCAGGTAGATCGAGGTTGGAGTAATGGATTGAACAGATTGGATGGCCCATGGCTACGGCAAATGCTATATACAGCGTCAGCCCCACGCGGCGAGGATGACATGCTGTGGATTGCGAATAGCTACCCTCAAATCATCGCTGCTTTACCTGATACAGGTGATACTCGAAGTGCTCCGACTCTGGTTCCCGCAAAACTGCCCTTGGATCCAGGTGGGCGACCCTTGCTGTGGCCTCGAGGACGTCCTGGACCTCAGGAACCCGCTCCACCCGTTCTGCGTCAAAAGATGCCCAGAGCTGCATAGGACAGAAGAACATTGTTATCTCAATGATCTCTCCTACTGCAGAACTACTATTTTGTTTTTATTTTAACCAGCCATAAGAATCAGAATAGCGTCTTACGTATTTACTTCTATAAACATGGGGATAATCCCCCAAGATGTCCTCTAATATTAATCCTGGCGTTGTGTGTCTCGATGACACAGAGCCATAGACCAAGTGTGTAACAACGTCAAACTAAGACATTTGCAGTTAGTATTTGAGGAACCGCTAGTAGGGTCTCCTCAACATAAATCCTTCACACCCAACTCAATTCATCCTGAAGTACTTTGGTGCCCCACTCAATCACTTGTCTTTTATAAGAGTTAAAGCCCAAGATCCCAAGGGGGACTTTAGCCATTCTAGAATGGCCCTAACAGACCAATAGTGCATCGGAGTATAGATTTCTGGTATTGGCGAAATAATCATGGTCATACTAAAAAGTTGTTCTTAGGTAACGTTTATTAACAAGCTAGAAATTTCCTGAAAAAGGCTACAAAAAATCGATGTATAACTTCTAACTCCACTGAACGTCTGCAAAACTCTGCCGGGTCCCCGCTAAATGCGGTAGAATATCCCGAGATCCTTCCAGACTATTTAGAATAGACCAATCATACTTTGTATACATACGAGTGGGATCCATAATAGTCGCTTACCTAGGTATAGTCTGCCGATCATATAAAAGAGTTCAATATAATTCCCTTACGCGGGAGAATGTGCCGTTCCACACGAGAAAACCTCGGAATTGAATACACGCCCTTACAATGGCTTGTATTATAAATTATATTCTCCATAGATGGCCAGTTTGCTGTTAGCAAAAGAGCCGATGGGACCATAGTCCTAAGTGGTCGCTATGCAGTGCGATACCAAATACCCTGTAGAGACTTGATCACTGGTTAAAGCATGGCAATAAAACGACTTAGCCTCCAACAGCTTTGACCACGGCCTTGAAGGGAACACCGGCGAAATCAACCGGCAAGGTTCGACCTGAGAGTGTGAATTCAACCAGTGTTTATGATATAATGGGCTTTAATTCGGGGTAAGCAATCCTACAAAACAGGGACAGTGTTAGTGGTTATGGAAATGACATATATGGGCGCTGGGTCCTACCGTGAAATCCAATAGCCCGTCAAGGCCAATCACAAAGGGTGAAGAGGCGGTTAATGTTTTGTCAATAGTAGTGGGAGTGGGGTATAGACCACAGCACGAGTAGAAGAAATGAGGCCGAGTCTATGGAGTACGCACTGTTCAGCTTGCACCTAATCAGCTAGCAATGTGCCTCGCAGTGAGAGCCACCTAGAGGGCTACTTCTATATTTTCAACCAGGAATCAAAGGATATAGTTATAGTAATTGCTGAACGTTAGCGAAGCACCCATATCATTATTAACTGACTAGTTACTTATAGTTAGTTCAACCAAAGACTATGTACGGTATCAGAAAAGCACTCCTTTTTCCTAGTAAATTTCAACAAGGAATATACAATCATTGTACCTTCTATTACCAAACATCTCTTGCCTTTACAAATTATGCCGAGGCTTGGAATGTTCCAAGCCCTGGAGGGTATACGATGCTGACGTAGGGTTTAATTCCGCATTTGGACGCCCCACGTCACGTGCTGCTGCAGCATTGCCCCGGCGCTTAATCCCAGCTTCCTTTAACAAAATCGCGTGCAATTTCAAATCGAGCTCTTATTGCCTAACATGCTGCTCTGCTTTAACTAATGAATTTATGGAACTCTACCTGTCGTCAATGTGTTGAAACCACAGTCAAACTCCTAAATCGCTCCGATCCTCCACTTCCATGCTGCCAATGACCGAATGAAACACTACTCTATAAGCCGACAACGACAACTTCGAGACCGAGTAAAGATATATTGCACCAAATACTTTTTTTTGAATCCGAATGACGTCGCCTTACCCAACATCAACTACATTCTCGCCGTCCGTTACCTCCGACATGGCTTCTACGCCCAACAGAGCGGTCTCCGATTTGCCGCAGGCCCAGGTAGACGCGATCATCCGCACAAAGCGCAAGGCCCGTGAGCCCAAAGCCTGCTATCCATGCCATGCGCGTAAAGTTAAATGCGATCGCAATCTGCCGTGCGACGGGTGTGTTAAGCGCGACCATGCAGACCTTTGCTCCTACGAACGCCCTTCCAAGAAACGATCGCAAGCCTTTCATGAGAGCGCTGCCCCTAGCGCGCCAACGGCACCCATACCCGAATATTCAACAGCATATGCGTACGATGACACGCCAGCAGAAGTGAAACATGAGCCAACCTTGAGCCGACCGAACATTCCTGCTGCAGGTGGTGGTGGTCGAGTTTCGATCGCCCGCGAGGAATGGGATAATGTGCGCAACAGATTGCAAGAAATGGAATCTACTATTTCATCCCTTCGAGTTGGGTTGGAGAGGGCGGAAGACGGCCTTCCAACCTCCCTGGACACCGGAAGCGTGCAGAGTCCCAATGCGAGTTCCCGTTCCAAGTGTGGCTCGCCGGAACGCGAGGGCATACACGCTGCGAATACTTTAGGCAAGGGCACTGTCCATTTGGGATCTCGCTCCGTTCTGGCTTATATTCTCAACAATCAGTCCGGGTCTGATCAGCTTCAAGCACTTTTGGAAGGAGGGATACTCCCCAAGCTTGGTCTGGACAATGAGTCTGCGACCTATCCATTTGTTGATCTATGGTCGTCCGATATGTCAACATTTGATATCACTGCTGTCTGCAGCGCCCTTCCCAGTGATCAACAATGCAGAGAGTGAGTAGTCTTTTTGAATTCAACTTTTGATTGAGATTGTCTGTGCTAACAAGGGGTTCTCGCTATAGGTTATTCTACTACTACAGGGACATTTCGGGGGCCATATATCCTGTCTTAGAGGACATCTTTGAGTTTGAGAACACTCTCGAGCTTCTTTTGGCGACACGAACCTCTATTGGTGGAGAATACCTGGCCGATGCAGACGCAGCGCAAAAGCCTTTCGGCGTGAGCATTGCGTACCTGGGACTACTGTTCGCTATCCTTGCCTCTGGATGTCAGTCATCCGACTATGGGAGCAAGGAAAGGGAATTGACCTCGCAGGTCTATGGTATGTGATTCACGCCAAGCATTTTATTGGAGTAGTTGGCTAACACCTCAAACAGTGTGCTGCTCCTATCAGTGCCTCCGCATGACAAATTTCCTCTCCCAGCCCACCATTGAGGCAATTCAAACCCTCCTTGTGATAGGAAACGTATTGTCATACAATATGAATCCCGGAATTTCTTACGTCTTGCTTGGCATGACTCTTCGCATGGGCCTGGCGCTCGGTCTCCACGTGGAGTCAAGTCGATTTTCGTCAGCTGAACGATATCGCCGACGACATGTCTGGTAAGATAATTATTTTTCTGTTCATAACCTAAAGTATGTGGCCCTGACATAAATAGGTGGTCCATGGCATGGCAAGACAGCCATTTTTCGCTCTCCTACGATCGGCCTTCCACCACTGCAGTGAGCCAACCAGATATCGCTTACAGAGATGGCTCAAAACCTGGTGATCTATCTTATTTTGAGACTCTGTCTCGAGTCATTTCGCTTGCACTAGAGGTTGTCCGCATTCGCATGCTGAGCCCACACGCGCAAATAAGCTTGGAAAGTATACAAGTCTATAAGGAACGCATCCAGAAGATCATGGTAGAGGCACAACCGTACCTGCGAGATGCAAGGAATTGTTCCACATCTACGCAACATCTGGAGCGAGTTGTATTGAAATTGCATTCTTCTTATTTCGCCTCTGAGCTCTGCCGGCCAGCGCTCAAACCAATGGCTGATATCAGTGAGGCCAGCGCAGCCAGCATGCGCGAAAATTGCGTGATGAATTTGATGACTACTGTTGAAGCTTACATTGAATTGCACAATATCAGCTCTCACGCAGCTCGGTCCTGGATCGCATTGCAGCGGGCGATCAGCTCCGCATTCCTGCTTGCTGTCATCGACGAGGCGAAAGCGGACCCAAATGTGTGGAATCTTCTCCATTCACTCGAAGGCATCATTGCCCAGAGAGCAAGCACGGAGAGAGCCTATGATTCCAATGAGTCTCCCAATGTGGCCAATATGACCTCGCCGCCACAAACCCTCGGCACTTACGACCCTATCACGGGCACCACGAACCCCCCAGGCCCCATCGCTCCAGTGGTAGATCCAACTTCTCCGGCTGTGATACCCCCTGATACACAAACGCAATGGGCAAAGTCCCTCGCGAAAACGCATCGTGCTTTGCAGAAGCTTCTTGCCGCGTTCGGGAATCCAAATGCGCGCCCCTCAATGGGACGTAATGGTACGCCCGTGTACCCCACTCATCCTAACCTCAACCCGACTTCCGCTTCCATGGGAACACTTGCTCCTGTGGCGGCAAACATGACCCCTAGCGTTGGTTCTCTTCCACCTCCTACACCAGAAAGCTCTGGTAGTGGTGAATGGTCAATGCCCAATATACTGGATCGTGCAGCAGAGTATATTCATCCACCCCTGTGGGGCTAGCGATTGGGGGCGACCCCTGGAAAAGCGTCTAATTTCTACTTGTTTTTTTTTTCTTCAGCGTGGCGCTGGAGTCTCTTTTCGGTCCATCTCATGATTGTCGTTATTTTTGAACCTTATGCCCTTAAATTTGTTGAAGGGGAGGCTTTTTTTAGGAGCTGAATGGACTCTTCAGTGTGATATGCGCCATTGGACATTTAGTATATGCATACTTTTATAGAATCTTTCACAGTATCGCAATGCTTCCACCCTAATATGCTAGCTGTAGCTTTCCGACGCACTCGCAAATGCAAACCCGGAGCCTACTCTCCAGCTAGAGCAGCCTTGCGAACCACATGACTCGACCAGAATTTGAGACATGGAGGCGACATGACAACTAGGTGAATCCTCCCACGGAATACGGTCCGTGCATTCAGCTCCATTCCCCACTGTCTGGATAGCGGGGAGTCGGAGTGTCCACATCCCCGGAGACCCGGGGAATCTAATGACTAATATTAGCCCTAAGTCGACGAGATCGGGACTTCTGTTTTTGCCTCTAAAGGTAATTATAGATGACTCTGACACACTGGCTTCGTGACTGTTGCAAGACTATGGCAGTTGCAATACTCATTCTGCAGAGTCATTGCGTCGTGCAGGGGGCTGTCGTTCCGGAACCTATGTATACAGCAAGACCAGTTGAAGATATAACCAGAAGACTAGAATATATTTCAGGTCAATTAAGAGTGAGACTAATATCAAGAGCATCTGAGAAGGTACGAACTGCAGTCTCTCTGAATGGACTGTTAGTGGCCTCAGGCAGCTATTTACCTAGAGATATATCGAGAGCACAGATTATATCTCTCTCCTCAACTATTCATGATTCCATCCCAATGGACTTTTTTAAAACTCCTATCATTTTACATCTTATCTCTCTGGGCCACCCATGCGATTATTCAAGGTGAGACATTTACATCCCCGGACACCTTGCTCTAACATCCGAGACAGCTTAATTTTTAAGCGCACTACCGATGGCCCATGCTATTGGACACCTTGCGAGAATCCCCAACCGTCGAATCGGTGAATGCGGAGAGCAGGGTCGTACAAAGTCGGCCAGTTATTTGCACCGGAGTCAGCAGAGTCAGAAATCCTCCGAGGTAGAATTCACCTCTTTCTAATCTCTTTCAAGCGAAACCCAAAATCTCTAGGAATATCACTGCTATTGTTTATTCCACCCACGCTTCCACTACTCCAACCTCGGTACATCTTGCTAGACTTGATCGCAATTTGTCGGAATTATGTCTTCTGAATCCCCCAACAAGTACTACAAAGTCGCGGTTCTTCTGTTTCCAGGCGCAGACATCCTCGACTTTGCAGGCCCAATCGAAGTCTTATCCCATGTCTCGCACAACCGAAACCCAGAAAACCCCGACAGAATGTTCGAGATCAAAACTGTCGCTTGCAGCCCTGCGGTTCGTGCTGCAAGTTCACTCACCGTTCATGCAGACCTGCTTTTGCCAGATGCGGTTGATCATATTTCGGAGTTTCATATCCTGGTCATCCCAGGTGGTCCCCCGCCTGTTTTACAGCCATTAATGGAAAAAAACGCACCAGAGCTTAATTTGATTCGCAAATTTGCAGCCCTTCCTGCAGATACCTCCTCAGGCCCCAGAATATTGCTGTCGGTTTGTACCGGCTCCTTTCTGCTCGGTGCCGCAGGTTTACTCGGTGGAATGACTGTGACAACCCACCACCATGCGCTTGACAGACTTCGGGGTATCTGTGCTCAGTCCAATCCTCTGGATGAGTCTGCCACAACTGTATTGCACAAGCGATATCTTGATGCAGGTCTCTTGAAAGGACGCGGTGTTCGACTTCTCACAGCGGGAGGCGTAAGCTCAGGCTTAGACGCCACATGCTACCTTGTTAGTCAATTGACAACACATGACATGGCGGCATTTATCGCTCGACTTATGGAGTATGATTGGCGTGAGATGAAAGAGTGAGCTGGCATGGCGGATGATTATCAAGATGTCATTAATCTATATGGCCAAGCACTAGCGTGGAATCGAATTTGAACACAGCATAGGTATCACGTCTCACAACACGTGTGTTCGACCCTGTCCAATTAGGCAATATACGCTTTTCTGTACTATTCCCAGCTCAGGTTGTAAACCCAATGTATATGTCACGGGTAGAATTTCCACAAATAAACATTCCTTGGTGGTTCTTCCTTGGGGAAACTTGGACTCCATCTTACTACTAGGCTCATTATCTTACATATTGCATATACTCTCACGATTCATCAGCGGCTGGAATTTTGTGCTGAAATCCTTCTCATTGCCACCACCTTGTGGATCAGACCGAGTTTGCTGCTCAGCTTTGGCCGATACAAGTCACAAAGGTTACATGTGTCTTGAATCTACATAGGATTGCCCGAATAGGTTTGTCGTCATTAACTACCATTGGTAGTGGGCTGCCGGGGATCCCGAGACCAACCTTGAAAGCGTAGCTTCCTTGACACATATAGGCTCCAAGCATTCGGCTTGTGCAATGGATCTGGAACCTGGATGCATCCCTAGTCATCAAACTTATTGGATAATGGAGGCCATGCTCATTTACTCTGGAAATATCCCTCAAGTCACCTCATTCTTCTGTTCTACACCAGCTTTGCTGACATCAATGAAAGGATAAGTGAAGCTTTCTGAGCTTAAGCTTCTCGGACTCGGCCGGGCATAATTCAACCTCAAGCCTTTTACTAACTTGGTAAAGGTTCCTTGACAAATTCCCTCCACGCTGACCACATTTATGGGAATAGAGTAGGAAACCATGCCCTCAAGTTGTACAGAGTGATGGCTATTCATGCCTGGGATGCCCTAGGTTGAACCTAAGACTTGCCATCTTAGTCCGCATCAGGAGTTACAGTCATCGGAACGAGGGATGAAGTTTCCAAATTTCCTGTCACCAAGATCAGTGTTCTGGCCGATGCTAGTTATATAGCACCATCTGGTTCTGGATCAAACTACACATCTTGTCTATTTCCTCAGGACTCAAGTGAGACCAATACATACTTGCCAATCAAGCTTTTCTCTCATATCTTTGGGTAGAACAGTGACTGGACCAGAGTATCTCCCTTGGGGAACATACATTCCACTTCAAGTCACGATGGTCGCCTTGGCACCGGGTGCGGACATTGTTCCCACTACATACCACCCCCTCGCCGAGAATGAAATCGGTCCCTTCAAGAATGGAATGCCCAATAAGAAAGTCAATATGGAGACTGTGGAGTTGGAGATCATGTCTTCCGAATATGACAGCGCCGATCCGGTGGCTATTACCTCAAACGGCGATGGTCCCAACCAACACGAACAAAAAGTGCTCGACGGACCCATCGCCTCTGAGATCTCAAATGGCTCTGGAAATGAAGTGATGGCTATGGATGTATTGAAAATTATCGAAAGTTATGGTGTTGACTTTGAGAAGTCGGGTATTTCCTGGAAGGGTTTTGAGTCGTTTGTTCCAGTTGTCCTGGACCAAATTGACAAACAAGAGCCAATCCGCATGATATTACCCGCATTTCCTTTCAAATCACCCAATGCAAGCAGTAAAGTGCTGGGCACTATGCCCGACTTTGGTGAAGAATTGGCCTTGGCTCATTTGAATGGACTTTGCCAAAACATCGGTGAAGTATACGCCCCTGGTGCCGATGTGTATATCAGCTCGGATGGACTTGTATACAATGGTAAAGAAATGATCAAGACGTACATTCACAAATATTCAATACTAACATCGGCTAGATATCCTGGGCGTTCCCGATGAAACCGTTTGGGACTATGGAGAGACCCTTCGAAAAATGGCCATCGACAAAGAGCTCCATCATGTCAAATTCATTCGCCTTTTCGAACTTCTCGAGCATCCATGGTTCCAATCCTCAACTCCAGAGGCTGCAAAGGCATTCTATCTAGCTCACGCTAGTTGTCTCCGCCGAGAATTGATGTACACCTTTGCTGATCCGAACTTCGACGCGACGGAGGCTATCAAAACCGACAATGATACATGCCTGACATATCGCGGTTACATCAAGTTCCTCACCAAGGATCTAGCACATCAGGAGACAAAAACCATGTCAAAACGCGCTCGACAAGCACAGATTGCCGATACGGCAAGGCAAATGATCATTCGCGGCAAAATGTTCGCGGCGGCCATCAAAGCCAATCGCAAAGACTACGTCCGACTGTCCATCCACGAGTCCGCGGGCGAGAAGAAACTTTCTATCTCGCTTGTTCCACAGATCCGAGGTACACTGGGGTATACACCCTGGCACTCTTCTGTGGCAGTCGGACTGGATGGTTCATATCGTACGGTCCATGCCGAAGACGTCCGTGACACGCACGACCTCATTTATAAGAACGGAAAGCCATATTTATTCCGCGAAAAGTCAAGTCTCTTCGACTGGACCGAGGACGGCTTATCTGTCAAATTCGAGCACCTCTATCCCTGCGGACTCATCATCCGCCCTACTGACATCGACAATGTCAATCCACCGCCGTCGATCCGCTCCATCCCCATGAAAAAGGTCCGCCAGCTGTCGAATGGCATGTCACCCATTGTAATACGTGGATTCTGCGAGACTCTAGAGGAAGATCTCTATGTCAAGAAGGGAGAAGAGCTAGGCACTATTCTCACATGGAGCTTCGGCATAATCCAAAAGGTACGGGACAACGGGCGCTCTGACAAGATGGGCAACAATGTGACTTCGAATGAGGCTATGCCAATGCATTTCGATGGGATGTTCAAGTTTGACGAGATCACAGACCCAGAAACGGGAGAGAAGAAGAAAGTCCAGCACCCACCGGGTTATCAGTTCTTCACTTGTCCTGCCACTGCGCCAAAGGGCAATGGTTACACCTTGTTTGCAAGTTCCAAGCTGTTTTTCCGATATCTGCCTCTCCCGTGGTCTGCTGAGCGTCTTGTAAAGGTTACCTGGGCTATGGATAACGATGGGTTCTGGGATGCGAAACTCAAGAATCTACCCTTGATCGTGAAACATCCTACCTCCGGGCTGCCGTGCCTACGCTGGCATCAGCCTTGGGATTCAACCAAGACCAAATTCTCGACCTGTGATGTTTCAATTGAGAATGACGATAATGATCTGGTCAAGGTTGTGGACCGCATCACATATGACTATAGAGTTTGTCTGCGCTTTGCTTGGGAGAAGGGTGATTTGCTGATTAGTGATAACTTTGCCATGCTGCATACTCGCACTGGATATATCAGTGACTGTGATCGAGAACTGTGGCGAATTCACTGCGACTGAGAGGCTTATGGGTCTTGGCTTTTGATGTGTTTCTTTCTGTCATTCGTTTCTGTCTGCGCTTGGTCACTCGTTTTCATACTCGCATATTTGGCTTATGTTTGAGAATTTGCCAAGTATTGAAGCAATTACACAAGTCTTCAATGCAATATCCAATAGATTCCACTGGTATCTCCGAATATCTTCCATGCCTGGTCAGTCGTACTTGTAAACTTTGATTCTTCCCTTTTGTTCTTTTGCTCAATCTCTAAATCTGCCCGTGAAGCATATCGCTTGTGTTTAATAGTTTCACATTTTACCTTATGCTCGTTGGGTGTCTTCCGATTCAATCTATGCCGCAAGTATCCCCATTTCTACAGTCAACCCAGTAGTTTCTCTCTTCTCGCTCTCTATTATCTAAGATTCGCTCTATCAAAATACAGTCTCGATGAAACCCATAAGTATTGTTCTCTAGGTAGTATAAACCATGATATATGCACAATTTATCCATACCCACTCTTTGTATATATCCCACTCTCGGCCCCTGCCCTATCATCTCTATCTTTGTACACTACTACAACACACTCACAGCATCCTAATAGGAAAAGCTCCCCTCTGGGGCACTGGATTCGCCACCTTATGCAAAGGACACGATTGCGCATATAAGCCCCCGCCCATCCATAGCATTGAAGTGGACTGCGCAGGAGGCACAGAGTGGATATTGTGAGGATAGCACGGACAGCTCATATTTTGTGAGTTAAGCTGCTGTACTGCAGGACCATGATCCGACCCGTTATGACCAGAACCAGCACCATAGGGAGAGGTCGGTGACGGGAACGAAGGTATGGAAGCCGATGCCGGTGACTCTGGAGGAACCAGAACGATCACTTTGTATTCGGGAGACATGGTGTTGATGACCTGGATGATTTGAGGCAATGCAGCTTCTGCTCTTTGTCAGTTATTTTGTTCACCCGATAATTTACATACCGTGTAGCTGGAGTACTAACCAGTCGCAACGTAGTACAGCGGCTGATTGGGCGCTGATGTAGACAAGGAGTCTGGTATCACGGTCTCTGGGGTTCCTATCATTTCTCGGTATGTCTCGCCGCCGATACCAGAGTTTGACGGTGACATGCTGTGGTTTTGTTGAGATGGAGCGCTCGTGATAGGAGATATCGGACTTGTTTCACTGACTCCAGTAAATTGGGAGAGGTCGGCCGGATACCCATTTTGTGGGAATGTATTGAAGTCGTTTGGCCACGAGTGCGAGAATAGGGGGTATGACGGCATGAATGAAGAACACTGGTCTGGGATTAGAGGGGAGACATCTCGCAAGGTAAACCCGAGTTCGTTCTCTGAGGAAGCCGAGTGCGACCTTGGAAAAAGTGAAGGATTATACGCCTGGTCCCATCCGTTGAGAGAAGCTGCCGCTCTGAGTTCGTTGGCGATGACGCGCTCTTGAAGCTTTGCAATGCGCTCTCTAATCTTGCGACCTGGGTTATGTCAGTTCCAAACCTATCTTCTCGGTTAGGGCAATATCTTACGGTGGTTTCTTTGAGAAAGGCGGTTCTGCAATCTCCTTCTTTCCAACGGATCTTGTGTTTGGCTGAGGATATCCTCGTCCTTAGGACTAGACTGATCTTCCATCTTCATCTTGCAAAGGTTTGTTGTGTTATAGCTTTGACAAATATTATCTTGTTCGAGGATATTGCATATCTCATATAAATTTCTGCAGATGTTTCGAGCGATGTTCAGCACAAGAACTCAGAACCAAAACTGAACCATCGCCGTCAGCCTCTCTTTGCTTTATACAGGCCGTGCGCCCACGAGGGAAAATCACGCCTGATCTCACTGTGTCACTCAGCCTGTACAACGGATGTTCGGTGATCAGCAATCTGATTTGAAAGCCATGATTCAACCTCCGCCTTTTCAGCCGCGTTATGCCGTTCTGGACACATCAAACTACCTGCCTTTCTCAGCTAGTCAACTCTTCTACAGGGCCCTTGTGCAGAGTTGGGTATTCTGGGAGAAGGTTTCAGGATGGTTGTACGAGGTGGTGTAATCAGAGGCTATTCCCGGCCTGGACGTGTGCATGGACATGGCGCCGCCCTGGATTCTCTCATTCCTTTCCAACAGCCTGGGATTCGGCAAACTCGATGAAACCCTCCGCTCTGATCCACCTTGGCTCATGGACTCGTGTATCTGAGCCCGCTACCCTTGTTTTAGACCCCTTGGCATGGCAAGACCGTGTTACCTTTCCCCCCAGTAACCTACTTGGCCCCGGTACTTTGGATTCTTATCCCCGCCTACTTATACTTCAAGTCACATGTGGCGTCGAGGTATCTTGTAGGCTCGGGCATGTCCGAATTCAGCCGTTATCCTACTTGATTACACGGACCACACGTGGCAAGTGCAATATTGATGTTGTGTTCAAGCTGAGAAGAAACCAGACAATTTCCTATTGGATTTCATTGATCTCCAGACTGCTCATAAACAGTTTACCGCAAGACAGGGAGGCCAGGGCTGTGGTGAGAGGCTGGTACAGCTAGTACAACTTGACCCAATGTGAAGTCTAAAAATAAGACACGTCGTTCCTTGGCCCTTTGATCCCGCAAGAACGAGCTCACGCTGAATATCCTCCGGGGGGTTGAACTAAACCGCCAGTTATCTTATAGAAGCTCTTACTCTGGGTTTTGGAGACGTTACATTACCTTCTGAATTGGTTGAATAGTCCGAGATATGGCGCTAAACACCTCACGAAGTAGTCATCTACGCAATGGCGTCATGGATGGCACAGAATGGACACAGAATTGACACTCAGGCCAAGTCCCGTCGGTCCAACAGTACAGAGTCTCAACGGACTTCCTTCGTGGACTTAGGGCACTGCCATGTGCCTACGTGACCGCTCATCCGTCCTCCCGGGATAGATGCATGTGAGATCCAGCCGTAGGGACTCGCGGAAGATCCGGTTTTGTTTGTCGCTGGATTGGATTCTGGAACAAAACTCTCTTTGTGTAACTGCGTGATGCAGATGAATTATCCCGCAAGTGACTTGATGCCTGGATTATGGTAGGAGATAGAAAAATATCTTTTGAGCCCATCCAGTATAATATGAAGCAACTGAGCATAGAGTATTTGTATTATAGTATATAAAATCAGCTAATATCGACATGATGTGACTACAACCAATCAAGTTGCGTGAGCCAACAAGTATCTAAGTGTATCTTGGCTGCAACTGCAACTTATTAAAACTAACGTCCATCAGCCTTGACTTGGTCGACATCTCAACTAAGCCGCCAAGCCCAACTTTAGGCATAGGCCGTGCCACCCCAACTACTCTCACTGTCTTCTCTTCTAATTTCTCAGTCACAGCAACTCTTATTCTTTCAGAACGTGACAGAGAGTGACAGAATGGACTCTTTTCTCAAAACAGTGGGCAACCTCCTCCCATATCACCTTCTCTCCTATGGCGCTCTCCTCGGAACAGAGCTCTATCAGGTACGTCCCTTGTCTCTCAAAAAAGGCAAGCGGTCTCGTGACTAACCACATACAGAGCTTCATCAATACGAAAATATGCTACCAAGTATTACCAATGAAGGAGTTCATCGTCCTCCAAAAGCGCCTCTTCCCAATCTACTTCGGAACGCAAGTCGGACTCACCGCGCTGACGGTAGCCACACACCCACCATACAGCATCTTTTCACTCGTTCAGAATCCATGGAGTGTAGCTCCTCTTGCTATCGCTGGATTGACTGGATGTCTGAATTGGTTCGTCTACGGGCCTCGGACGACCACTGCGATGTTGGTCAGAAGGGCTCTACAAGGTGAGTTTATCTTGATACGTCTCATTTTAATTACACGTCTAATACTCATTTTACCTACAGAAAGTGAGAGCACTGATGCTGACTCCGATGGGTCAAAGGTGCATCAGGCTAACCGGAACTTCGCGAGAAATCATGCAATGGCTATCCATTTGAATGCTATTGCCATGATAGCCACTGTATTTTACGGGTTTTTGCTGTCTGCTACGCTTCTAGCAGGAGTCTAGATCACGCCTACACTACAGGATCTTGGTGCATGTGCGACTGTAGTCGCAGGGTTAATAATGAATTGTTCATATCAGATTTCTTTTCAACTACACTTGATATTATTTTGCCTTTAGCATACATCTCAACTCTATATTGGAAACAAACCTCTGGTCTCTATCTGAGAAAGGACGTGATTCCCTTTGAGTAATATCATACTACCTAAAGGTTCATTCTAGGTGGTACATTCCGAATAGATATAATATAGAAGTAAGCTATCGAGTACCTGTATCTTCTATGACAAGGGGTCTCTTTCCAAAATGCCAAGTAGATTTGTGATGACTTATTTACCAATCGAGGCCGCGTAAGAAAGCAATTAAATCGAAGCTGTCATCATCTGAGCGAACTGGAACCTCTGCATATGAAGTATTCCATACAAAAGCAGACCGTTTTGGGGGTTTTTATAGCCAGCTTCGGGTCTAACAGAAAAAGCACCACAGAAGCACTATATCAAGACCAAGAGTAGGTAGTCTAAAACCATCAGTAGCTATGGAACAAGAGTTGATATAAAGGATTCCGTCGCCCGGAGGTAAACTTGCAGAGATCAAGTGTCACTCCAATTTGGAGTGAGGACATAATTCCTAATGAGGAATCGCCTAGTCAATGCGAACTCGGCCACATGCCCACATCCTTAAGTTTCCTCCCAACGCCACATCCTATAACCTCCGTTTTGAGGGGATTTCACCACTATTGATGGCATTGCAACCGAGTTACCTTGTAGACAATAGTAGGTTCTACTGGGTTCAGGCGACAAGAGAACATCAAGGAAGAAGATTATAGCACATTTTTACGCTTGGCACGTTGCAATATATATCTCTTACCACACAGAAACACAAGCCACGTATTTCAACCCCAATATACCAAATTCTACTCCAGAACCAACGCCACCTAGCAGTAAACCCCAGTAGAAATGTGACCAAAGAAAGTCACGGTGGACAGTGTGTCATCCGTACTAGCGTTTTGACTTCCGCTGACAGCAGTTGCATCAATTAGGGCACAGAGCACCAAACATAGACACCAAGATACGTTATATAGTACCATCAAGACAATACCATATCCCATCCCAATCCTTCCAAACCCATCGTCAAAATGACAATCCTCTCCACCCTCCTAACCCTCCTCCTCCCCCCATCCTCTTCCTAACCTGGTACCTCCACATCCCCCGAACCCTCCCGAACCTCCCTCGAATCCCAATATACGTCTCAATCCTTGGCCTCTGGTCCTCAATGGGCCAAGATGAGATATACGAACGCTGGTTCCGAACACCCCTAGAGAAACACGGTGCCGTGTTAGTCTGGTTCGGCGGACGATGGAGTATCCTCGTTTCAAGACCGGATTGGTTAACCGATATGTTCCGTAATGAACAGCTATACGCGAAAGCAGGGAGTCAGATTAAGATCCCGCATGCTGTTATTGCGACGCTTGTGGGTGATAATATTATCAATGCGCATGGGGAGAATTGGAGACTTTATACAGGGATCATGAAGGCGGGATTGCAGAAGAAGGCTTTTGAGACGAGTTCTTTGTTGAAACAGTCGAGGAAGTTGGTTGATGTTTTGATTGAGTTGCAGAAGGGTACTGGGATTGATAGAGGGATTTTGGTTAATGATGATGTACAGAAATGGGCTGTGGATGTTATGGGAGAGAACTTTTTGGATTTGGAGTTTAAGGTATCAATATCTACCTCGTCCTCTTTGCAACGAATATCCAATTTTCAATACTTGTACAGCTGAAACTTGAACTAACCATCTGTCAGAGCCTGGGCCAACCAAACGGCACCGTCCGAATCGAATCCCTCCAATCCATCATCAAAGCAACCCTCTTCAAACCAATGTACTTCAGTTTCCCAGATCTCGACCATTTCCCCTGGCTCCTCCCATCCCGCAAACGTGCCTACAACATAATGCACGAATTCGACAACCGTCTCTACGAAAAGATAATGACAATGCTCCACAAGCGCAATGAAACCAAACTAACCACCGAAGAAATGGTCTCACACATGCTAGGCAAAGCCTACAAATCCGGTCTCATAACCGAGAAACAATTCCGAGACAATCTAAAAATAACCTTCCTGACCGCGCACGAAAACGCCCAACAACTCGTAACCTCAATGTTCTGGCAACTGGGCACAAGAATCGACATCCAGGATCGACTACGGGCTGAGATACTTGAAACCGCAAAGACACATCCGAATCCATCACAGGAAATCATCAATAGTCTCCCGTACCTCACAGCTGTGGTATTGGAACTACTTCGTCTTTTCCCGCCTGTTTGTCAGCTGATTAACCGTGTTGCATTGCAGCCTGCGATGTTGGGTGGTGAACTTCCTATTGCGAGGGGGACGTTTGTGGGATGGAATGCGTGGGCGGTGCATAGTAATCCTGCTGTATGGGGTGATGATGCGCGAGAGTTCCGGGCTGAGAGGTGGGGGAAAGTGTTGAGGAGATGCAGGGGAGGTTTCGGAGGGAGACTGTTAAGGGGACTTATATTCCGTTTAATGCCCATAAGCGGAAGTGTCTTGGGCAGGGGTTTGCGTTGTTGCAGGTAAAGATTTTGTTGTTTGTTTTA